GACTATGCAAAAGTGGAGAAGGGACCTAGATTGTGTCTACAACATGCTACAGATGTTACGCTGACCGTCGGTCGGCGTATGGGAACTTGGATAGGTCTTCTCAGCGACAGCTTGAGTGAGCCCACCGAAGCTGAGGGTGTTCGGCGACTTGACGGAATGTCAAGGGTTCCTCCGGTTATCTCGGTAAGACGGCGCTCGTCGAGATACAGGGCCAGCGGATACAGCTAAGCGTGGGGAGCATCTTAGAAGTGCAGTCTAGACAACTAAGTTGGAGGCTCAGTTGAACAGGTTTCAAGGTAGAACCAAGTAGATTAAAGTAAAGATCATAGTACAATAATCTGTCTACTTATATGTCTACATATAAGCGTTCAAGCTCAGTCTGTATCTAATAGTATATCTGGGATCTATGATAAGAGACCATGAGGCCAGTCATAAGAGCAGATAAGATACATGAGGTATAACCTCTGATCAAGCATGCAGCGCCAAGTGCGACTGCGCATAAGTACATGAGGCACCAAGGGCGCTCCAGATCTTCATGAGGCTTCATGAGGCGGCAACAATCAACATGTGCCGATCTAGGGTGACCATGAGGCGTACAGTCTCCATGGATCAGGTACATGGCCTTTCTAGGCCAGGGGCGGTGTTACTACGGTCCAGACTGCTGTTTTTCTAAGTGCTGGCGGTGCACTGCCACGTCGGGAGTCTAGCAGAGTGGGGGCTGGTGTAGGTGTTACGGATGACTGTAACAACAGATGTATAAAAAGTACCAGAAGAAGCAGTAAAAGCACAAAGTAACTTTTTTCGTCTTGAAGTTATGTCCCACATCAACCAATTTTAGTTTTGTTCTAACTCACAGTCAAAAGCTTACCTGTTGATCGTATCAGAAAAATCATCATAACTATCCATAGGCCTGTTAAACCCAACATCACCTTCTGGTAAACTTTCAGTGTGATACTCGTAAATTAGTACTTGAGAACAAGCTGATCAATGATCCTACAAATATAGGGCACACATACCATGACCCTTATATGTATAGTTGATGATCTTATACAACAAGTCATTCTTGGTGCCCACAAAGCACAGACCATGCCAAGATGCCATGGCTTCCAAGAAAGTCCTAGACATATGCTTCACCTTTGAAAACAATGATTGCAATGATTTAGACATGGCTTCATATGCACCCCAACTGCAGAAGATATTAAGAATGGAAATAGCTCTCCTTCTGGTCGCAGCCATGAATTTCCATCATAGAGTCTCATGATACAATTTGAGCATTGTTCATGCAGACCCCAGCTATCATGACAGCCCAGTGCTATCTCAGACACTCTGAAAGTAGAACATACTATTCAATGAGTCATTGATGCCCAACCTGACAATGCTCTGCTACATGTACTTGATGGTGGCTGCTGCTTTTGCTTCGAACCTTTCTACCCTGCTTTAAGCACACCTCACTTCACGTCACAGAGACTGCATCTGCCTTTATTGCATTCAATGTTAGGGAGGTCACATGGGTGCATAGATATCCATACAGTGTATGTATTATATATGCATTTGCATCAGACTATAGCCTTCGTCATTTGCCCACTTACCATTTCTTGCAACAACCTTTGTTCATCCTACAGAATTATTCGAGAGTAGGACCACAAGAAGTTGACAGTGATCCACAAATTGGTGTCATCTTATCTTTCAATGAGTAAACATGACATATGATGTGTCTAGTTGTTAGGAACACATCACGAGAAAAATGCACTCATCTGCTTCTGCAGCAGACAGCCACACATCTTCATGGAATGTCCACTCCATTGAGAATGAAACACAGTAAGGATTCTGAGTGAGAGCTCTTCTGCACTGTTACTGAGCCAGGTGCAGTCCATGTATGTAGGCGAGAGGTCAAGTATATAAAGACAGCAAAATCCACTAAGAAGGTATGAATATGCTGCTAGTGGTAAGTACTGCAAAAATACAATTAAGAGCACAAATAATTCACCTTATCGTCATTTTTCTTTAAGACCTTGGAGAGTACAGGCAACAAGATTTAAGACACACTATAATATTTATACTAGTCTACAGCAAGCTGCAAGGTGAGGTATTGCAAGACCTTAGACCTGAACTTGTACTGTGAAGGATTGTGATACTCACTTGGAGTTGCGCTAGATGAGCAAAGAGCAAAGCACTGGAAGCAAAGGCTGTGACATATTTGAGAATTAACACCACTACGCTCTCCCATCTCGCTCAGAATGCATTTGGCTATGCCTGAACTCTCCATACACTGTCTGGGGTGCTCATCAAGTGGGGATGGGCATTTTCAGGTGCACAAAATATCTGTGATGGTCATACATCCAATCACCGAAGAGGGATGTTCAAAGTCATCTCACCAAGCTTGAGCAGGTTCAGGGAGGGACTTTGTCATGGTTCAGGAATTTTGATGTGCTGTTAAACGGTGTAGGTAAACAACAATTGCTGTGCACTATACAAAGTAAGTAACCAGCAATATAAAAGTGTTGTGGTCTTGCACAGCCTAGTCTGCTATACTTGTTTCCCAACACTCACTATTGCATCACTATTAGTTTCCAATACACCGAACCTGAACCCAATAACCCAAAACCCAAAAAACATCAGACCTGATGCTTTTGCATCAGACATCGTAATTATACCTTCAAACATTGTTTCCCATGCTCAGATTATTGACCCCACATCACTCACTGACCCCCAAAACTATTCCCAGACCGCAGACCCCTAGGTCGAATGCACTTGTCTCACCAAGTATAGCAGACTAGGCAGTGCAAGACCACAACATAAAGATATCAGTTTGGAGCCATCTTTGTATAGCCCCACTCTGTGTTGTATACCTACAGCGTGTACACGACATGCTATTGCAACCTTTTGGCGTGTAGATGTGGTAGAGTAGACTCAGTAGAGTCAGTAGACTAGTACTGTCAGTAGTCATTGCAAGTGACTGTCCAACGTGTCATGGTGTTTGAAATTTCAATGGTCAAGTCTGGCCGATACTTACTATTCTACTTCCACAGAAGTTCCACCTCTTACTTACTTAGCACTTTCGGATTTAATATTTGAAAGTTCTCAATGGTTCAATGCTCAAGACTGTTCAACTTGGGTGATTGGTCTCGTGTGAGTAGTTGTACAACTTGTAATTTACCAACCATTTTGTTACAAGGTTTGCTGCACATTCAAGACTATTGCTACTCCAGGGTACGGTATCCCATTGATCAAGTTGTGTTTCCAATGGTGATTTATCTTCATTCATCTGTGATCAGTCTATGGGAGACTGTGCACTTTGTGTGTGGTCGGCTTATCTCTTTCATTTTCCACCTCACTTTGCTTCTCGTAGGAACTACAGCAGAATCCCTCATCATTGTGTGGCTGATTAATCCAGGATATCCAAATGCATGAGGAATTTCCACTTGTCATCCTCTATTTGGCTTAATGGTTGAATGGATGTTCACGGTGAAGGTTCAACAATACAGCGAGGCACGAACAATGCTCCTGGTTGTATCTATAAATGTTGTAAGGTCGCGCATTGCCTAGTCTGCTATACTTGAGACGACAAGTGCATTCGACCCTAAAGGGGAAGCGAGTGCAGCAAGGATCTAGAGGTATGCGCTGAAAGCGCTACTGGTTGGCCAATGCGAAGCACAGGAAAGCGCGAGGCGCGAGAATGCGCGAAGCGCGGGAATGCGCGCGCGTGTATGCGGAAACAAGAGAGAGTAAGAGTGAGTTTGCTTAGGTGATGATATGATGTAAGACAAGAGAAGGGAGATGCGAGGTGTAAACAAATAGATTTCTACTATGTTCTGCTAGGTAAATAGTGGGTAGTAACCAGTAAGTCCTCTGTCGTTCTGGTGGGAGAGTAAGTCAGTAAGTAAGTATGTACTGCTGGCGCTTAAGTATGGCGCCTAAGCGCTGTCATGCGGAGCCGAAGCGCTACCGAGTAAGGTATGTAAAGATATATGTAAGTAAGGGTCCATGATAAAAATAAAGATGGAATGATATGCAAATGTGAGAAATGGAAATATACGCACTAGGGAACTTGGTGGACAGTGGATGGATGCTTCCGGATGGCTGGCGCTATAGGGCGCTACAGCGCGGGAAAGCGCGCACGCATATACATCGTGAAGCGCGGGAAAGGTACGCGCGCATGGCGCGCATTGCGCGGGAAAGCTGCGCCTCATATAGAGATAGCTGCAGGTAGCGCACAGAGTGATGCTACAAGTTCGTGCCATGTACTCCCCAGTGAAAACTGCCATATTGCACAATGAGAGGCATGAGTCTCTACAACGGGTAGACCACCATTTGCAAATGCTGTAGTCAGGTGCATTTATTTTCAAGCAAAGGTGTTGGCATGCAGCATCGTCGCAGATAACAGGCTTCAAGTCGACCTCCATCCCAAAATTAGCTACTCACAAGATCAAGAGTTCTTTCTGAGGGTATCAAGTCTGTCCTCCTTTATAGATGGTGTACACAACATAGGTGCTCCATGTACTGATTCTTATAGACTTCGAATTCCTAAGCTGCATTTATCTTGCAATGGTTGTTGGGTTCTTCCAGAGATGCGAGATGGGATGATGAAAACTTGGATCATTCATGGAGCTAACTTTTATGGAGTGCCAGAATCCTAGGAGCTCATATGACAGTAACGTGGCAACCCATACAACTTTTTCAAGACAACATCATCATGAGTGAGACATCCAGATTTTACACTGGTATCATGCTGGGCATTTGAAACTCGCCTGTTAGTGCAGACCTGTGTGGTACCATTGGCACAACATTTAGCAGACACAGTATTCGAACTTATTAGCATAGCTCTGCAACTGGAATCGTGCGAAAACACATTCGCAGGTTGAATATTGAAGTCATTCGACTGTGACCTAAGTACTTGCTCTGAATCTATCCAGATTGCTGAGAAGGGAGAGGCGCAAATCAGTTGTATCACGTGACTACTAAGGCTTGCGGAATCCGGATCAGACTAGTTTGCACGTGCCACTGACTCCGCACTGAGTGGATCGAGTCAGTCGCTGACGGCGGACGCTTATAACTTATCTAGCAACGATCCCTTCATGGGGGCTTATTACGACGAGATCGAAATAGAAGATATGGCATGGGATGAGGTAAAAAGTGTCTACCATTATCCCTGCCCCTGCGGTGACCGCTTCGAGATCTCTCGCAAGCAGCTTGCCAACTGCGAGGATATCGCGACGTGTCCGAGCTGCAGTCTGATCATTAGAGTTGTCTATGATCCAGTACGTTATGTGGATCTTCTTTAGTCAGATGCACTAACATGAACGACAGCTTGATTTTGAAGACGAATCTCCAGATGACGAGGGGTCCGCATCGCAGGAAAGTGAAGAAGATGAGGAGGAAGATGACAATAGCGACGACGACCACTTCGAGGATGCTCTTGAGAAGCTTACTCTGACAGAGCCATCGGCAGCGTTGGTTGCAGCAGCAGCATAAGAGCTCACTCATTCCGTCTCGATGATGTTGTTGCCACTGGATGATAGTCTATAACGCATTGCAATATTAATGCAGGTAGGTCGTCGAGTATACTCTATTATTATTCTTACTAAGTCACAATTCAATTTTGACACTAGTACTCTGAACATATAATATTCCTGTATGAAATTAATGGCAATCCGGTTTCTCCATAGCGCGCATACAAGGGTCCCATTACTGAGCGCTGATCCGTTACTATCATTTTGCTGTACCATCAACATTTTTCATCAAAACAATTCTCACATACTGACTTGTTGAGAACTTGGCTCATCGTTGGGTAGTCCGAATTCACATAACATGATACAAGTCGCAATCAATAGGGGTGATCGAGCACTGAATGAGCACGACTGGGAGATTTTTCGAGCCTCTACCTAGCGCTGTCTTCGCACTGACTCGTCATTCAAGGAAGAGAATTTGACACAAATATGTGCTCACTCGATTTCCCACTTCACGCGCAAGGTTCTTTCTAGTGGGGGGAGGTCAACTCGCTTGCTTAATTAACGCTGATCAAAAATTTAGCTTTACAAAACGCGAGCCCAGATGAGTTCTCCCAATGTTGGCCAAAAACCATTCTCACCTCAGTAGTTGGTGAATCGACGGATGTGTAGCACAACCAAGGTATCATCTATTGAACGAGACCTTGGTACGGTTTTCATCCCGCTCGATGCTGTTCGCCCTCCACAGCTCGAGAAGTTCATGGGATATATTATCATCCCACCCGGTGAAGAAGCCCGTTGGATATTGGATCAGCTGCTGTTGATCGCATGCTGCTCTCGACTCTTTCATTTAGCCTACATAACAACGTGCTCTGGAAAATTTGTCATACTCTTGAATATCACTGGGTCATCTAGATGCAGTTGTCAGGCTTCCCCTAATATTAGCGAAATCTTGTTATATTTAACATTGAACTTCGAACGCGTGCGCTAGACTAAGAAGGGGGATAAAGTTAAGCTTGAATCCATTTATTCAAACACGTACATCAAGGCCACAAGTAAAAAATTCGCCGCAAAGCTCTGCGGATAGCAACACGCCATAAGACGTTCTCAATAAGCAAGGCTCCCATCGCTTTATGGTCAGTCCTTACTCCGACAACTCGGAGCATCGCTTCATGCCGTGCATGTAGTTCACAACAAAATCATCCTACAAGGCCAGTCCGCCATGCACGCTTGCTGAGTCAGAACAGCAAGGTACTCGAGTTGGGCTGGGTCTCAGGCCAAGCATGGCTTGACTTTCCCATTCGTCCAAATATAATAACTTGAGTACTGGCTAGCAACTTCGTACTCCACGAAACACAGGGAGTATAACTCACGAGGTATCATGTCGATAGTATGAGCCATAACGGAGGGTGATGCCGTAGCAGTGGTTAATAGTCCTGAATGCAGAATATCCCATAAAGATGGAGCAATGGTATCCAAGCAAGATGACATTTCCTCTAATCCAATATACACAAGTCCGTATGCTACATATATCCATCATCAACGTCGTCATAAATAAATCGACCAAACTCACTCGCCTCTAACTGCTTTGGGTATCAACAGACAGCCCATCATCACGCCCAGCCTTCTCATCTCCTTGCGGGTTCACTTGCTCCCACTCTTTTAACGCACCCTCGAGGCCCTCCCATACCGCCTGACCAAGATGTACACCTCCCAATTCCCCATCGTCCGGCACCTGCGCATCGGCAGCGTCAGCCGTTGCAGGACTTGGTATCCGCAGGTTAACAACCGCACACTCGCGGTAGACTGCGCCTGCCTTGAGCACTTCCTCTGGAGCATCTGTGCCTTGGCGGGCATTGCTCTTGAAAGGCGTTGGGAGAAAAAGGACATGCAACACGGATTGTATAGCAGATGTCGTGGATTTTGTGAGAAGGCGGAGGAACAGGTTGAAGAAGCATGTACCTAAAGAATTGTCAGTGTTTAGGTATTCAAATCAGATGAAGAATCTGACAGAACAATGCCGAATATAGATTGATTCCGTCCACGAACTGCATTTAACAGCGGTGCGATGGTATCTGATCTAGAGAGTCCGGGACACACGGATACGGCGACGATGTTGGACTTTTGCACCTTGTCGCTGACGACGTGGATGGTGGAGTCGTCTGTCTTTGGGACTTGCCCACCAGATGGCAGTGCGTCGAGGACACGCTGGAGGTGGCGGGTGAAAACAATCATTTGAAGGGAACGCCAGCCTTCTTGGTGAAAAAGTGGAGATGATGGGGGTGGCTTGGAGGTTGGGGAGAAAGAGGGTGCGGCGGCTGCGTAGAAAGGGTTCACGACGTTGATTATGCGTATGTCGCGTTCTGCGGGTGCAACAAGGAGGACGGGGAGAAGAAGAGTGAGAATTAAGAACGATGCTAGTGAAGCGTTTTGTCTCTCCTGGGTTAATATAGCAGAATCTTGGCGACCGATGATGGAACCTAACTGTTGATACTCGTGTGCAAATACGATACCATCAAGTCTAGTCTCCTTTGCTGTGAGGAAGCGGGAGCAGAAAGAGCGGACAGAAGAAGCAGATGTCAGATCGCATTCGTCTGCGAATATCTGGTCGTTCTTGGTGGTCGATCGCAAGAGGTTTATAAGAATTTCTACTTCAGAGTCTTGGACTGGCTTGGGTGAGAGAGCAATGATATGTGCGCCTCGTTGAGCAAGGTTCTGCATGAGTGTTAGGCCTAACGGAGTGAACCCTCCCTGATCAAGTGAGTGATACGGATGCACGTGGGAGGGTAGTATACGTACTGTGAGGAGGACTACTCTGGCATGCATATCCCGTTCACGGTTCGTCGTACGCCCTCGTGCGAACGCGCGAACCACCACAATGGCAAGGATTGAAATGAACGCGTGCACATAGTATTTGGATGGGAGCACGGCGTTGACTGCCGCTGCAAGGACCTTGAGCACCATTGCGAAGTTTCACGAGATCTAGAAATTATACAAACGGTCCTGTCATTCGCTCTGAGGAGGTCCAAGCTAGCGATGCTTTGAGGGTGTACTTCAAGGGTATATGGTGGATTGGAACTTGATCGTCGTGTACTGCTTTCGTTGCATGCAGATTCGCGGAGTCTCAACTTTGAAAGAGTCACGGTCACGGTGCAAGCTCCATCGCTGGCAAGACCTTCATAATAATATTCTCTCACATTCAACTACGATGATTCCACTGCGTTCACATCTCTGGAGCGGAAGTGAAGACACCGTTATGCTGAGCCCTCCTATTTTTGCTTGGGAGAGGTGAAGTAGGCCACGGAAATGGTCAATAATACCATGACTTTTATGCGTCATTCAATAATTACGATTTGCTATTGAGGACTCCGGGCTTGTGTGTTCAAGACGCGCGTAGTAACTGTATCGATGAGAACCCTCTCAACAGCTTCGTGAGTTGTAGTCTACTTTTCCTAGCAGTGTTGGCATATGCAAAGATTGACATCGTCACACATTTGTCGCGAGTTCAATGTAAACTTCTAGAACTTGATTGCAGTCCTTTGACTGTACTTTTTGAGTTATCCAGAAACTGACTATTGAAGACCTCCCTGACGAGGATATCCGTTGCGACGCCCTGGTGCACTTGCGTCCGATATGATCCCCAATTCAATGACATCTATCGTGTCGGAACCTCTCCTACTCTTCGCATTGCCTCGATCTCATCTTTCCCGGTGCTTTCTCCCTCTCCAACTGGCGTTTCATACTTTAAAGCTTCACATATTTATGTGCATCGTTTTGATGGTGCTCTCGTACTCACCCATTCGTCACGGATATCGTGATTACATGCCGTACTGTACGATATTACACATAATGAATCACATACTTCATCCCACTATGTTGTCTCAGATTTTTACCTCACTTTGAATGTACTGGGTACAACAGGAACATCGAATGTCAAGATGTCCGAGACGGAAAGATGCTACCAGTGACATCTGTGACGACGCCGGTGGTGATAACCATGCATGTGGTGTCGAAGGTGTCAGCATGCGATAGAGACTCGAAAGAGGAAAAGAAGCGAAGAGAGACACAAATACCGCGGCCGAAGGCTTAGGCTAATCGATATCTTCCGGCCAACTGGTAGCACGCGTACGCATCCTATCGCCAAAACACACCAGTACTGGTGCAGTTAACTCGGTCTCGTTCTCACTGGACGACACTTGCATTGTCAGTGGTTCTTCATCCGCATGCTTTGGGTTATTTATCCGTCGACCTTCGGTTCTGCCTATACTCTCACCCTCAAGTCCGCTAGAGAGCTCGACCATTTTGATAAAAGTGCCAAGCCTTGCCGTCTTCCAAAAACATTTTTTCTTCTAGGATATACTAAGAGCAAGGTCACTAGCAGAATCAGAGCCACTGTTCATCCCAAATAACCTAGCACGAGCCATGCATTTCTCATTCCTCCGAGTCGTAGCAGTCGTTGCAGCTTTGACAAGATCTATGTCTGTCACCGCACAGTGTGCAAGCTCAGGCCAGGCTTGTGGCACGACCAGCCCGACAGGCCTCATATGCTGCGGTGACCTTTACTGTGGGCCTATTGTGAGTATGAGTCGTTCGCTTTGCATCCAAAATTCAACCCCACGACTCACCTTTGCGCCTTGTACCAATAGCAGTCCGGAAATTCTTCCACGTACTGCAGGGAACCTTGAAAGTCCAGATGAGCTTGGCAAACTGAGCATGTCACAATAGTGAGTCTTATCTCTTTCGCGTTGGCACAGTGCTTGATCGCACGATATACAGTTCGTTGCGGAGTTGATGGATGTGCTCACTTTTATACAAATTTTCCTGACGCCTCGAAAATAAAATACTGTAGCGTTGATAGAAGACCTCGGGCTCAAGCATCATGCCATTCGACTTGTGTACGTCTTACATCAGTAAAAATAAAATAAAATAAGTGTCTTCAGTCGACATTGAAGTACGTGTACGTGTCATTGAAGATCATTCGAAAGAAGGAACTGGTGTCGAGGCATTGGAACAAGATTCAAGAACTAAAGAACAAGAACCACTGAGTACTGAGGTACAAATAGCGTGAAACAACGAAGTCGGATAGAGGATCACGTGCATCGTGGACGGTGTCATCGAGGACGTTAAATCACTGACAATGGTGATATCTAGTGTGCGGTCAAATAGAGGGGTGTAAATTTACAGGCGTAAATTTACACCTGTATATTAACGTTAATCAGCATGTGAATATCAGAAGGGCATTTTGGGGGTGTAAATTTGGGTGAATCTGGAGTTTGCCAATCGGGCATCTCCGTGGTGAATCTGTGAATCTCGCAAAATATCTACACTGGCCAGGCCATTAAATGGAAAACATTTGCAAGCATGAATTGTGAAACGAGAAATAAACTACAGTTACTATCTCTTTATCTTCAAAATCTCCCCGAAACCATTCCTTATGCAGACCCTTCGACCCCACAGTATGGCTTCGATTTCTTCGCCTTGGATGATGAAAAGATCCAGGATTATGGTCCCATCGGCGCAGTGAACCATGAACTCGAGGTGCGCATGGGTCAGCGTAACAAAGGTCCCATTTCTTTCAAGGAGCGTGGACCTAGCCTCAATGCTGTGACCGATGTGCTTGGTGGCTACTTGGATCAGTATCACGAGTCTCCAGAGACAGTACTTCTTGTCAAATGGGGTAACATTTTTTCGCGTGTTGATTTATCAGTCTCATACTGACTACACAGAAACTAAAAACACCATACAAACCTCTCGTCAAGTGGCGTGATATGGAATCCACTATCTTTGGCAAGCATTCTGCTGAAGATTTGCCTCCCGCTGGTCGAATGCCTCCTCCACCTGAAGCAAGGACAGTGGACTCGGACTCGGACTCGGAAGAGTTTGATGATGGCGCAGATTGGTTGGACGGTCCAGCTGCTCTTTCAGAGTTTAGGACAGTGGAAAAAGATTCGTTCGTGCTTGCAGCGTCCAGCGGTATTGATTTGTGTGCACCCTACCTACGTGAACTGCCTGATTCAGTCGGAAAACAACCTTTACAGCTGGGTTCCGCACCAACAAAGAAGGCCGCAAAAACCTTGTCTCTGTCTGTCCCTGACCCTTCTGCTTGGGACGAGTGGAAAGTTGAATAACTCACCTAATTCACCGTAATTCACAGTACATTTGACCTGATTCACCTGTAAAATAGCGTTAATTTACAGACATGTTAATTTACGGTAATTCACAGTGGTGAATTTGAAGGCCTCTGGGCGCATTGTAAATTTACCCTGTGAATCTCGGACAGTTCCAAATTGACCGTACACTAGTGATATCCTAAGTTTTCGTCTCGTTAATGTGAAGCGTTATTTTGATGCACTTTGCATACTAGATACCATGTCAGCGGTTCGTGCTATCTATGTTGATAACAAGGTTCTTGTCAGTCCAGAATATGATTTTGCGGTTTATCCTTGGCTGAAAATCGAAAACGGAGCACCAGTCCTCGTATTCTTCACGACGAGCACCTATGAGTACAAAGGCAAGGCGTACAACAGGAAGTTGCGCAAGAGCGCGTCGATTAACGATAAAGCTATTCTTCTCTTTGAGAATTCACCGGCGGACAACTACCAGCATGGTGCAAAGTTGCCCGCCAAAAAGTACACCAACAAGAATCTCGGGATCATGCCGATGAGAGAAGAGAAAGAAGCTGGAACGAGCCAGAGTGTGTTGTTGGGCGGCTGCAGCTAGCTGTACAGTAGCGCTGATAACTATACACGTAGGTTACTAAAATTCTCAATGTAGCTGGCCCCAGCACGTTTTACAATGATTAATGTGTACGTCCGGTGGTCTAGTCAAGAGTCTACACCAGCCTGAGTCTTTTGACTCAGGACTGCCAATTTGGTGCCTATGGCCGCTGTGATACTGTTCTCGTTCAGAACAGCAGGAGCAGTGGTGTGTCCGTTTTCTGGCACACAGTGGTGACCTTAGGTTCATTTCACAGTTCCTTGCGTTACCGTAGTTCAACGTTCAAACGTTCAAGCTCAAGTCCAAGCTGTGTTACCGTTGACCGGACCGCCCATCGAAGCACCCGCATATAAGCTTGATCAGGTGCTTGCGACGATAAGTCGACGATTTTCAAATCGTTAAATTATCGTCGGAATGATTCCTTAACATATGTGGACGCGATAGTTCGCCAGTAAGAATTGGAAATTCTTAACCTGTCGATTATTTGTCGCATGTAGCCTATATACAACAGATCCTCCGAGTCCTGAGTCCTGATACACATTCTGCTTCTTCCTGCAACATTTACAACCATCCGACAGGCCTGTACATGTGTACTAGACCTACGCGATTTATCTAAAGCTATTTTGACACCGGTCAGTCGCGATTCTGGTCAAGATATGGCTTCTCGGGAGTCGGAAGGCTCCGATAGGCCAGCCTGGGTAGTGTAACAAGCCAGGCAGCTGTCGTAGGGACACAGGGAAATGAAAACAACCATGCATCGAAGAGGAGTCTTGCTAGTGATAAAGGTACTAGTGGTATATCAGGGACCTCAAAACGCGCGCGAAAGACAGTCCAAGCACGGTCTGCAGCGCCTGGTGGGTTTGCAAATTCTTTCGCACTAAATGGATCTTCATCAGCACGCCCTCCGAATTAGCAGACAGCAGCACACCTCGTACCTCCTGAGTCTATTCCTCCACATCCTCCGCAGTTCTTCGACAATATCATGATGCTGCCCAATCACCAACAATATGATGCATATGTGCGCCCTACCGGCACAGATCTATTAAGCGTTCATTTCACAGTTTTGCAGATGACTTGACACCTTCGACACCGCATCCGGTGTCGTCACGGTTGTCACCGGTTTCCGTCTCGGACATCTTGACATTCAATACTTCCTCGGCAGCCCTACCTCCATCACGTCCACTGAGGTATGCATTGGTCTACTGTCCACATGCTCTGGAGTGTTTATCCGCCAACCTTCGGTTCTGCCTATACTCTCACCCTGAACTCCGCTGGAAAGCGCACCCATTCTGATACAAGTGCCAAGTTTACTTTCCAAAAACGTTTTTTCCGATAGGACATAAGAGCAAGGCCACTAGCAGAATCAGAGCCACTGTTCACATATAACCTGACACGAGCCATGCATTTCTCATACCTCCGAGTCGTCGCAGTCGTTGCAGCTTTGACAAGAATTATCCCTGTCAGCGCAGATTGGTGTGCGCCCTTAGGCCGTGCTTGTGGCCCGACCAGCCCGGAAGGCCTCGCATGCTGCATTGGCCTCAGTGTGTGCGATGGTAGAATATCGGAGAAGTGCCGAAATGAAAGCAGAACTTGATATTGTGCTCGAAGTGCCGAAACCACGAGAGCTGTTCCCGGGAGTAATCGTGAGCGAAGAAGGCATTCCAAAGGAGAGAAACAGTACCCAGGGGTGCCAATATGACTACAGGACTCGGGGAGGCTATTTGCACGAAAGATCCAAATACATTAGATATCAAAAAGATGGCAAATCCTATCAACCATAATGGTCGGCGGTGTTCCACTTTCTGGTCTTGTTCTGGGAGCTGTGAGTTATGGACATAGCTACGAGGCTGGACCGCAGGATAGTGTGCCGGACTGCACCGTGGTGAAGTTGCTCCAACGTAGTGTACTCGGTATGGAAGACTAGGGTGTGTAGACGGCGGACCAAATACCAGGTTTTCGATGATGTTTAGGGCGACCGACCCCCCAGGTGTAAATTCGGATTGCCTCGCGTCGCATTCAAGATATGCAACGCCCTGAAATCTCGCCAGAAGCCTGTTCAAGAGCATCCGAGCAAATGCTCTTTCCGGACTTTTTCGGACCCTTGACAACATACACCAAGAGAGGTATTGGATCTGCTGAAGATGGTGGCATCTCTGCAGCGCTCAGGGCAATACTCCATGATTCTGGCAGTACGAACGGCAGCACGTCCCTGGTGCTGTGCGTCACCAAGCTCACGCCAGGCCGTATAACATCTGTCGAGCTCCGCTGCCAACGCGAAGGTTCAAAAACTCCATCAAAGATGCGATATACACGCCCGAGACCTTCCACGCCTGTATCGAGCGACTGAATCGCTACTATAGCTCCGTCGTGTTTGTTTGTGACGCGAGGAGGAAGGGAAGATATGTTCGAATCGGCATGTACGTCCGACGAGGCGCATCGTAGGATGGGAATCGGAGCAGAACGAAGGTCGAACACATGGTGAGCTACTTTCGAGGCAGACAACGTTACACTAAGTATGGATGCAGACCACTTCAAAACAGTAGGATCGGATGTCCCTGGATGTGCGAGTGTCTCCTCTTGGTGGATGGAAAGTACCGAAGTCTCGTTTTGCAAGCCCGTGGCAACGTTGGCTTCGCCGGCAGAGAGCTCGTAAACATTAAGATCACGAGTGGGTCTGAACGTAGACAGTTGGGAAGGCTCAGATCTCGAAGGCTGGGGGCATAATGGAAATTCGGACATCTTGACATTCAATACTCCATGTTTTTCTTCGGCAGTCCTACCTCCATCACGTCCACTGATGTATGCATTGGTCTACGGTCCGCATGCTCTGGATTGTTTATCCGCCAACCTTCGGTTCTGCCTATACTCTCACCCTGAAGTCCGCTGGAAAGTGCACCCATTCTGATACAAGTGCCAAGCTTACTGTTTTTTTCCGATAGGATATAAGAGCAAGGCCACCACTAGCAGAATCAGAGCCATTGTTTTTCTTGACACATCCCATATAACCTAGCACGAGCCATGCATTTCTCATTCCTCCGAGTCGTCGCAGTCGTTGCAGCTTTGACAAGATCTATGTCCGTCACCGCACAGCAATGTGCGCTCTTAGGCGTGGCTTGTGGCCCGACCAGCCCGGAAGGCTTCGGATGCTGCGGTGACTATGTCTGTCCGCCTGCTGTGAGTATGAGTCGTTCGCTTTGCATCCGAAATTCAACCCCACGACTCACCTTTGCGCCTTGTACCAGTCCGGAAGTACCCTCGTGTACTGCGAGAGAAAGTCCGGATGAGCTTGGCAAACTGAGCATGTCACAATAGTGAGTCTTATCTCTTTCGCGTTGGCACAGTGCTTGATCGCACGATATACAGTTCGTCACGGAGTGGATGGATGTGCTCACTTTTATACAAATTTTCCTGACACCTCAACCAGACTCCCGACCAAATTACTGTAGCGTTGATAGAAGACCTCGCGCTCAGGCCTCATGTCATTCAACTTGTGTACGTTTTACATCAGTAAAAGTAGAAGAAAATTGGTGTCTTCAGCCGACATTGAAGTAGGAGTACGTGACATTGAAGATGAAGGGGCTGGTGTCGAGGCATTGGAACAAGAACTAAAAAAACAAGCCTCGGCGTCGTGAAGAGAACCACTGACTCCGAGGTACAAATAGCGTGAAACAACGAAGTGATGAAAGGGATAGGGGATCACGTGCACCCGTCTGAGTCGTCACGGGTTACTACGACTGTTCACTATTGTCAGCACCTGGCAGCAGCGCTACGGTACAGCTAGCTGCAGCCGCACTCTAGCACCAAGTACGCCACTTCAAGCACTCATCCAACATGCTTGCAGCAACCAACCACGCCTTTTCTTTACCCCTTCACATGGTCAACCAGGGCACGCGTGATCCCCGAACTATCCGACGAACTCGACTTCCCGGACTCCACGACCCTCAGACTTTCTGAAGCTTTCTCGCACGACGTTTGTATTTACCAATTTTAAATAACACTCTGCGAATTATATTGGACTAGGACGTACCATCCCCTTCCCATTTATTCTCCTCTTTCAAATTCCAACATTTACAGTGGACGCACGCCAGTACTCGGTCTGCTTCTGCCGCAGTATGAGAACCTACATGGACATATATTCTGTTCGGTGGATGAGTCTCAATTCGTTAATCATGCTCTCGATATTCATAGGAGATTGAAAAAGATAGAACAGAGTTGTGCGTGCTCTCTCACATGAAGCACTCGGGGTGTTTTTGACTTCTGCTTGCAGCCAATACAAACCCAAGTCCGCATGGCATCGAGCACACACACGTCTCTCACGACTTAACTACTCACGGGTTATACGGCGTCTCCGTTCTCAAGCATGCTATCATCTGCGCCTTTGTCTGCTTCATCAAGGAAATTACCTTCAAGGATAAAACCCATCCACGAAGGTGACCCGTCCCGTGCGTATTTAGCCACCGTACCTATGAAAGATGATGCATTTGTGTCCCTCCCAATTCAGAGTAACTGCACGATCACTCCATATACTATGCGATGTCTTGTCTTGCAATGTGGACAAGGACTTCAGGCTAAAGCAAATAGGTCGATTGCTACCAGCGGGATACCTTCTATACGTTTTGGGTCAAGGTTTGCATCTGCCGCGTCGACTGCAAGACCTCCAACGAAGGCGCCTAGTATTTCATTTTCTTCTGTACCTCCCTTGTGGAAGTGCAATCAGTAAACTGTTGAGCCCTGCAACTACGAGTCTACTGATGAAGCTTTTTAGAGACAGTGGCACACACACGGACATCCAGATGATAATAGCCTCAGACTAAGACAGTATCTTGAGGGAAGTGCGTGCAAAGAGTATCGTAGTTACATAACGATCAGTGGCTTGTGATAGTGCGTGAAGGGAACTGTACCATCACAAAAATTGCTCATACTAGACCTAACAATACATAGATATATATACGGTATCAATACTGTCAATAATATCAGGGTTAGGGTTTAGTATGTCTGAGCAGACTTGGAACCTGATATGTCCAATGGACTGAGCGTGTACGACGTGTTCCAGGCAAATATATTATTATCTCAATTAGATTATTCAGACATTGTAAATCACACAGAGATATTCAGTTAAAGTCAGATATTCATTATCATCATGAGAGTACAATGTATTGTAAGGCGCTACAATGTAAGGAACCTACTGCACTAGCAGGATATCACTGAATGAGAGAACCCAGAGATAACATAGAAAGCAATGTCGGAGGTAACAAGAGCACAACGCCGAAAGTCCCAGCGTGAGAATATGAGTGCAACGAGGCAAAGTCCAGTGTGAAAATGCGGTGATTCGAGAAGCGGCTGCCGAGTCCGAACGAGCGATGAAGTGAAAAATCTAAAACCGATCAAGGAAAACCGAGTGACGACATAGTAAGTATAAGGCAAAATGAACATACCGATACCATCTATTTCCTGCGTGCTGCGCGTTTGGTGCGACCTTTGGTTGGCTTGGCCAGTTCCTGGTCCTCATCGTCGGATTCCTCTATCACACGGTGCTTGGTCTTACCCCGGCTGGTTTTTCGGTGCCTTCTTTTTCCTCTTTTTGTTGGTGCTGACGTCTTCCAGGTCCTCATTGTTGTCAGATGGAATGTCATCTGGCATGAGTTCACTCGGTGCAGGTGATTTTGGTGGGATGGGGGCCGTCTGCACGAGCCTCGGAGATCAAACGATTGGCGGTGGGGGGAGTTCCGGTTCCGGGGTGACAGAAGCAATTGGCAGTGGGGGGAGTTCCGGTTCCGGGGTGACAGAGCTTTGAGGTGGCGTTGGGATAGTCGGAGTGAGTTCAGGTGCTGCAGGTTGTTTGGCAGTGCTGGCACGAGCGGCCATCTGCGCTCGCATCTTGGCTAGGCCATTGATTGGAGCCGAGGAAGAGCCAGCCGCGTTGCCTGGTCCGTTGTCGTCAGTTATAGTCGTTCCACCTTCGCGCCCATTTTCATTCTTAAACAATGCCCTTAAGGCAAAAGTAATGATTAGTTAGGTAAAATGTGAGAGAAGATAAAAACATACCTGTTCCACCATTTGAGAAGTCCCTCTGCCCAATCTCTGTCCTCGCACTCACGAATGAAGTCGATGATGTTGTAGTAAAAGGCTCGGTTGTTGAATTCGCCGTCCGCTTCGGACCATTTGTTCTTGTTGCTGATGGCGAAGCGTGCCTGGCAGTAGTAGTAGTATATGAAAACAATAAGTCAGTTGTGTTAAGTACGTCAATTAAAATAAAACTCACCTGAACGCAAGCATATGCTATATGCTCTGCCTCGACAGTAGTCATATCATGCAGGGACGCAGTTGCACGAACAGCGTAGCGCGCGAGTCGTCACCTAATGCAGTGGACGGACCTGTAAAAATATGACGCATTATCTAGTAATACAAAATATTAGTAAGATACACGCATATAATCAACTGAAAGACTTACACGCTCGATGAGATAGCCCTGGAACAGGCCCTCGTGCATGGCATCCTCGTCGTACCTGCTGCCAGGAGGATTTCCGGCCCACAGAAACACCGGAAAGTCGATTGAGGTCATACGAATATGTCCGATCTCCATCCATTTTCGGGCCCTAAGTCAAAGAACATCAGATGATCGGATGTCATAAATCGAGTACTTACAATGCGGGATCTCGGTTGAAATCAGCGAGTGCTGATATCGGACAAAGAAAAGAAGCAAGCACAGGGTGATTGATGCCCATATGCGCCCTGGACAGTGAGCCACCATTATAAATTGTAGGCTTCAAACCTTCTTTTAATGGTTCAGGCGCCGCATAGTGGCCGATTTGGACCTTCAAGCGAGTTGCATCAGTCCGAACGTGTTCCACTAATAACAGCAGTCATCTAAATAGTATATCAGTACACAGTATATGCGCATATAAGCAGCATATACTCACCTTTCGTGCGATCTGAGTGAGTTCCTTGGACTTCGTGCGATCAGTAATAAGTGATTGGAGTCCCGGAGCCAGTTGAAGCAACTGCTGATAGTTGCGCTTGTACCGATCGAGGGTATTGGTTGAACTATAAAAAAACGGACATCTTAGTGTAGACTTTGCAAAATGAAAATTCGGACTTACAGACTTGCAAGCCTTTTCTGACAGGATTCGCGCTCAGCCTCCGACTCTTCCAATTCTCCATTCTCCGCGGCCTGCTCTTGCTGTAGGAGTAGACCTACCCTTAGGAGTTTCTCCACGTTGCAAAATAGATCGATGCAACGTGCCATAGCACGTGCTGCCGCAAGATACTCCTCTTGAACTTCGAGTTCGGAGTTGTTCTCTTTCGAGATCTTAGTTTTCCTGATCATAGATTATATTAGTGATCTCGGCGCAAGGAATTTGAATAGAAAACTTACTTGACTTCTCGATCACCTTTATCAGATTTGCAGCCCGCATTTTTTAGACGACTTCTTAGGGCGAGGTTGCAAGCGTTCCATTGAGGAAATAGAAGAGTCACTGCTGGTGTCGCTCTCTGAAGCTGAGGGGGATCTGGAACGACGTTTGTGCGGCATGCTTAAGATGTGATGCAATGATATCAGTAGAAGAAGTCGTGTGATCAGAATCTGATCAACAAAGGCAAATTTCAATCTCCGAAATCACATGACCCACCTTGTATCCGCTCAATTCTCTAAGTCAAACATATCTCTTCGTCATATCCGAGTCGACGATCATAATCATGAACCGATTGCTTGATCAGAAGCATCGATTGCTTCATCCACAGACCGGAATAGGTGCGTCTGTCATACCTTAAGGATGCTCACATACCATGCAGGTGGTGATAGCTGAGCCATGCGGCGAAATGGCGCAGGCAACTTCAAGGACTTAGACTGGGAGTTAGTAGACTCATTTGGAAAAGAGTTGCAGGAAGCAGGATCATCTAGATCTAATACATATTCCCGCTAAGTCTTATGAATTTGTTATTCTATCTATGATGCAATATAAAATCTAAAGTTTGTGTTCATGTTGGGCTGAGTGTGCATCCCATGGACGGCCTCACCTGCCTCGGGTGTGCAAAGGTTTTCACGACTCAGAAAAGCCTCAGTAATCATGAGGCTCGGTGTGATGCCAGTAAGAGCCTGGATGCTGACGTCTATAAACAGCAGCGCCGTCTGGAGAAGCAAATGCGCCGGAAGAAAAAAAGGCAACGTGTCACGGCTCCTGACACATCTTCCTCACCAGAAGGCAGAGATACGAGCCGCAATGCTCGTCGACTAAGTCCTGAAGACCGGATGGATGTCGACAATGATCAATGGCTCGATCATGATCATATGCACGAGGTAAGTCATTTTATATTGAATGATCGGTTTGTCTAATTTTACAACTAATAGGATGAAAATACTGCTGGAGCTTCTGCTGACGTCGGCGCACCAATCCCACCAATCCCTGATGCGCCTACCATAACCTCTGCCCGTTCTGGCCGACGAATCCGCATGCCCGCTCGTTATGCGGACTATCTCCCAGCTGGACCTACCAATCTCCCACATATACCTCCTCCACCAGACAGCCCTCCCAATCGAGTCATCGATGATCTCCCCAACGACCAGCCCATCCTTGTTCCCTATCAGACTGCACCAGATGCACTGGGTCTGTTCCGCATCTATGCGCAACAACCAACTCTCACGCCCATCGGAAATGAGGGCCTTGATGCGATCGCTGATGCCCCAACCTTCGACACAGGGGGCAACCTTCATCTGGAAAGATCTCGGATCATTCCTGGACTCCCGTCCCAAGACATCCGGCCTGAAGATATATTCTCCCCCTTTAGCAGCCCGACCGCAGGTCTTCTCATGTGCTGGCAGTATTCCGGCGCAAACTCCAAATCGAGTGCTGAAATGAAACGCCTCACAAGGTCGTTTCTTGATAACGATGAATATGATAGAGAAGACATGCGCATATTTGATGATGTGCGCGAGAAGAGGCTTATAAAGGAGTATCTTCGAGACAGATCTAATCCATTTCAGTGTGGAAAACGGCTGGCGCTGCTCCTCAGTAAAAATACGCCTGCCCAAAGAAAAGGTCAAGTTCGCATCTGAAGAAGATGCCCCAGAATTGGAGATCCCGGGTGTTCATCACCGCTCCCTCACTGACATCATTAGATCTGTCTTTGAGGACAATATCATATCGACGTTTCATTTAACACCTTTCCATCAGCAATGGGAGATCTCCGAAGGTCGCATTATAAATGTCTATAGCGAGGCGTATTCCTCGCCTTCTTTTCTGGAAGCCTACGAGGAGATTAACGCACTTCCCCGAGATCCAGGCGATAATCTTGAGCGAGTTGTAGCCTCACTGATGATGTGGTCCGACAGCACTCATCTTGCCAGCTTCGGAGATGCGTCTCTCTGGCCCTTCTATCTCTGTTTTGGAAATCAATCCAAGTACACACAAGGCAAGCCGACAGCATCTGCCTGTCATCATGTTGCATATATTCCTAATGTAAGTTCCAGTCTGTGATCTATTAATTTGATTATACTCATTCTGATGTATTAAGCTTCCTGACGACTTCCAAGACCGTTATGGCCGTCTCTTCGGCGAGGCATCATCCAGTGATGTCTATACTCACTGCAAACGTGAACTCATGCAAGCCATATGGGCGCTTCTACTGGATGAGAAGTTCATGGACGCCTATAAAAATGGTATTGTCATTCGATGCGGTGATGGGGTCACTCGACGTGTTTTCCCCCGCTTTTTTACTTACTCTGCAGACTATCCTGAAAAGTACGTATTTTGATATTAAATCCCATGTTCATATCTCATCGTAGATCTATTGTTACAGGATTCTACTTGCTTGTATCAAATTTCTTGGCGAATGCCCTTGTCCCCGCTGTCTGATCAAGAAAGAGGACATCCCCAATATGGGAACGAAGATTGATCTTGCGAAACTGCCAAGCAACCCAGCGTGTCGATGATGAACGACGTCATCGCAAAGTTGAAAAAGCCCGCAGGCTGATTTTTAAACATGGTGTCGGCATCAATGGCCAACGCATCAAGAGGATCTTACAAGACGAGTCACTGGTTCCAACTCGAGTGAGTAATCTATGCACATATCTCATATTTATATCTTATTGCTTCATATTAGAACACATTCTCTACACGGTTCCTCCAATATATATTCAATTTTTTTTCAATGTTTGTTGTGGATTTGCTTCATGAGTTCGAGTTGGGTGTGTGGAAAGCAATTTTCATACACCTGATGCGCATTCTTCTTGCTGCAGGGTGGTACAGCAGTCAAAGATCTCAATTTCAGGTACGTCATAGTGCTTTTCACCACAGTAACACAACACTTATAAGATATACAGGTACCGCCAAGTTCCTACATTTGGCAGGGGAACGATCAGACATTTCCATAAAAATGCATCTGCAATGAAATGTCTGGCGGCCCGTGATTTCGAAGACATGTTGCAGGTAAGATCGATCTGATCAGACGTTCAGATCATAATTTGATGATGTGCTTGATGTGCTTTTCATTTCAAGTGCGCTATTCCAGTATTCGAAGGACTACTCCCTCCTGAACATGATACAGTTGTTCTTGACCTCCTTTTCGACCTTGCTACCTGGCACGCTTATGCAAAACTTCGTGTACATATGGACGACACTCTCACATTTTTCGACTCCATCACTGTGATCCTTGGACAATCGGTTCGCAAATTTCAATGCACTGTTTGTGCGTACTATCACACAACTGAACTTCCTAATGAGTATGCTGCATGTGGACGCTGTGAGGCTGCATTAGCATCAAAACAAGTGGGTTCTGCAAACACATTGCAGAAGTCTAACCCGAAGGTGAAAACCTTAAATCTTTTCACCTACAAATATCACGCACTTGCTGATTACCCAAATACTATCCGGCGAGTCGGTACTTCAGACAGCTATTCAACACAACCAGTAAGTGATCTCCTCATAATGTTATTCATACAATATCTAATGTTATATAGGGAGAACTCGAGCACCGTCGATCAAAGCGCCGATACCCTCGCATGGCCAAGAAGAAGGATCAAACCCTATCCAGCATGACTTCTCAAGAAGCACAGGAACACCTAATTGAGAAGGTGATTGCTGCACTTGCAGCAAAGTGGAATCCGAGACCACGGCGCACCCAAATGTCTCCCTCGGATCATTATTCAATTGCAACATACGCTCGTGCAAATGATGACATCACCTCTTGGTTAATCAAGCGCAGAGACATTGGAGACTTGTGTGATCTTGCGATCGAGGCAAGTTATTTTCGTATATGTATATTCACATTTTCATTGTATTTTCTTAGGAGTTTATTCCACGACTCAAGGACCATCTACCTCGCTCGACTTTGCAATCTTGCATATGACGGAGATGAGCATGACTTCTCCGATGCTGATCGCACCTCGGTTCTATTCACAGACAACAAGATATACCACCACAGTATCTTGCGCATCAACTATACAACCTACGATCTATGACGTGAACAGGACACCATCAATCCCCACACTCGTGCCGACATTATGGTTCTCTCCCACGAAGATGAGAAGATTCATCCATACTGGTATGCCCGTGTGATTGGGATCTATCATATCAATATTGAATACCGCGAGGACGACACTCAAATGTACTCACACCCAACTCGGATGGACTTCTTATTTGTCCAATGGTTCAGACGAGATAGTTCACCTGCAGGTTGGGCTGCCAAACGACTCCAGCGCCTTGAATTTTTCGATGAAGACAGTCCTGACGCATACGGATTTTTGGATCCAGACTCTGTCATTCATGGAGTTCATCTGATTCCCAGTTTTCAACATCGGTCAGATCCTCAAGATCCTGAGTCTGACTGCCGTTTTCAATATGTGAACATGTGCGCATTTGTTTTTATTTATTCTTGCAACTAAGGCTGATATATTTACATCATATATATAGATTTGTTGATCGAGACATGTTCATGAGGTTTCGCGGTGGCGGAATCGGCCATAAAGCTACCAGACACTGGGACGATATTCTCCAGCACGAGAACCATGGAGCCGAAGAACCGGAAGAGGGTGATCAGCTTGAAGAAATCATTGCTGACGTATCAGACGCAGATACAGAGGAGGAGTGGCAGGATATCAGGGATGACAATGCTGACAGCGAGAGTGATGAAGAAGGCGATGACGAGGGTAGAGTCATGGCTGACGAAGGAGAGGAGCTCGATGATGACGTGCTTGCAGAGGAAGGATATGGCGCGCTTTGATGTATTTAGCATGCTTCTCAATCGATCGAATGCCCGGCGTGCATCAAATTTGCATTTTCATTTTCTGTTGCGCAAATACTTTGATTACAGTAGCTATACGACATTACGTATGTATTGTAGTGTCTAGGATATATCATGTAGATACAAGAATCATCTACTTAATGTCGTTATGATAGTATCGCGAGGTGGGAGGTCTCATTCTGAGTTAATTGCTTCATTCAAATGTCACGTCGGGGTGTTGATGACATCACACGTACTTGTTTGGTCATATGTTCAGCCACCCTACCGTCCATATCGGGTAATCTCACGGTTGAGCAATTTTTGTGATGGTACATTTACTATTTTCCCGACGGCAAGCAAATGATCAGCGGATCAGACGATAAGACGATTCGGCGATGGGACTTGCGAGAGGGCAAGGAGATTGAAGAGGCTCGGGAGGTTTACAAAAATAGGATATATGGAGTGAGGGTATCAAGGGATGGTCGATGGGTTGTCACTGCTGGCTATAGCCTCGGACTCAAAGTCAGTGAGGTTGAGACGGGGATCGTGAGAACATTTCACATTGGGTGGATCACTTGCTTCGATATCTCAACGGACAGCACCTTGGTAGCGGGTGGGTCATACGATGGGACACGGATATGGAGCTTGGACACAGGCGAACTCGTGGTTGGTCCATTCCAATTTACTGACAAGGGTGATCCTAGCCCAATAGCACTTCGACTCTCGCAAGACTCTCGGAAGATGGCGGTGTCTCTAAATTTGGGGCATCTTCAGGTGTGGGATGTTGAGGCACAGAAATTGCTTGTACAAAAGTCTAGTCCTAGCAAACATTCTGGGTTTGTTTCACCGGTCTTCTGGACAACAAAAGACAAATCCATTGTAGCTGCATTCAGCTTCACGGATGATGCCCTCATCCGGACGATCTATGAGTTGGACGCATCGACACTCAAGACTGTTGGAGCTCCTTTCAAACACACTGATGGCATCTATGGTCTAGCACTCTCATCTGATTGTATTCTTCTCGCCAGCTCTTCCTACCGCTCCATCAAGCTGTGGGCCTTCGAGTCCCGCCAACTCCTTGCTTCATTCGACGTTTCGGGATCTCCCATGACCGTCGTCCTCTCGCCTGATTCACGCCAACTAGCTCACACGACCTTCGATGACTCCAAAATTTACGTATGTAACATTCCAGCAAATATCCTTGCTAGCATTGGGCTTCAAGAACTGCAGTCTAGTGTATGTATTCCCCCCATACATCTATCATTTATATGCTAATGTTCTTAGTACAGAACAGTAAATCTGAACGTTCGCGCCATGCTGGTCTACTCAACGTATGTGGTCCTGCCCTTTCCTTCATCTACACCACACCGTTGTTCATTACAGTCCAATGCAACACCTCGTCCCGCGCGTCGTAAACTGGTGGTAATACCTGCTGTGTCTCCCATCCCTCGACCTTTGCCTGCGAGGGATCCAGACACTCGCCTTCGCTTTCTACGCAAACTCTTTTCACCCTCTTTTCGTACAGGCGCGGTTCACACCGATGAGCCTCGCGATCCCCTGGATGTGTGTTTCTTGTAGCTTTCTGTTTTCTAGTTGAATTGACAAGTCCCTTACAGTTCTCTGCTACATTGCCCCTACCTCGTGCACTTTCAAAACATGGCGATGATGTGAGTGCGGACCGCCATAATTACATATCAAACTTAGATTCTTCAAGGCTCGACACGCACCAGTACCACGCACCACCCAATCCTCTGCCATCAATACTTCCTCAAATCTCAAATCCCGCCTACATCGACTATCAACTCATGCATCACCCGCTATCGTCGATGTTCCTCTCGCGCCTGGTAGACTCGTACGCGCATCTCATTTTTCTCGTCGTATTCAAAATCTCATGCATTCATGTATAGCGGTACGCTGCAGCGGGTGCTCGCGGCCCTGAAGATGACCTTATACGTGATGAAGACTATGTTCCTCCTTCTCCTAATGCCGGCTCACGCCAAGGGACTGTCAACTCCGGACAGCATGGAAGAAGCCGGTTCTGTTTCTGCTTATAGCTGAATTCGATCGGATATCTTGTTACTGTAATCATTACTCATAGTATGCGTTGTCCTCCCTCACTTATGCTGAATTCTTACGCGAGGAATGTGTTTCTCCTTCTCCTTCCTCTACAGAAGCTATCGGTTTTTGTTTCTGCTTTTAACTGATTCGAACTTGTTCCCTGGTACCTCGTTGCTGTAATTGTTGCTCGTCGCATGCGTTGTTCTCCCGTCAGTGTCACGGTGGTCACTATTTTTACAGCAAGCAACAGTGCGAGGACCTCAGACATACTGTCATGTCGATGTATCCAGTTGCAATTAGAAGGGCGTTTGGTTGTGTTTCTGCTTGTAGACTAACTCCAAACCTGTCCCCGGGGTATCTCAATTTCACCGCCCTTAGCTCGAGCTAGTGCGATATGTAACCAAGTATTTCCGGCGGCTCGGTGCCACCGTCATCAAGCTTTCAACCAAATTGTTCTTACATTTCACCTTCATCGATTCATACTAACTACATACATGTGATTTTTATATATGGATTAGTCGGTATGCGAAATACATCCGGCCTGAGTACCTACTACCTGTGTAGCAAAATACGTGGCTATATTGCATGGCAACGTAGGCTACGTAGCTTCCGTCGAACAGCATTTATCTCAGGCATATCCGCGCCATTATCGATTCTGCAGTTACTGACAAGACATTGCGTTAGGACCTTCTTCAACTCCAACTCCTTCATCAAGTCGTCCTCGGCCCATACGTATCATGGTTGCAGCATCTAAAAGACCAATCTCCTGCTCCAATTATCCCTGCATCAACACCACGGAAAATCTTAATGTAAAAATTACTTCCTGTACTTCGCCCCCTGCCGGTCTGTCTTTGTACAGAAGTTGTTGAAACCGGAGGCTCGGTGGCAACCTGAATAGCATTGGCGTTTATTCGTCGTACTGTGTTGTTGCCGTATGCCGCAGCCGGGCGGTGTTCTTGAGTTTGCGATGCTTGAACTTGATCGTTGTGCGACATAACGTGACTACTACACACTAGTGGCGGTCCTAGTACGGGTAACCATATATTTTTAGCGCTTGAAGCACTTATTCCTCCGACTGTTAGCTTCATCAAAGCCAGCTAATAAAATTGTACTAAGCATGGCGGTATTCATCTTGTCTACGGCACTCAGCTCAAATAACGCTAGTCTGAAGATGGGCTAAACTGCTATGCACGTTAATGTGCTATAAAGTGCCAGTGGACACCGGGTGAAGCTGAAGTCCTGGTCGCTACAATTCCAACAATTTCAGCCATGGTCAACACTACTACCGCAGCGGGACTCATCGGTGTAGTTCTTTTGGCCCGCCACGGCGACAGGACGGCATACTATCAGGACCCAGCTACATACAACTCCACCCAAGCATACATCACTCCTCTTGGAGAGGTGAGAGCTCTGTGCTATAATACTGGATCTTGCTCACGAATGTTTAGCAACAAGAATTCGAACTCGGGAGCTTCCTTCGTAATATATATCTCAATCCCGATTCACCATCTTTCATCCAGAATATCAGCACTGACGTCGCAGACATCAATCAGTTGGCAGTCCGCGCAGACGCTGGTGGAGGAAATGTTATCCTGAACTCCGCATATGCTCTGCTTCAGGGTCTTTACCCATCCACGCAACAGTCAGAGATAACTTTAGCGAATGGTACAACGGTCCTCTCTCCTCTTGGGGGATACCAATATATTCCAGGCAAGTTAGGCACAACTACTCGCTGGTCCTTTAACTAATGGTCTGCAGTGCAATCTTTGGAGGATTGGCAGAGTCCGTCTCTCACGAGCTGGATGGATTGCGAGGTATGAAATCCATCTTATCTTCGGGAGGTCACTTCGTAACGCCCAAGAACCTAGTATTTCCAATCTCATCTAAACCGAACTTACGCTTCGTCTGCATGGTTAAACATGTCTGCCACTGCTGCGCCATTCCTGACTGCATTAAAACCTTACTTGGGGGGCATCAGTAACAACTTCACGAACATGGTATGTCACTTCATCGCATCTGTGAAAGCTTTTCTGACAGAATTGTGTAGTGGAATGTAAGGGTTTGTTTGAATTTTTTCGGACTGAGCTCATTGTCTCGCAGATATACGACCATGTCAATGTTCAATACACCTATAATCAGACCTATTACGAGACCCTACCTCCCACCTTCCTCGAGCAAGCTCGCTATTATGCCAATTGGGCCCAAACCAATGTCTTCACTGATTCTACTTCAGCTAGCATTGGACAAGGTAAGTTTGGATCGATTACAAAAATGCATTACACTAACCTTGCTGCAGTTGCCATTCGCACACTCCTCCCGGAGATCTTTTGGGCATTGGGTAACATGACAAAGACTTCCAACAAAGTCAAGATGAATATTCAGGAAGTCGATTACAAACCATTCATCAGTCTATTTAACGTCACCAACGCTACTCTAACTGACCCTGATATCAGCGGTATCGGTCAGTATCAACAGTGTATGAGCTCAGTACTGCAGACTGATACCAATCCACAGCCAACTATGCTTCTGTTGTTGCCCTCGAGTTGTCGCAGGACTCGCAGGGACAGTACGAGGTCAGCATGAAGTTCAAGAATGGTACGGAGGACAGCCAATTCCGCCAACTTGAGATGTTCGGCAACACGAGCATCACGTTTGACAAATTTGTTCAAGAACTTTTTGTGAGCTGTTCTTTACAGCACGTATGATTTCTTGCTCATAGATTCATTCATCTAGGACACCACGATCAACTCCACTAACAACTGGTGCTTCTCCTGCAATCAGACTATCCTGCGTGGATGTTCTGTCTTCAACTACAGTAGCGATATCTTCTTGAATGGTGTTGGTACTGGTTATTAGAGCTAGACAAAGTGATACATATAAGTTCTGTAATGTAATATTATCTACTTAATTCTTTCGAATAATCAATCGTTCTCCGGAACTTGACTTCAATGAGCGAGGGCGTTTAAACTTCAAGCAGCGATGTACGTCGAGCAATGACGTCGATTGGAAAGCACTGGAATTTCTCTCGCCCTTCACCTGGGCCATCCTTGCGGCGACGAATAACTCTCGATTGAAGATAAGGTCGAAAGTCCTCTTTGTATCTACATAGTGTCTATCGCTCGTAAGGGTATAAGTAAGTATAAACCAATGTCATCACTTCGTAAAATAGGTAGCCAACGAATATCTGTCCAAGTAGCAACGTAGCCTCTAAACTTCTATTATTTCAAAGCAAGAACAAGAGCAGCATATTCCTCTCGCTGCTGATCTGTCAAGGACACTCCGCATAAAACAAGGTCCTCCAGGGAACATTTCGACCTCGTCAAAAACGCTTGAAACTCCTTCTGCGGCCAATTTCCCATCCGGGCGGCTTGGAGCACACGAAGGTTCGGAAGTGTAAGAACCTTGAATAGACGAAGTTCCCTGCCCGAGTTCGGATACAAGTTCCCACATATGTATAAGCACTGGAGGTTGGTGTGCGTGACTGGTTCTTGATTCCTGATCGGGTGAAATATGCCGAGGATCGCCAGGGAAGAGAGGTTGGGACACAGGCGGAGTATGCGGGGGAATGTATCTAGTCCGTCCACTCTGACCTCGAGATGCGTGAGATGGGCCCACCCGGAATCAGCGACGAGGTCTAATTGCTTGCAGCTGACCCACAGATCCGATATATCCATCTTGCGAAGGTTGACCGGCAATTTCGAGATAGAGCGCTCGATGGCTCGCTTTGAATCGTAACCATACTTGCGTATGATGAGCTCCTCGAGTCCGTGGAAGTCTTCCATCATGAATGGGCCTCTGCAGATCCAAAAATTAAGCTCCAGAGACGAGATTTGCTGGATGTATGGCTGGAGTAGGCTTCGCGCCTCGCTCAAGTCAGTGTAACATTCGAGTTTCAACGAGAGAGGACATCCTCTCGATCGCTTGAGCCAGAGGTCGTAGGCAGAAGCTCTCTTCCGAAAGCCATCATCCACGATCAACCGAGGCTGGGTCCATAACCATGGCAAGCCAAGAGCAACCTCCCTCCATTGTCGACATATTCTTGTGAATATCAGGGGAGCTAGCCTTTGTGTGGGAAAAAAGGGCAAGTCATCGGACAGACTGTGGAGGAAAATTTCCGAGAGAATTTCTGTTGGCAGGCGCGGGATACGCGATGAAGATCCCCCGGACGAAGTGTTGGACTGGATGATATCGAAGTATATTTTATTAGTACATCCAGATGCACATACCTCCAGGACCAAGCACTTACAGGTTGCTGCAGCTCCCCAATGCTAGCTGAGATCGGTGGTGAATCGACGTTTGAGTTAGATGTCTGCATGTTAATGCGAAGGAGGTTGAGATGTTAGAAATGGAGGTTTGAAGGAGGAAATAATTCGACCGTTCCGCCAACAGTCGCGTCCCTATTTAAATCTGACACCTGGAAAACCACAAGTCCACAACCAACACGCCTTTCTATTGTCGTCCCAAATAGCCTTAGATAAAACAACTGCCGTCCACAACTAGAGACCTTGCATTGTATGTCTTCTTATTTCCACGACCACTAAGGTCGCAGAACAGACTTGTCGATCGAGCTGTGACCCTTATTTTCCCTATATTGGTCTTGTATTGTTGGTTTTATATTTGACTGAACGTGAAGGTACTTGAGAAGTCAGGTTTCGAATCTCCGTGGCACCTCCTCACAGGAGTCCCTGTCATAGTAATACCGTGCGTACTGCCTACTGAAGGGCTGGTTCCCTTTTTGTTAACCATTCATTCTCAGCTACATTCTTACTACTGACGCACCTGAACTTCAACACAATCATACTCTTTTTCAAGACGTTATCCTCAGTTTTCTGCTCGACGGTAAGAGCTCGTGCCAACAGTAAGATCACAAACTGAACATTGACAAATAAGGTGACTCGATGGGTATCAGGAAGTTTATAGCAGCGGGGGCTAGCTTTGACAGTGTTACGTAGATTATTGGATGGGGAAGTAGCTGTGGGACATCAGGCTCAACACAGGCAAAGACAGTCGTCTACCACCAGACACAACCATGTTTGCGACTGGTGGATACGACCGGCCACCCTCGACTCCTGGGAACCTCAATATTCAATGGGATGCGTAGTTTGATCACAGGCGAGCTTCAAGCTTTAATTTTTGTATATTTGTAGTGCTTGTTTTGCAGTGTTTTTGCCTTTAACGCAGATCCCCGATCACTCGATTAGCTAGAATTGCATCCAAGGTCAAGGGTCACGTTTACTTCCGACTCCTCGAACTTAATGATGCGTTGGCCTCTGAGTAATCTGACTGCTAAATCTGTTGGGAATACTATGGCCGGCGGAACTTTCGATTTCGGTTCAGGTGAAATCACCGGGTCTTTGTACAAGGACAATATTTACAAAATCTGCTCCTTCAATACATAACTTAGTATCATTACACTGTTATGAATAACTTCGTTCTTGACTGAAACATCGTACAACGTCCCATTAATCACTGACTTTGACTACAAGTTTTCCTGTAGTTTTGCCACTTGTCAGGTCAACTTGCGCCTGTCTTACTCCCTCCGTAGTGAACGGATACTCCTTGAAGATCCGCGTCTTTAAGGTGCCGTCGGCGAGAAGGGAGAATAGGGCATTTCCGTAGTAGAGCACTTCTGCTGGGGTGTATGTGTAGTTGTTCATGCTATAATACCTAATCGTTAGCATAAAATTGAATGATGCGGTGATTGAACGCACGTAGGCCGAAGAAGCTTCACATTCTTTTTCTGGAGCCTGATAGGAGGGAATGGTGGAACGGGCCCCGAAGCATTACCCACTGAGACGATGGTGCCCTTCCGCTTGATCATTATAAGGTCGGACTCGAACCTGCACCAAAGTCAACTCAACTCAAGTAAGAGAAGCCACAGGTTCGAATCTTACGTGTCTTTACCCACACCATCAAAGATTGCATGGACACCCTCTCCATTTGTAAGCTCCAGGACACGTGCAACTGTGTCTTCGTTCTTATACAATATCACATGGTCAGCCCCGTTAGCTTTCGCAAGGGCGGCCTTCTCTGGGGTCGAGGTCGTCCCTATCACAATCGCTCCTCGCGACTTAGCCAGCTGGGTCATGAGCAGTCCAAGACCACCTGCCACAGTGTGTATGAGGATGATATCGCCCTTTTGCACGTTGTATGCTTCTTCCATGAAGGAAATAGCCGTCAACCCTTGCACGAGAGCCGAGACAGCCGTCAATGTCGACACCGATTCAGGAATCACGTATACAGTTTTCCAAGGTGCAGAAACGTATTCCGCATGCGAACCCATATAATCCTGTAGGCTCGTGAGTTATTGCAAGAAGTGTATAGACAGCATACCGTACGAGTGCGACGCGGGAGCCTTGTTTGTACCCACACTTCTTGTAATCCGGGTCGTTCAAAACGGACTCATCTGTAGGAAGCGCGACGACTACACCGCTGGCTTCCTTCCCGATCACGAAGGGGAATCCAGGTGCTGGGTATATCCCTTCTCTGTTGCACACTTAACGATGCTCTTCGGGATGCTTGGGGCATTTGGACACTTGCCTGTAGTATGTATCGATGAAGTTGATACCGAGATATTGAACCTACTCAGCGCAGCGCAGATGAAGTGTTAACACTCGCATAGGAACTTGATAATGATTTTACCTTTACAACCAGATGATCCGGGGCTACTTTTGGGAAAGGGATCTCTCGTTTCTCAATGACCTCAGGACCCCCTGTCTTTGAAATCGTGATGGCTTGAATCGTTGACGGATAAGACATTCTGGGAGTTGCAGTGGAGAACTGGCGAGCAAGAGTGGGAAATCGGCGAGTTAAACTTATCTAGCTCAAGTTAGTCAGCGTAGTGGCGTCTTGCAATTGCGACATCCTGGTCATACATGGACACCGTGGGTGCCCCACAAACCGAATGAAAGTTCGAATAACGTTGTTACAAGAGAAAACATATAAACTATTGACTCCGTGGGTATAGATTTGAGGCTGGATTCGACATCCGGCGGCAAATACATTTACGGGTTTGCAGTAGACTAATAAGCGTAACCGATATCACTGGTGCCATCGAGTAAACGATCGATCGAAGGTTATACTGAATGAATGGATGATCAAACAGTAACTCTTAGACTCCCTTCAAAAGCCTGGTTCAAGATGTCATATATGAGATGAATTTGTTCATCCCTCTGGACCATCCCAGGTCTTTGCTCTCGTAAACTGTCAATCTCCTGTGCTACCAGGTCTTCCTGAAGCTCCTTTGGTAGGATACCCAGCGGAGGAACAGGCAAAGAGCACAGAGGCTGTGGGGGAGGTGTCGAGGTGTTCGGGCGCGGGCTACTAGCACTCAAAAGGTGGTATGCGCGTAATAGTGACGACATCGCAATGAATGATCCGGTTCGCCCTATGCCAGCGGAGCAGTTGACCATGATAGGAGGATCTGGGTCTGGTTCCGGAGATGATGGGAATGAAGAGGTATCCGTGTTAACGCAATCCACCAGACGAACAAAGGCGAGAAGGCTAGCTCGGTCTTCATCCTCAGGAACTCCATGGTCCGGCCATGCAGCATACAGCATATGGGTGAATACCACAGCATCTTGCGGATTTGTCGAGGTGACTGGAATGATGGAGACTTTGCTGTACACGCAGCAGGCTTCGTTTATTCGCTTTCTCTCTAGTAGCGTCACCTTCAGTACAGGTGCATCGCTTGTTGGATCTGGGTTCGACAGCATTGATTGTCCAGGGGTGGAAGGGAAATAGATATGAGCTTTCTGTCGTCCTCTCTCCGTATTTTGTGTGAGCTGAACGATGGTACGAATACGACTAGGAGAGTGCACATGAGGAGAATTGAGAGATGCTGGAGGTGTAGAAATTGGTTGCATGATGGCACTGAGGAACACATGTGCCGTGCGCGGAAGGGGTGCTTGGGTAGCAATCCATAACTTTCCGCCATACAGCTCCCGCACCCAGCTTGCATTAAAATATCTTCCCTTGCTACCCTCGGCTCCGACGCTGCAGCGACTGCCCTTGAGATCGCCCACAACAACCCGCGTCCGATCATATGGTTGAATATTGGAATACCGATTAGCGACTACATTGTCTGGATGATGGGCAGTCATGATGGAGTAGTGTGCGACTGGATCGGTCTTTCCCAGTGCAGAATTCAATGCCTGCTGCCCACGCGCAAGAAGCGACGTAGAATGTGGTTCTGCCACGAGAGATTGGGTCCGTAAATGATCGCGAGCATATTCTCGTTCAGACAATGTGATGCAAACAGTTTCGGAGATAAAGCGGGAATCGTTTGCCAATGCTCTGGAAAGCCAAGTAGGTATCAGTGTTGATGTTGCAGTCATTGAGAAAGATGAAAGCTAAGGCGAAGGTTTGGAGAGATTTGATATCGTCCTGTGCGTGAGAATAAACTGCCAACTCTGTTTTCCTGTCGGGATCGGTCTACACAACATAGCAGTTTGCTCATGAAGAGCAACGATGGATAACAGCTATGTATCGTTGATATCAACTAATCCACAGGATGTCAAGTCAGTGATTATTTCGCAGAGCAACAACCCAGTCCTCACAGTTTTGGCTACCAGAGTCAGTTCCACGTTGGAAAAATCCACGGGGAAGAAACACTTGACGGACAATAACCCAGAAACGTGCTGGACATCGCGACAGGTACAACAATGTTCCCTTGGTTGGAGACATCATTGACCTCGGAGATGAGTAGGGTCCTGGGCAGTATATCCATCTAACGTTCGAAAAGCCAGCAATACCCAAGCACATCACCATCATTTTCCAGGGCGGATTTGTCGGAACCAGATGTAGAGTCGAGGTCTCGGAGTCATCAGATAGGCCCGAATGGCAGACGTGGACATATATCCACCCTGAGGATGCGAACCGGCGTCAAATTTTCGACTTGATAACCAACAGTGACGGATTGCCAAGGGAGGGAATTCAGAGCATGAAACTCGTTTTCGAGGAGAGTTCTGATTTTTACGGTAGAATCACAATCTATGAGTTGAAGATTGAAGGTCTCCTGCTTTGAAATGACGAGGAGCTGGCTCGATCATATTCAAGAGCTCACTAGAGCCAAGCCTGCCGTGGGTCTGTGACATGTTTGCACTCAACTTGAAAGCATCCCAGTAAAAATGTTTAAGGTGAACTCGGAACAAGAGCCTCATCAGATATATTACGTACATAACGGAACAAAGTCAAATTTATTTTTCTTGTACACACGCACCGTTTGAACTTTGCACCATCCAACTTGAACGATGAGGACCGTTTAATATTCATTCACAGTATGTTTAGACTGCTGTCATGATACCCGAAACCGTGCAAGTTCACGCATACGAGTCTAAGCCTCTGGCCCGATGTCTCCCAAAAACTCTCGTGATTTTCGATACACACCGCAAGCCTTGGTAGGAACATCAACACAAGCATTCGAACCGCACACATTCTGTATCTTCCGTTTGGCCTGTATCTTCTGCTCTGACATGGTGGTGTTCCTCTCTTATCCTTTCTTGTCCGCTCCCTTATTCAACTTCTACAGTGAACAGCGAATGACCACGAGCAAAAATATTACCTGGTTGATGTTTCGTTACAGAACATTAATTCGCATACTACCAACGATTACATGTCCTCAAATATCACTTTTTGCCCACCAATAACGCAGTTTTGTGACAAGCTATTTCCTACGTAGGCTGTCGCCTCATCTCATCCAGACTTCACGCGCCTGGATATATGGCGCTTCTGTGCTGTGTTTCAGGAGCCGTAGTGGTGAAATTAATGCCTGAGCCGACTGTCGAACGATAAGAAGTTCTTCGATGTTCCCTGAAGTCGATGCCATCGATAAGGATTTTTTTTCGCTCGCCTATCCTTCACCGTACCAATCGTCCTTCCAGGCCAGACAGGGTTTTCTTGCATTTAGCATTGCCTTGTTAATCTTGATGACCACATAGACAGGCACTAAAAGCGATTGGTTGTAGGCTCTTAGTAGAGTGGCAAAGACACGTTTGGATCAATCAACCAATGTTGCAAGACGGCGATTTCCTCCAACTTGTGTGGTTTTGAAAATGGAAGCAAAATTACGGTCGGTTCTGTGTCTTCATTAGACGAGTCAAGTTCCGCCGGAATCTGACAGCATATTGCGATGTATGAACCAAGAAACAAAATGTAAGTGTGAGTACTCACAAGAAAGTTTGATAAGAATATTCATATCCATGCCGTTTGGCGTTTGGGTCTTCTCGAATCGGATGTTGGTGAGCCGTCTCAATAATCATGCGTTAACAAGGTGATACGAAAGGTGCAGATCAAGTTTTGCATTGTCCATTGCGCTTCGCATAGGTTTGTTCTTTGTCACTGTTGTTGGCCCGTTCATTGAGTATGCCATTTCTCCCAAGCACCGACATAACTTACGGAGATCTGATGGATCTTATCGCTCATGTAATTTGGCCTTGGATCTACGATTATTCAACTGTTCGTGGAGCCAGAAACATAAGTTGCGGTTCTCCGATCGGATTGTTCCCTCCAGGAAGGCACAAACATTCACAGCGCACCACATCGTACTTCTCGTCCTTGCATCGCGGATTTGCAACAAGAGTGGATGACTCAAGCGTAGATGCATCGAGAAAAATGGCCACTGTTCCACATAATGCGTCCACAGTAAATGTTTACCGAAAGCGAGGTCCTCATAGTGGAAACCCACTTTCAAAGTGGCGCGCGAAGACCATATAAACATCGCTTTGGTGAACTTCATCCTTCATCCATTACACGCTACACCTACTGCCACTGCGAACGCATACGCATTCTCATAACATCTTGATCAAGTATCTGCTGGCTCAGGTACATGTATTCCCAGCTTCGATGCCTACATTTTCTAACTATATCTACTTCTTACCTTTAGATGACTCAATCTCCCTCACATCCCTCATCGCACGGTTCCGACTCTTCCACTGCAAACCAGGACACCCCAAACACTGACATGCATATGGGTCAATTTCCCTGGCCCCATCCCGCACACATGCATCATCCAGGCTATGCCCCTGCACCCCCCGCACCCCCCTGCTTCCCGTACGGCGTCCCTCCCCCATACGCCCCCATCGCACCTTCGTCTGGTGTGGGTGCTGGAGTTGTGCATCACGCGCCCCAAGTGGGACAACATGATCATTTCCCTCCTGCGGTGGCCCACATTTCGCATGCCACTCATGTTGGCCCATACCCACCGCTAACTGCTGTCGCTTTTCCTCCACAACACCCATCCGCGCCCCCCATGCACCATCAATCCTTCCTGTCGGGGCATTTTCCAGGAGTCATGACCTCCAATGTTACTTACACATCGTACCAACCATACCTCCATCAGCAACACGGGGCCGGGCTAGTAACGAGCTCTGCTTCTCCAATTCTTCCTCAAGCACCAAGTTTGTCGGTCGGTGACAAGCGCGTCGCAGAAGACCTCCGAAACCGTAACGTCAGGCGAATTAAAAAGCGCTCCGGCAGGATAGAGGAGGACCCGCTCTTTGTAAGTTTTCTTTTCAATTTTGTGAGGTCGCATTTTTAACTCTTGGAACAGGAACCCATGTTAGATCAACATGGTCGACACGATGGGAGATATGTGTGTTCTAAAGATGGCAAGCTCGTCCGTCCTAGCAGTTATAAACGCCATATCAAGACAGAAAAACATCTTGGTTACAAACCGGAATTCACATGCCCTGCATGTCTGGAAACGTACGTATCCCCTACTCTCAAATAAGCGCGTCTCATCATTGATATTGTTGTGACTAGTTATACCAGACGTGATGTCTGCAAGAAGCATTGGGACGACAGGTGTGGAAAGCTAGCAACTAATGATCGGCTATCCTACGCAGCCGCTTGCCAAGCTTTCGCGGATTCGAATTCTGCTTTAGCTACTGCTTCGTTCATGCCCCGTCTACCCGCGACCGCCACGACAACGTCCCATAGCTCACCACCCGAGATCATCCCGACGGACGCCACAAACCCTTATTCCTGGGCAGCTAGTGATATACAGGACCCTCCTTTGGTGGCATCTGTACTTCCCCCATCCGAAGGGCAGGACATTGCACTCGCAGAGGTCCACGATACTTTGGCGGCTGATGCGATGCAAGAACCTCCTTTGGTGACACCCGTGCTTCCCCCATCTGAAGTACGAGAGATTACACTCGCAGAGGTCCGCGGATGCATTCCCTTTTGGAGGTGGATTAATGACACGGAGGGCCTCGTGGATCCCCTCCCTCCCATCGCTGAGCCTCCGTCCTCTCGCCTGCCAGAGGCCACGCTCGCAGACGCCGCCGAAGACCCGGATATTTGACGCCTCATTAATGAGATAGACGACTTTGTAATTCACGTATAGCACCACACACTCTTTTCCTACTGTATGGCATAGCCCGCTACCACGTTCATTTCTTTACCAACTACACACTATCCTTTCTATATTTCCCTCGCTGTCGCCTATTGACGTATAGCACCACACGTTCTTTTCATACTCCATGGCATAGCGCATGTCCCACTACCTCTCGTCCATTCTTACTATTACTATTACTGTTATTGTTATTGTCATCCTTAGGGTGAAATGCACACATTCCTTGTATATCCGTGCTGGAAGATCTAAGGAACTAGCGAGCAGGTGAGGTGAGACGTGTCATCATACTCACGAGTCTGTTCAAAAGGCGGAACTTGATACTCAGTACTCCGGCGCAGCTTGACAAGGTCGCGGCGTAAGATCTTACTGGAAAAGCTTATCAATTTCAAATCTCAAAGCGCAAATCATTACATAATAGGCATGAGGCTCAACCAAATAACATAGCGGCCTACAACGCGAGGTAAACAATTCAACACGGAGCGGACCCACAATTCGCTCAACACGATGAAGTCCCTACAGCGGAGGCCAGCTATGCAGTTATGGAAGGCTATTACCTGTGGTGAGTCCTCTTGCCTTTGGTTGTACCAGAGGTCTTGGGGGGCACGGGGGATGCGGCGGTGATCGGGACGGAGATAGGTGGCGATACTGGGAGAGAAGGAATCGGGACAGGCACCGATACTGGGAGTGAAGGAATCGAGACGGGCACCGATACCGGGAGAGAAGGAACCACGGCAAGAGCAGGCTTTCCCGAGACGCTAGCTAGGGGGACACGCACCGAACCAGAAGCGCTGGTCAATGAAGCATGCGCCGAGCCTGAAGACAATGGTGCAGATGCTGAGGTTGTATCACGATGGTGAATGTGGTGTCCAGGACCTGTGTGCACACCAGCCTGCTGATGAGCACCCAACGCAGAGGCGACGACGTTTGACGCCTGAGAAGGGGAGGCAGTCGAGTTTGCCTGAACAGTCGACGAGGAAGAGTAAGAACTGTCGACGCCGACCGCTTCTACTGCGTTCCGTGGAATTGGTAAGGCTGACAGGGGGGGCAGGCCAGAAGTCAGATTCTGCGCACGGTCCATCGCGTCCTGTACTGGTTGCGCTGCTTCCACTGGAAGATTAAGTGAGCGAAGAATGGACGATATGATGCCAAGCACGGTAGGGATAAGGCCCGAGTCGTCGCGCCTATGCACCTCCGCTATATGGGAAAAGTGGTCAGAGGATGTTGGTAAATGATGCGCAGGAAGGAGCTCACTATGACGTGGTGGCGCATTGGGGTTGGAGACACTGACTGGTATGCCTTGGACACCCCCGGAAAGCAAGAGAGCGAGTGAGAATGAGATAAAGACGATATAGAGGGAAAGGAAGCGCATTATAAGGATATTTGGAATGAAAGGTTCGTAAAGGTCGTTAAACGGAGCGCTAGAGTGGTCTGATAGACAAAATAGACAAAAAGCAGGGAAAGATGTGGGTAAGGATTGCAGAGGCATGGATGGGTCTTTATACCTTTGCAGAACAGCGGCTGACAGAGATGGTGAAACCTGTCGACGACGACGTTCGTGCAATAATTCCAGACCAAACCACAGGCTCGAACTCCAATCGTGAGCACAGGTGAGATGTCGACAGGTACAACATGTCTCAGACACGGTTCTTTCGCGGGGAATTTTGTGCCTGCCCAGAGCTGACGACACTTGCATTATGATTGTGAATAGGTCTGCAACACAGCCCAAGTGCGTGTCCACGTCACGGTCATGATGCATGATCATGAGGTGCAAATGGGTAAAAATAGTTACATAAAGATCTGGTCCAAGACACCTCCAAGACCATAGTATTTTCCATGCCGCAGCAGTGCAACTGTTAATCTTGTTTTTACGGTCCTCTTCTGTAATCCGTCATCTCCCATATATTATCCTCCCCAAGTGCTCTCCGTCTTCTCGAGCTGGCAGTATCAGTTACTGAGCCAGACAAAACCATGAGGTTCCATAGGTCAGATAAAGAACGAAGCAGGGGTGTTCCCATGCATGACGACAGGAAACACCATCCTAAACCTGCGAATCTGAACAAGAATTTGAGCAGGTAAAAGACACAAAGAATTCGAATAAACACACATGAGGATCGCAAGAACGAAAAGTAAGGTCATCAATGACGAATCGTAACCTGTTTCTACCATTAGGTCAACAAGCAAGTTGTCGACAAACTTGGGAAAAATGGAACCAAACTTAATAATAGGCTGATAACCGTTATCTGATAAGCTAACCCTTACACCACTTTTTTTTCTCACCGCATGTCCTCGGATCTTTGGAATTTCCAGTGCCGTGGTCGCCACACTGCTGCCCACAGATATATAAGTATCGTGGTCCGTTGAACCCTCAGACGCCTACACACATTCACCTCGCCTACGACATCAGGTTCGTACATATTCTCTTGTGTAACGTTGGTCTGACACCAGTTTCTCATTGACCGAGTAGACAAGGATACTCGCAACATCACATTTTCACATCTCGCAGCGCTGAACACTATCAATTCATTGAATTGTTGAAGATGTCTAATCCAAATTCAACCTCAGTGAGCCTAAGGCAAACATCAGAGGTGACCATTTCACGCGCACGTGTCCTTGAGTCCCCACTCACAGCCTAGTCGTAGAACTCCAACGCACAAGTATCGAGGAGGAACGAAGATATCGAGGTGGCGCCCAAGCTCCAAGGTAGCGATCTTCCCGACCCATACAGGATCCGGGTCGGTCTCAAGACAGACGACGAGCTCTCACAGCTTCGTCATCGTCGTAGGACTGGTAAACGACTCGAGAAATTTCATAGAAAGCAGAATGACGTGAGTTTTTCTCTTATATTGTATCATTCCGATTTTGTGCTGAAGGGTAAATGATTAGCTCATTCAATCATTGCTGAAGCCTATGGAAGAACATACACAAGAGGCGAAAGAAGATGAAGCGAATTTCCATTTTTCTGTAAGCAAGTGCTGCAGGGCTGCCCATCTCCGCTAAATCAATCACGCATTCAGGTTAGGGTTGCAGTCTGGGCAAGTCTTTGTGCCAACTTCATTCTCTGTGTACTTCAGCGTACGTCTTTGCAATATGTCCATGTTACTTTCGCTAATTATTATACACTAGTATATGCTGCTGTGTCATCTGTCTCCTTATCCCTCATCGCAACAGGGATTGATGCTACTTTCGATTTTGGAAGTAATATCTTTCTATACTGGACTCACAAGAAAGCACTGTCAATGGATATCAACAAATGGCCTGTTGGTGGCTCCCGACTTGAAACCATTGGAAACGTAGTCTACGGTGATTCATTCGTTCACTCAGCGGGAAATCATCTCATATTCTTCCAGGTTCACTGTTCGTCCAGCTATCAAGTCTTTGAACCTGATTGACATTCTTGCAGCATGGCTTCGGTCAATTTGGTTGTTATCGTCGAATCCGTCCGCGCACTCATGGCTCAAGAAAAAGACAACGGTTTTCACATCCAGGCAATCATCGCAGTGGCAGCTGCGCTTGGTATGTAGCCTGTACTGGAGTCCTTTGCGATCATTTAATAAAATCTTAAATCAAATAGCGGTCAAATTCGTCCTTTTCTTATATTGTTTGGCCCTCAGATCAAAGTCTAGCCAAGTGCAGGTCTTATGGGAGGATCATCGAAATGATCTTTTCATTAATGGATTCGGTAAGACGACTCGGCTTCAAGCAATTCAGTACCCTGAAGCGATCATACTCCCCAGGTATCCTGATGTCTGCTGGAGGAAGTAGATTACAATGGTGTTCGTAACCTCGACCCTTGCATTTCTTGTGAACTTACATATCAAACAGGGCTGGACCCCGCTGGCGCTATCATTGTGCGCTTTATTCGTGTACCCCCATGAACTTTCCGCTCATGTGATCGCTACAGATTGGCGCTGGAGTCATCATTACCTGGAGTCACACTATCTACGAACAATTTGGATTCTTGGCTGGGAAGTCTGCGCCACACCACTTCCTGCAGCTCATCATCTACAAAGCTATGACCTTCAGCGATGAGATTGAGAAAATTGATACTGTACGGGCGTACCACGTAAGTGTTCAATCCCATTGCGTATGGTTGCATATTGACTTGATCCAATGACGCAGAGCGGACCTGTGCGTGCCATTGGTCTGATTAATTGACGTATTGTGTGTTCACTGACAGTTTTAACTAGGACTACATCGTCGAGGTGGATATCGTCATGGACGCTACTACCCCGTTGTGGAAGGCACACGATATTAGCCAGCAGCTGCAGGATAAGATTGAGGTGCTTCCGAATGTCGAGCGTGCCTTTGTGCACGTCGATCATGAGACGACTCATGCCCCTGTAAGTAACATCTAATCCCATTATTTTCAACCACTTAATCGCTTGTACAGGAACATCGGAAGATTTTGTAGGCGAAAGGCAGCTAAACGAACGTGGAAGTGCTATCAGTATCTATAAGAATGCGATGTCTTGTTTACTGGATACACTGTTGATTGTCTGTTGTATTCGTGTAGTCGTACTGCTGCGGGGCTCTCCTTCTGTAGTGTCCTTATATAGTTTGCCTGCTGATCGGACTTCATGCACATGATGGGAAGATCGACAATCTGAGTGCTAGCGCTTACTATCACCGACGTCGGATAACCACCAACATCAACAACTTGAAACCCCCACCCTCTCTGCAACTGACACTAGTTATACCAAACAAACTTTGATACCAGTCCAACACCTACTCGATATACCAGAACCATTTAACCATTCACTCCCAGTCACTGCGTGTGCGATAAATGATGGTGAGCAGGAGAGAGATGGCGGTAAGGAGTTAGTTCATAAGACACTACCAGGATACTAGGAATCAAGACCCGGAGGAATTGTATGTCAAACAAGACAGAATCGGTGCGTATCAGGTTCTGTTCCTCACCACAGCCAACTGACCATCTGCGCCAGGGAAGGGATCCTTTGGAGAAGTTTACAAAGGGTGTGTTATGACGATACAAACTTTTCAGCGGTCCCCCTCACGCGTTTTCTAGGTATGACAAACGAACTCAGAAGACCGTCGCCATCAAGATCATAGATCTTGAAAGCGCAGAAGATGAGATAGAGGACATACAGCAAGAGATCCAGATTCTATCACAGCTAGACTCACCACACGTCACCAAGTTCGTACCTTCCTTGCCGTCTTGCTCTTGTCTGGATTCGACGAGGTTAACATGCAGCGTTTTTGCACGCAAGATATCATGGATCCTTCCTCAAGGGTTCGAATCTCTGGATAGTCATGGAGTACGTTCCTAGATTCCATTACATTCTCATTGCCTCATAGATACTATATAGATACTGCTCGGGCGGCTCGTGTTCCGATCTGGTATGATCGCAGTCAACTGTGGTAACTTGCGCTTATTTCACATTACGCAGATGAAACCCGGCGTATTTCGGGAAGAGTATATCGCAATCATCGTCCGAGAGCTTCTTCGCGGACTTGACTATCTGCACACAGAGGGCAAGCTTCATCGGGATATCAAAGGTCATTTCACCTCGCTCCTGATTTATCTGACACTTATGTCATATTACACACAGCTGCCAACATACTGCTTTCCGCAGGAGGTGATGTCAAGCTTGCCGACTTTGGCGTGTCGGGGCAGCTTTCTGGAACACTGTCCGCCAAGAAGAACACTTTTGTCGGCACGCCATACTGGATGTCGCCCGAAGTAATCAAACAGAGTGGTTATGACCATAAAGCAGATATATGGAGCTTGGGTATAACTGCAATTGAACTAGCAAAGGGAGAGCCACCCTATGCAGAGCTCCATCCGATGAAGGCAAGCGGGACTGCGCGGCTGCCAGATTCCGAAATGTCGCTTACACCTTGTCACACAGGTGCTATTCTTGATACCCAAGAACCCCCCACCGCAGCTGGACAGTCACTTCTCCAAGCCATTTCGAGACTTTGTTGCGTATTGTTTGCAACGGGATCCCCGCGATGTTAGTCGGATCTCCATTCCTCGTGTTCATTTCATGTTACCATAACTGAAATGGACAAATATATCACAGCGCCCGACGGCACGCGAGCTGTTAAAGCACAAGTTTGTTCGTATGGCAAAGAAGACTAGTTACCTCACAGAACTAATCGAGAGGCATGAGCGATGGAAGGCCGAGGGTGGAGATCGCGTGGAGGAAGAGGAACAAGTTGTCAATCAAGAATTGTGCGTCGCTCCAGCTTTTCCAATATCCTCTCATATATCTTCTCTAGGCCTGCAAACGCTGACCTAGAAGATCTCTGGGACTTTGGTACTGTTCGACACACAGGACGGTCGGGGACGATTGGGCGTGCACAAAACTCGATCAAGGTGTCTGGTCCCCCCCTAACATGGGAGATGAATGGATCTTCTCGTGAGGCGTCATCCTCTTCCTCGATCACAGCGAAAAAGGCGTCCGGGTCATCGTTAAGGTCCAAGACTGAGCTGCCGCCGTTACCTTCGTCCCCTCCGCTGGTGCCAGCGTCTGCACCACCCGCTCGAGCACCAAGCGTGTATGAGCAAGCCACCGTGAGACACATGCCGAGTGGAGGGCCCAGCAACGAGACACAAACTGGCCACGAGCGGGAGTCTTCTGATGAAGATTATGATGACCAGTACTTGGACACTTATCCTAGAGGCGCGTCTGTTCAAGAGAAACAGCATGAACCAGAGGACGATGAGTTACCTGATACTACTATGCTTGATTCTGTCATATTACCCGCAATAGCTTCGGTAAGGGTTCCGTACTCCTATCGAGACAGGGCTGATCAGCGTGTTCAGCTATTCCCTCGAGTATCGACACAGGAAGCGCGAGTCGCGCTGAGCGCCCTACAACGGGCATTCAATGAGGCTGAGCGCATCATTCCAGGTGTGACTATGGAACTGGTGAACGAGATTGTAGATTCCGTGGAGCGAGTAGAGGATGATCACCAGCAGTAGGTTAACATACCACTGACATTGTGAGATCTTGATTTGCAGTCATTTGTTCCTTGCTTTCGTTGCTACATTCTTAGGACGCTCTCACCCCACAAATACGAACCCACAGATGCATTCACCCCATCTTACCACACCGATCCGTGATGTACAGCATATATATCATGTAGCTCTTATTAGCATGAATGAAGAGTGTGAAGTGCCAATGAATTATACGCCGTTGTCCTGCCAGTTATCCTGTCCATCCCGACTCTTTACTATGTCAATGTACGCTCGCTTCATATACTCACTGTGTCGCTGTCCAGTTCTTTCCTCGCATCTGAACCATCATGCATCATGTTCCGACACAAGGCCTCCTGCACGGCGTTCGCTGACTCAGGCTAGAACCACCAAGGCAGATGACATCATCTCAATTATGTGCCAAATTAATTTTCTTCTGCCATGGCTCAGAAGGCCAAATAGGTTCGGAGTCCACTCACAAAGACACTGCTGAAAATTTCAATCCCCGTCTGACGTCTAATATTTGTTCAGCATCGTTCTGGCCTCACTGGGTCACTTCTCGCAGCGTTTAGATATCCAGACCTTATGTGCCGAGGAGCCGCCGTAAAACGTAAGCAATTTCTAACTCCGCACATCAAACGCATCCTCAGATTGTCGTTCTAAACAGCATTTCAATGTCCGCGACAATCATTTAGTGCGTACCGCTCACACAAGGCCTGTCCATCATGCATGCGCCGTGCGTACTCCTCACCATGCAACACGTTCATATTCTGGGCGGTAACGGTGCATTTTTGGCGTCCAGAGCGCCCATGGCGCGATGATTCAGCTCCGACAAATACCATGACACCAACAGTTATGATGTGCCTCCTCCGTATTTCGACATCTTCATCGACATCTTCATCAGCCAGAGCAAGGGAAAGCAGGCTTTCATCAGTGATGTTGTATGATGAACTTTATTTGACTTGTGTCTACGGTTTGGAACGAGTTTCTAGATATGTATTCCACCTTGTCGAACCTCCAAATTTTTAAGGTTTAGAATGAAATGTAGATGCTGCGGGAAGTCAGCGCTTGTAACAGCCACTACTCCTCAAGTCAGGTGGCATGCCACATCATCGATGCATCACCTATGATATCATTTCTTCTTTGTCATCCGCTACTGTACTTTATATAATCTCTTTGTCTAGGGTCATTTACCCCTCAGCAGTTCTTCTAAGACGCTGAAGTATGTCTCACGTTTATTCTGCACACCGACTTTGTCTTACTAAAACTCCTCCCTTAGTTCATTTCTAATAGATTTATCATGGCACAATCCGCTCCTCGAGTTTGGTTGAGTGAGTTGGTTTACGTAACTCCTCAGCGTGCGGGCCACTGACTGCTCGCAGTTACCGGTTCTTCTTCTGGGTTAGGTAGGGCGATGACGGAAGAGGTCCTGCATAACGGTGAGATTGCCGTCGCAACTCTGCGCAAACCCTCCGTCCTTGATGACCTCGCTGCCCAATATCCGCGCACTCAGCTCCTAGTACTCCCCCTGGACGTGACGAACGAAGCGCAGATAAAATATGTCTTCGCACAAGCCAAGAATGCCTTTGGGCACATCGATGTCGTGTATAACAACGCGGGGCAGGTGTTTTACCAGGAGTTGGAGGGGACATTATCCAACATGGCCCGTGCCAAGGCATTAATGGATGTCAATTTCTGGGGCGCGGTAGCGGTAAGCTTTGAGGCAGTTAGATTCTTTAGAGAGGAGAACCCGAAGGGCTATGGGGGGATGCTCGTTCAAGTATCGAGCGCGGCAGCGATCACCGGGGTCCCTCTGCTCGGATTTTATAACACTACGTGAGTGGGTTGATGCTGTCTGGTCAAGGGTTACTGAGGCATTTGGTGTTCGTAGGAAAGCAGGTAAATTAGTCATGTTGCTTATGGCACATTGTGTAACTTTTGCTCACCACCGTCAGCCTTGGATTCGTTCACCGAAGTCCTGGCACAGGAAGTGCTTCCTGCTTGGAACATTCATGTGAGTACTAATGGAAAAGATGATAGTCGCTGACCACTGAGCGGCCATACAGTTCGTGAATGTCCACCCAGGTTGGACACGCACGCCTATCTCATCAAGTGATATGCTTGAGCCTCCAGCAGTGTACGCATCAGAGCCGGCAGCTGTAACCACGAAGATGCGTTCTGAATTTGATGCGTTCATCAAAAGCGATGCGCTGGCTGACGCTGAGGTTGTGACAAAACGCATTTGGTCGGTGACACGGATGGACAATGAGCACCTACGAAAGGGTGTACAGGAGGGCATTCCAGGCCTCGTGAACATGTATGTGGGCATGGACTCGTTGGACTTTGTGCATACAAAGATTGGGCGGCTGCAGGGTGAGTTGATGTGGAATACAAAAGTCCATTATGAGTATTAGTCTCGTGTACGTCTTTAAAACGAACAGTTGGTTCTGCAGATGGCAATAATTTTGCATGACCCATGCTCCACTCCTGACCCGTCATTCCACCGGTCTCACCCAAAATATGAGGTTTACCGTACTAGAGATGACGGACTCGTTGTTTGGTTCCTGTAATATCAGATGTGCACACATTAGCAAAAGGCAAGCTTTTTCCATTGCACTCATAATATAGCCATATTCTCGACTTAGATTTTTGTCAGATCTTCTAGAGGGCATGAAAAAATGCATGACCACCGATCCGTTATTTAACAACAAAAATACAAAGATGAAGCATCGATTACAGTGTACAATATCACAATTCGAGACTAAGAATGAACAAAGTGGAAACTACTATGGACATCTAGCGTGATTTGATGCCCTTTGCATATTTCCACATAAATTCCATGAATATTGCCCCAATGTTGACAACGTATGTGACCAGCCAGAGCGTAGTGACGGTGCGGCAGACCATACTTCGAGAGGAAAAGCCTGCTATCAACATCGCTGAGGGTGAAATGCATGAGGGACCAGGGAAAGCATCGATTGACGAAACGACTCACCAAACATAAAACAATTCAGGGATAAGACAACAAAGAATATAGGCGTGACTATCGACAACAGGTAGGACAAGACGAAGTAGTCGCCTTCCGTGAGTTGCTGATTATAATTAGGTTAGCCGGTGTCCGAAGAGTCAGCATAATGAAACTCACTTCTTGAATCCAGTGGCGATCGGTGTGTAGCCAACGTACCATGCTCGAGCCAGATATCAACATCGCAATCATGGCGAGCATGAGAGACATAAGGAGTAGACAATAGGGAGCAGGTGATGAATAGTCAAAGTATGGCACAGGAGAGCCCGTACTGACGAAAACACCGCTTGTAGCGAGGAGGACAGTTGCCTTTTTTGGAGTATATCAGCGTCGGTCTGAGCTCGCGCGGAGTTGGACAGCTTACTGTGGTAATAGTGCTAGTCAGGATAGAGCATGACCTGCTCCTAACGGTTTCGAAGGCTCTCTCTGATTGCAGCGACTTCCAATGATCATCAAGATCTGGGCGTCCAAGTGCCAAAAAACAGAGTACCCTCGTTAAGAGGGACGTGCGACGAAGAGCTTCGGGGAGGGGTTGTTCTTCAGCAAGTGCTCTGTAGTGAGCAGTCACATATAACTGGAAAGGCCGACTTAGTGAAATCACACGGTTAGAATTCATAATTTGTAAAGCGCACCTCAGTGGGATAGAATAAGGCCACGGAGTTCAATGAAAGAGTGGAGAGTACTGAGAACAGTAAGATGAACCTATTATAAAGGAACATCGGATGCATGATGCTGTGATATTGTAGTAACGCACCTGATGGATCTCATTATCCATATATGTTTCACTATAGCTGTGTTCACGAGTCCTTGATAATAATGTACCTAGCCATTGGAATTTGGAAACGTCGATAATAGCAAACCTAATAAACGTGACTCCTAAATGATCGGTCTTTCTCCTTACCTATGGTACAGTACATGCTGTACGGCGCACATTGCACAAAGATAACGAGTATTTACCCACTGGCTTATCAGGCCTTCAGGGTCTGATTCGCGTGTCTGACCAGTATTGCGAAATCCTAAAGCGTGTCAAAGATCCGACTCACCAGATATAGAGAGGTTATGCTTTTCGCTCCCCAGAAACTGGCGCGTCGCGGTGCTACAATGATGTAGCAAATAAAACAAAACAAAAAAACTCATCTACACTTTAAGCCGAGCGCTCAGCTGCGGAGATCCCTGTCTGTGTGTCAGCCTTATGTTTTTGAGTGCGTGAAGGCAGGTCTAATTCTACCGTGAGGACCATCAAGTCGTAGAACCAAATATGACATGAAGCAAGTGCGACACCCTCAGGCTTGCCTGGTTGCGATGTTCTGGGTGTTCCGGGCCTGCGTGAGAGATCAGAATGTTTCCAAGTTGAACGCATGATCAGGCCATGATCAGGCAGAACGCTCAGCTCTTTGCTGTAGCTGTCAAGCGTGAGATACAGATGAGCCGTAGGTTAATCGCAAGTGAATAACCGGTCGCGGTAATTACAAGTCATAGCAGACACCAATTAGGACACCTGCCTTCATCCTCTACTTCGATCTAGTACCAGTCCAACTACGCCGCTCAATCTGTAGATCCAAATAGACGTCCTCTTTCCCTTCAGCGCGGTATCTGTAAGAGGGCCGACCAGTAACCGGTGAGACTCAGATATTAGTCAGCCCCATGCTTCTTTCCGCCTTGCCCGACGAGTTTCGCACCATGAAATATTGAAGAAATGTGATCAATAGTATGTAGACTGGCTACGCGCTGCCGTGCTATTGATTGTTTCGAGCTTGGTTCCAGAGTCACAGAACTTCGATGTATCAATATTCAGGTGTTGTCCATACATTCGGCGTAGTTCATCTCGGAGGACCAGATAGTGCTCCTGTGCAGTGAGTGGATAGCTTCATTGATACTGTCATTTTGACCTGCTTTGTCGCTGTTCGGCATCTATGTTTTCCAATAGGATGGTGGTATCATAGTGCTGCAGGACTATGCCTAGAGGTAGAAGTTTCAGAAGAAATTAGCTGAGGAGGGGCGCCTGAAAAGATGAGAAAGTACAGACAGCGCCGAAGTATGATAAGACTTGGAAGACTACTTATAGTTAACTTCATTTGTGCCTTTTGCAGGATAAAGTACAAGGTTCACCTGAACGAATCGCCACCGCATGGATCTCCTCGACCAATCGATCACCACTCCCCACGAGGCTTTGAACATAGCTTCGACCTGTGATGGTTGTGTTGGCGATATTGGAGAGGAAGACCTAGTCGTGACATTCTAAGTAGTCAACTTGGAATACCAGTGGCTTAGCACGTACTGGAGAATCTGGAGCTATGTATGAGACCATCTACGAAGCGTCGTATCCGCCATATGCGAGGTGTCTCCCGTCCTGGGAGTGAACACAGTCTGTCATGAGTCACTGACCCAATAAGCTTTCAAATTTCAGGGCTGCTTACTCAATTGCGCGGGGGTGCCGCCAATTGACATGCTTGATGGAATTCAGCGCCTTGCCAGCATTTGGCCTTACTCGGGTTAACTTGTAGCAGCTTAGTAGCTGACGACGAGCTTGTTTTTAGATGAATTTTGTTTTGTTGCTCCTGTTGCCTTCGATCCGATTTTGTCCCCTCAAGGCTCCAGTCACGGTGACGTGATGCCGATTCTGAGAGGAGCTCAAGGCCTCCTAAAATTTTCAGATTCGAAATCCTCTCTTCAATCCTACAACCATGACTACGACGGTCGGATTCTTGTCGCTTCCTACAGAGCTCATATGTCACATTCTAATCCTCCTTAACCCCAGGGACATTAGTCGCTGTGCAATGGTTTGCTATTCCCCGTAGTTCGTTACAATTTCCTCCATGGCTAACGTTTGATCATACTAGACTTGCAATATCTTTTGGCTTGCGGTCCGGAATTCTGTCTATATTCAATACAAGCTTGAAATTTATGCTCAAGGCTTGATTAGTACTGGGACCGCTGCCATGGATTCGACCGGCGTTTCCAGCAAGACTCTGTGTTCACTCAAGAAATTGGCATCTTTGTGGCGATCTGACTTCCATGCGACCACTACCTTTGAAACAGTGGTCACTGCTGCTGTCACATGGGGACGCATGTTACCGATCTAAGATGTGAAATGTGGGCTTTGGTGGACACGCTCGCTGGACGAACACAAATTCTACATTCAGAGTTGTGGCACGAATCTTACACTCTCCCGGACGTGGTCTATCGGTGTCGAGGACTTTTTTACTACCTTCAACCCTCTGCAGGATCTTATGGTTGTGTGTTCTGAGCCTGATCATTGTGTCACTGTGACCGATGCGGAACAAGATTACCATGTCTGTTGGGTGGAATTCCGACTGGCTTCATCCCAGCGTCCACATCCGAGTGCTGAGTGCACTTCCTTGGAGTGCAAGCATACATTTGATGCACCTGGCGATTACCGTGCTGCTTTGTCGCCACTTGCAATCTGTGGTGATCACGTATTTATCCTCTATTACATAGAGGTCGCGAATTGCTGCCATTCTGAGCGTGTGCCCGGCATGTTCATACAAGTGATCAATTGGAGGAAGGGATATGTGAATAGCGTAAGTTCCCTCTGTTTGTGAAAATTCTGCTACTCAGCATAAGCAGCATTCTTTATGTCATCTGGATATCTGCAAGTTAGATCTGTTCTATCCAGTTGATGAACAGAAGTTTGTTATCATTGGCCCAGACTCGATATACTTGTACACGTTACAAGGGCTCAATGGGTCGCCTCAGTGCCGAATCATATATCACCTTCCCAAGATCCTCCGAGTCCATCTATCATTGTACAACTCGCAGGTCAAGGTTCATGGCCACCCGTCACTGCATGGCAAAGCAGCACGCCCAGAACCCATGCCGAGCTATGTACCCTCCCTGGAGTCACAGATTATGGTTTTAGAGTCTGCTTCCAAAGCGGGGAAAGCTATCCTAGTCATCGATATGGCCATCTTCTCCGACATGGCCCTGCGCTCAGATATGCTCGTCGATATTCCCTGGTCAGATTGGGGACCTCAGTATGCGTGCTACTTTCCGCACCACAAAAGCTACCATATCAGTGTGTTTGGCAGCAAAATGGCATATGCTCTTCCCAAAGATCATATTCCTAATCCTGGTCAAAGACTGCAACCGCTCTCCAATAAGGGTTACTTCTATGTGCACATCTGGGACTTCAATAAACGAGTCATTGCTCGTTCGGAAAGTGTCAACGATCCTGACTCATCGGATCTTCGCATTTGCAAGCCGGGTCAGATGATTGACTCCTTTGGTAAAGACATGTTCTCGAATCGTGCATACATCGCAACGGTCTGTCGTACGCCATTTCCGACAGCTGGCTCCAGGATATTCTTGGAACAGGATCGGCTTACTGTGACATGGGTACGTGTTCTTCGTTTGAACACAGGAACGGTCTGATGTGACCACATTGTAGACTCGGCATCGTGATATTAGTATCCAGGTCATTTCCCCCATCCAGACAGACGTTGGCCTGGACATTACAGAATAGATAGTTTGGAGTAAAACGGCTGGGACTCAGCGACACCGATGTAGTTTTATTATGAGCAATATGCGTTGTGTTGGCAAGCAAAATAGTAAATTTGTTTTCGCAGCAAAACAGGCGGGGCATAAGTATTTGCATCGGGGTTATATGCGACTGCCACAGCGTTGAGGTCTGTCACTCTAGAGTTCGATACATAATCAAGCTGAGTCGAGTGCCGATGAGCAGTCGGGGAACCAGGACATTGCTGAATGGCGACGAAGAATATCGCAGTGCTTCTATGCCACCGGCTTCCGTCTGCATCACCCTGTGGCTCATCATGCTGTGGGCATGGGTGAGAATATCATCAGGAAAATGCTGAGATATAGTAGCTTCTTATTGCAATCGCCTTTTTTTGGCAGAGGTGTAAATCATAGCGCTGAAATCAATAAATTTGTCCACCGGAAGCAAACTAGTGTTGTCCTGGTCAGCGCCGTCTGTCTCCTTCCTCATGCTCCGCGTCATTCTGCCCTTCGAGATCATCAGTTCTCGATGGACCGCTCGAGCTTCCCTAGCGTAAGCTTCGCAGTCTCAGCCTCCGATTCCTGGGAAGTCCGGGCAATGGGTGGAGCTTCTACATCTGAGACGCAGATGATGCCGTCAAAGGACATGAACTTGCCTTCATGGAGCGTGGTTGCCTGTTCAGATGAAACTGCGACACGTAGGCCCTTCAGCAGCCGGCCATTGCAAAGCGATATTGTTGATGAGCGTTGGGTCCGGACCTGTGGCGAAGGATTCAGTGGTGCGATCGACTAGCATGAGTGATACATACCTCCATAATTATTTTCTCAAGGACGTCCGAGAAATGCAGCGCGATGGAGGTGTCTGGAATGATGAAGGACAAATTCCCGATGCCGCTAGCGTACGGACTCGTAAGAATCATGCATGGACGCAAATTCCGGGCCCTATGAACACCACACACTCATCAGTTATGCCACAAACAAAGCGTAGCATCGAGACTGAACAAAATTGGACAGGAACTTGAGGGAAACACTGACGCACTTCAGCAGGGGCGTTGACTAGTAGGGTAGGGAACGAATACATTTTGATGGGCTGTCCTGAGTGCCGAGCTTTTGAACTTTGTTGTGTGGTAGGGCTGTACGATGGGGAAGTACTAGAGTATGACTATACTCTTGATTACCAATTATCTGGAATTTGAAATTCGATGTCCGGCATTTTGCTGACTAAAGTACTACATAGCAAATATTGACGCCGTGTGTGAAACTTTAAAGGTTGCATTGGTCCATCTCTCACGAGCTAATGTGCCATAGGCAAGCTTGGTCGGCATGTCTAGCACGTGCCACGTCCAGTGATGCATTGATGCATTACGATTTGTGCTCAGGAGCATCGTTGGCACATTCCTAAACTCAGAATCAATCCATAACATTTCTCCTCTTATGCTATGCCAGTGGAGAAGGATACAGCGATGGTTGCACATCCGCCAGTGAGGTCTCTACTAAGAATCTACACTAACTTGCAGGCCGTCACCGATTAAATGGATCCCGGGCCAGGTTGGTATCAGTCCCAACAACTATTTCCAGGGTGTGAAGTTTATTTTGAAGGCCTCCTGGTCGGTCCGGGTCAACTTCATATTTAAACTTTATTATAGGATACTATGCATGCCCCATCCATAGCTCAATTGGCCCTCATTTCCCATGTCCACACCTTCGTCCAGTGATGAAATTGCAAAGCAAGCTCCCGAGAGCGTCTCGAAATTCGTCGAAGGCGTTGGAAATACCAGCCTTGTCGACACCTCGGATGCGCTAAGTTTTCCCGAAGGTGGTTTCACCGCCTGGGGCACAGTGCTGGGCGCGTAAGTGCTTCTGTCCACCTATTGATCATTGCACTCTCACCATTAACTGCGACCATTAAGTTTGTTGATCCAATTCTGTGGCTTTGGGTAAATTCGACTTTGCATTTGTGGGCCCAAGCTAATAACACGTTCCAGATATACCAACGCTTACGGTGTCTTCCAGGGCAAGCATATGTATGAATTATCCCACGTGGACGGACTGACAACCACGATATGCAGACTTTTATACTCAAACATACCTGACCAATTCCACACCATCTGCAATCGCGTCAGTGAGCTATAGATCTGCCTAGGTAGTTTCTTGGCTGTCAGTGTTTCTGACCTCTACTGTGGTGTAGCTGGATTGGAAGTGTTAATGCATTCTTGGGATTATCAGTTGGCATCGTATCAGGAAGGATGATCGACCGAGGCGCATTGTATGTGTGCAAGAAGTCCCCATAAAGACATCTCTGATCATACATTTTCAGTTACCCTGTGATGAAAATCGGCTGTCTCCTCCAATGCTCCTGCCTCTTTATGTTGTCCCTGGCGAAACCAGATCAGTATTATCAAGCAAGTCCTATTTCTGTTAATGCGCCGCTTTTCTGACCGTATTGCTATGTGTGCAGATCTTCCTTTCCCAAGGCATCGGTTCTGGTATTGCAATAGGCCTTACGAATGTCCCCTCTTTCGCCGTAGTATCGCATCACTTCCAACGACGCAGGGCTTTGGCGATGGGAATTGTCGCCACGGGGAGCTCTCTGGGTGCAATCTTGCACCCCATCATGCTCAACAATCTCATCAATGGAAGACTCGGCTTTGCAAACGGTGTCCGTGCAAGTGCGGCCCTGAGTGGTGGCTTGCTTGTCATCGCAAATCTCCTGATGCGAACAAGGCTTCCACCGCAACCAAAGATCGTTAGCTACACCCGCGTTCTGCAAAACTCGTCGAGGGATGGTGCTTACATTTGTGCTTGTGTAGGGTGCGTAAGCTTTGCAATACTCGATGACATGGACATCAAAGTTGCTTTCACGGCTTAGGATGGCTGCTTTTGAATTCGGATACTTCTCCGAAGCCTTTTATCTCCAGTTAGATTCTACCCTGCATGGTCTGAGCCAAGGATTTTCGTTTTATTCCGTACGTATCAAAACTGCTCAAATAATCAAGAACTGCTTATCACCCCGACAGCTCACGATTCTTAATTCTGGTTCTTTCATCGGAAGACTTACTGGGGGTGTTGTCGCTGGATACGTGGGCATCCCGAACACGACAATTGTCTCTTCATTAACATCCTCTGCTGCACTATTTGCAATGATTGGCTTGCACTCGGCCGCCAGTGTAGCTGTTATAGCTGTAAGCTATGGGTTTTTTTCCGGAGGCGGTGCGTAGGTTCATGATGCTCCTCTGACACTCACCAAGTTTCGACTCCAGTTATAGCAATGATGGGCCCGTTGATATCACATCTGACTCCTGAATTCTCACATATTGGGTAACCACTTACCATGTGCCTTTGGTTTTGTCTGACACTGCTCAAGCGCACGGATGGGAATAACGTTTGCAATATCTAGTGAGTCTCTGAGTCTTTATTCGGTGACACTCTGAGTCTTGAACACGTATTCACAGGCATTGGATCACTCGTGGGCACGTGTGTCGTTTACATTTCCTCGACAGTCACTCACGTTCGGCTTAGGTGCACCTATTTGTGGGGTTGTCTTGACGTCGCATTACATCTGGTGGAAAACTGCTATCCTTGCTGGGGCGAGTGAATCATGTCAAGTTGCGTTGTCGGCTTTTGGCTAACACGTTGCGTAGAGCGTCGCTACTGGCGGCTGTATCTTGTTCATATTCATGCAGGTCATCTTGAAGATGCGTCAAAAAACTTCAAGCGTTTACTCCAAGGAAGCTGGTGTCTGATTTGTGTCACCCGAGCATGTATGTAAAACTATTTGCATTGCACATGAGAGAATTTAAATATGTATATACCACAATAAACGAAACTGTTAGGACGTGGTGCTCTGCGAGCTGTCCTGGGGAATAGCGTACCACCCATATTCAAGTCCATGGGTCAAGTGGAGCGCGCACGTGGGGTAGATGCGAATTGGTTCCGCGGGATCAAACGCTCCGTGCTTAGATATCAGATGTCCATAGGTTACTGAGCGATATTCTGATTTGCATATCTGCTGGCCCTGGCACGGGGCTTCTGCCGGATGATGGCTACGTGCTAGCTGCGAAGTTCTGTCATTCATGTTGCACTATCATCCACTCTGATCCTTCAGCACAACTATTTGGTCAAACCAATTAGCAGAGCCGCTGATTCAATGCATCGCCAGATAGACAATATTTCCTGCTAGAGCAGCCTGATTCGCTGCTGTGATCATCGGTGATGCGGTCAATATTGATTTAGGACCATTCATGGCTTCTAGCTGTAATCAAACTTGAGAGGAAATTACCGAGGAAGCTTGATTTGCGTATGTCTATAATACTGATATTGTATACCTTGAATCTGGTGGGTCTGGGGTCTTTGCGAACTCTATTCTGATGCATACTGTGCATCTTAGATTGACAGAACCAATATCAGGTTTGTGGCATACTGTTGTGCTTGCATGAATCTTATGACATCTACAGCCGCAACGCCCGGTTGCAAGGTTTTGAGAATGAGTATGATGACACGTTTCACCTCACCTGCTCGCTAGTTCCTTAGATCTTCCAGCACGTATATACAAGGAATGTGTGCATTTCACCCTAAGGATGACAATAACAATAACAGTAACAGTAATAGTAATAGTAAGAATGAACGAGAGGTAGTGGGACATGCGCTATGCCATGGAGTATGAAAAGAACGTGTGGTGCTATACGTCAATAGGCGACAGCAAGGTGGGAAACATAGAAAGGATAGTGTGTAGTTGGTAAAGAAATGAACGTGGCAGCGGGCTATGCCATACGGTAGGAAAAGAGCGTGTAGTGCTGTACGTGAATAGGCGACAGCAAGAAGCAAAGCAAGGAAAGGATAGTGTGTTATGCGAAGGAGAATGAAAAGAATGTGTGGTGCTATACATGAATCGGCGACAGAAAGTAGCAAGACATGGAAAGAATAATGGATAGTTGGTAAAGATGTGAAATATGAAATGAACTCTACATCTCATGGTCGACGGGGGTAGAAGAGAGAGGTGGTAATTCAGAGGGAGATCGTTGGTGTAGATCACTCCCGTAAGAATTGTCTAGCCAAGAGCATACCAAAAGGGTCCTGATTGGGAAGTTGCAAAAATCAGGGTCTTCGGCAGCGTCTGTGGAAGACTCGCAGAGAGGAATTTCGGGATCTACAAAGTCGTCTATCTCATTAATGAGGCGCCAAACATCCGGGTCTTCGGCGGCGTCCACAAGCATGGCCTCTGGCAGGCGAGAGGACGGAGGCTCAGTGATGGGAGGGAGGGGATCCACGAGGCCCTCCGTGTCATTAATCCACCTCCAAAAGGGAATGCATCCGCGGACCTCTGCGAGTGTAATCTCTCGTACTTCAGATGGGGGAAGCACGGGTGTCGCCAAAGGAGGTTCTTGCATCGCATCAGCCGCCAAAGGATTGTGGACCTCAACGAGTGCAATGTCCTGCCCTTCAGATGGGGTAAGTACAGGTGCCACCTGGACCTCGGTGTCTTGCCCTTCGAATGGAGGAAGTACGGGTGCCACCAAAGGAGGGTCCTGTATGTCACTAGCTGCCCAGGAATAAGGGTTTACGGCGTCTGTCGGGATGATCTCGGGTGGTGAGCTATGGGACGTCGTCGTGGCTGTCGCGGGTAAATGGGGCATGAATGACGCAGTAGCTAAAGCGGAATTAAAACTCGTGAAAGCTCGGCAAGCGGCTGCGTAAGATAGCCGAGCGCCATTAACTGGTAGCTTTCCACAACTGTCCTCCCAATGCCTCTTGCAGGCATCACGTCGGGTATAACTAATCACAACAATATTAGTGATGAGACGCGCTTGTTTGAGAGTAGGAATACGTACGTGTGCAGACAACGAGGGCACGCAAATTCCGTTGGTTTGTAACCAAGATGTTTTTCTGTCTTGAGATGGCGTTTATAACTGCCAGGACGGACGAGCATGCCATCCTTAAAACACATATATCTCCCATCGTGTTGACCATGTTGATCTATCATGGGTGCCTGTTCCAAGGGTTAAAAATGCGACCTCACAAAATTAAAAAGAAAACTTACAAAGAGCGGGTCGTCCTCTATCCCGTCGAAGCTCATTTTAATTCGCTTGACGTTACGGTCTTGGAGGTCATTTACGACGCGCTTGTCACCGACCGACAAACTTGGTGCTTGAGGAGAAGATGGAGAAGCAGAGCCCGTTACCAGCCCGGCCCCGTGATGCTGATGGAGGTATGGTTGGTACGATGTGTAAGTTGCATTGGAGGTCATGACTCCTGGAAAATGCCCCGAAGGGAAGGATTGTTGGTACATGGGGGGAGGGACGCCGTACGGGAAGCAGGGGGGTGCGGGGGGTGCAGGGGCATAGCCTGGATGATGCATGTGTGCGGGATGGGGCCAGGGAAATTGACCCATATGCATGCCAGTGTTTGGGGTGTCCTGGTTTGCATTGGAAGAGTCGGAACCGTGCGATGAGGGATATGAGGGAGATTGGGTCATCTAGAGGTAAGAAGTAGATATGGTTAGAAAATGTAGGCATCGTAAGCTGGGAATACACATACCTGAGCCAGCAGATAATTGAGTAAGATGTTATGAGAATGGGTATGTGTTCGCAGTGGCAGTAGGTGTAGCGTGTAAGGGATGGAGGATGAAGGATGAAGGTCGTCGAAGCAATATTTATATGGTCTTCGCATGCCGCTTTGAAAGTGTGTTTCCACTGTGGAGACCTCGCTTTCGGCGAGCATTACTGTGGAAGATTATTGTGCATTAAGTGGAACAGTGGCCATTTTTGTCGATGCGTTCAGCTTTGCATATACGCTTGAGTCATCCACTCTTTTTGCAAGTCCGTGATACAAAGACCAGAAGCACGTTGTGGTGCGCTGTGAATATTTGTGCTTTCCTGGGGGGAACAATCCGATCGGAGGACCACAACTTATGTTTCTGGCTCCACGAACAGTCGAATAATCGTAGATCCAAGGCCAAATTACATGAGCGATAAGATCCATTAGATCTCCGTAAGTTATGTCGGTGCTTGGGAGAAATGGCATGCTCAGTGAACGGGTCGCAAAGAACAAACCTATGCGAAGCGCAATGGACAATGCAAAACTTGATCTACGCCTTTCTTATCACCTTGTAAACGCATGATTATTGAGACGGCTCACCAACATCCGATTCGAGAAGACCCAAACGCCAAACGGCATGGATACGAATATTCTTATTACACTTTCTTGCGAGTACTCACACTTATATTTTGTTTCTTGGTTCATACATCGCAATATCCTGTCGGATTCTGGCAGAACTTGCCTCGTCTAATGAAGACACAGAACCGGCCGTAATTTTGCTTCCCTATTTTCAAAACCACACAAGTTGGAGGAAATCGCCGTCGTGCAACATTGGTTGATCGATTCAAATGTGTCTTTGCCTACTGAGAGCCTACGACCAATTGCTTTTAGTGCCTGTATATTGTGAAGATTAACAAGGCAATGCTAAATGCAAGGAAAACCTGTCTGGCCCGGGAGGACGATTGATATGGTGAAGGATAGGCGAGCGAAAAAAAATCGTTATCGATGGCATCGACTTCAGGGAACATCGAAGAACTTCTTATCGTTGGGCAGTCGTCTCAGGCATTAAATTGCACCACTACGGCTCCTGAAACACAGCACAGAAGCGCCAGGTGTCCAGGCGCGTGAAGTCTGGATGAGATGAGGCGACAGCCTACATAGGAAATAGCTTGTCACAAAACTGCGTTATTGGTGGGCAAAAAGTGATATTCGAGGACACGTAAGCGTTTGTAGTATGCGCAATTAATGTTCTGTAACCAAACATCAACCAGGTAATATTTTTGCTCGCAGTCATTCGCTGTTCACTGTAGAAGTTGAATAAGGGAGCGGACAAGAAAGGATAAGAGAGGAACACCACCATGTCAGAGCACAAGATACTGGCCAAACCAAGGCCAAAAGGAAGATACAACTTGAAAATGGGGTGCGGTTCGAATGCTTGTGTTGATGTCCCTACCAAGGCTTGCGGACCGCGGTGCGTATCAAAAATCATGTCAGTTTTGACGAGACATCGGGCCAGAGGCTTAGACTCGTATGCGTGAACTTGCACGGTTTCGGGTATCATGACAGCAGTCTAAACATGCTGTGAATGAATATTGAACGGGTCCTCATCGGCATCGCTGGATGGTGCAAAGTTCAAACGGTGTGTAGACAGAAAAATTAATTTGACTTTGTTTCGTTATGTACGTAATATATCTGACGAGGCTCTTGTTCCGAGTTCACCTTCAACATTTTTACTGGGATGCTTTGAGCTCGGCGTACACATGTCACAGACCCGCTCAAGCAAATGGCAGGCTTGGCTCTAGTGAGCTCTTGAATATGGTCGAGCCAGCTCCTCGTCATTTCAAAGCAGGAGACCTTCAATCTTCAACTCATAGATTATTCTACCGTAAAAATCAGAACTCTCCTCGAAACGAGTTTCATGCTCTGAATTCCCTCCCCTGGCAATCCGTCACTGTTGGTTATCAAGTCGAAAATTTGACGCCGGTTCGCATCCTCGGGGTGGATATATGTTTTGAGACCTCGACTCTACATCTGGTTCCGACAAATCCGCCCTGGAAAATGATGGTGATACGCTTGGGTATTGCTGGCTTTTCCGAGTCGAACGTTAGATGCATATGATACTGCCCAGGACCCTACCCATCTCCGAGGTCAATGATGTCTCCAACCAAGGGAACACTGTTGTACCTGTCCAGCACGTTTCTGGGTTATCGCCCGTCAAGTGTTTCTTCCCAGTGGATTTTCCAACGTGGAACTGACTCTGGTGGCCAAAACTGTGAGGCCTCAGTGATGAGGAACACAGGCACCGATACCAAGAGAGAAGGAACTTCGTAGGACTGGCTTCAATTGTAGAGACAATATTGAGAACACTGGTGAGCGTTATTGTAGTCCCGTTCAATTACTAGTATCATGTTATTCTCGTTGTGCCTCGTGCGCATTTGAAGCGAGCGTGATTCGCGCTAGCGTCCACATTTAAGTCTTCAAAGACGTTTCTAGCTGTCTGGAGATTCTTGCGTAGCCGCCCTTTGTCAAAAACACTGCGGAACATGTTTATGGCGTGAGATCGTCACTCATATCAGGTATGCATATGGATTCAACCTCAAACCTTTAGTCCACCTTGCGAGTATGCGAGCACATATCAATCGAATAAAATCCTATTTCAAGTAAACGAAGTGGGTTTGAAGAAACGAATGCTGCCGCTGCTGATCTGGGCCCAAGTATCAACACAAATTGAAAACGAGCGCCAGGGCCATTGACAGTACGATATTATATCAACGTGTAACTACTGTGCCTCATCCCCTACCTTCACATCTGGTTTCACTGTTCGTTTCTTCTTTACTGTACTTGTTCCCTTCTTCTTTGCACGCGTGACCTTGATAGGTTCTGGAGTGCTCGTGCGTAGTTCGTCATCAGGAACTTCGTATGATTGGAAAGAAGGAAGGGAAGGTGGAGGCGTTGTAGTGGCATCAAATAGGTTTGGAGTTTGGCGCCGTGAGGATGGCATGGGAGTTGACGGTTGCGATGTTATGACAGCGCCCGCAGGCATCTCGCCCTCTTTTTGCACGACAAACAACGGAGGAGCGGATCGTACGGACGCACTGCTTCTCAGCCCAGGAAGGCGAGGTTCCTCTACAGGGGTGTCAGCCATGTTCATGTGCGTGGAGAGAAAAATACCTTGTGACACTGGTAAGGGACCATCTAGTCGGACAACGGGGATCGAATCAACATCCTCTGCAGAAGGCTTTGGAGATCGGTCGTCCATGATGTAGTATGGGTCGTCCCGCATTCGTTCCAATCGCTCGGCCTTAAGCTGTGGAATATTAGTTAAGTCGAAGTGATGCGGAGATTGCGGTCAATGCCTACCCTCTCTCGTTCAGCCTTTTCTTCAGCTGTCTCTTCTTCCTGCGGTGCAAGCTCCTCCTGGTAGCCCCCCTCCTTCTGCTTCTTCTTCCCACCCTTAGCCTTCGTTCTGCTGCCAGACTCCTTCTCTTTCCCTTTCTTATTCCTCTTGATCTTCCGCTCAGTCACGTCACCGTCATCACCCTCTTCTGCGACGCGATCTTGCATTGACGGCACAATCCACGCATCCAGGTCAAGCCCGTCAGGAACGGGCACACTCGCTTGCGCGATGGATGCAACAGGATTAAGTTCATGCGATGAGAAGAGTGGTTGAATAAGGTAGAGACTCTTTGGAAAACTCGGTTCTGATACTGGGTCGAAGGCAGCTGCACTCGGGTCCGAGAACCCATTTTCCTGCTTTGGTTTGTATATCGCGACATCGCGCTTGATGAAAATAAGCAGCTGAAGAACGTTTGCAGCCTACAAAAATGAATTGAGTAATTTGCGAATCCCTGATCGTTGCGATCCTCGTCACTCACACGTTCTTGGACCTCGATCTGGGTGCTCGATGCAAGTTGTTCCATCTGTTCAATCATGATATCAACGGCTTGCTTGAGGTCTTCAAGGAAGCTCTCCGTCCACTGCCTTGCCGCTTCAGAAGCCCAATATCCGAAAAGCTTCGTGGCCGATTGTATGCACACGGCGGCTATGTCGGGTCTCAGAGACGCAATCTCTGGCTGGAGTAAGTATGGAATAAGCTCGTCCGGCGCAGAAAGCTCGCTGTAGTATGATCGTTCAGCATATCGGAAGTGAGTTAATTATTGAAACGCACCTGCAGAACTCTCCACATATCCAAGCTGCTGCCCACAGCACCTCGGAACAGCTACCCTGCTCACCTGCGTGCAGCAAGAAAGTATCGTCAGACAATACCTTCACCATCAACTTAACTGCATAGCTCCTAGCTGCTCTTACGCGTCCGACAACGTCTACAAGTTGGTCGCGAATTTGCGTGCCAATATCGACATTCGATACGTATGCGAGGTCAACGAGGACTGAGAGGTACCATTCAAAATCGGATACATTGTCGTAGGTGTTTTGAGAACACATTGTCATGATCCTTTGTGACAGAACAAGGCGGTAGGCGGTGGACTGAGATGGTGCACCCGGGGACTTGGCAGGAGTAGAAGGGATGATGTGTTGAGATAAGGATTGTACTGCAGACGGAATGGCGGAGGACTCGGGCTTGACAAGATGTGACAGCAACTGCTGCACAATTGATTGTAGATTGTCTCGATTGACCTACAGAATTTATGTTATACAAGCAGAAGAATTTTTACGATAACTTACGAGTGCTGAGAGCAGATCTAGCGCACGCATACGGATGCTGATATCTTCATCATCGACACTGGAAAGGATTGTATCCTGGTGCTCTGCGACCAAATGGGGGTGTGTAGGTACAATCTTGACCATTGCAAGCAAAGCAATGTACTTTACTGTAGCTTAGTTAGTCGCACCCATTCAAAGGACAAAGTAAATCACAGACGATTTTGATCTGGATCCTCGATAAATGCTGCGAGTTTTGACACACATGTCCGTGCAAGCGAGTCGCCAGTGATGCCCTGTAGCATATTACCAATGATACATGTGTGTACACACTCGTATAGAAGGGATATCGCAGACGTTGTGGATATCAAATCAGTGATCGGCGGTTGCAGTTTCTTCACTAGCCGCGGTTCATGAGGTGAGAGAGAACCAAACTAATAAGAGTAAGTGGGCTCGTAAAAATCAAGTGAGGTCCATACCAACTTGACAATTTTGATGAGCATCCAGTTGTTAGACGATGTGGTTAGGAGATGGAAGAGCTGCGGGGCGAGCGGAAGGTAGTCTTGGGGATTTCTCCGGGCGAGCTCACACAAGACATTTACTGTCGCGCAAACCACAGCTGGGGGTGCGTGCATTGGTTAAACAAGCAGCTTGATCTCGTCTAGCTTGAGCTGACCTGGATCAGAATCCTCTAGCTTTTCCTGCAATCGACCGATACCATGATGGAGGGCATCAGGGTACTTCTGAAACACTCTGTACATAGCAGCGACTGCTCTCTTGCGTATGTGGGGTCGGGAGTGGTTGAGCATGCCGATCAATTCAGGACTGAGGTCGCGTGCAAGGTCTGCGGTCATAATAGAGGAAACACCGTTTAAAGTGACTGCGATATCTGCAGGTGTTGAACTTAGATCCTGAACGTAATTCAATGGCGTGTTTCACAGTAAAGGGCTGGGCCTCCTGCCTCTCACCTTCTTAAGCAAATTGGTAGTCAACATCAACACGTCCGTGTCCTCGTTGAACGACTGGACGGCACCAAGATAACCTACACTCTTGATATGGATCTTTGGGGACGACATGACTTCTATGATGTGAAAGGAAGCCCAGTTCATGTCATATCCTAGCATGTCCAGCTACAAAAGGATGTCAGGCTCGAAGCTTATCGTTAGTAAGAGCAGCGCACATATGTGAGTTTCATGACAGCTCCAGCCTTGAGCTCCATATCCTTGCTCTTGATTTCATGCCTGATCTCGTCCATGGCCTGTCCAATGAATTTGTTTTCATCGTTCTTGTTGGCCCGCAAGCCGCGAATGAGATCCTGGAGCGTGCGCTCCCACATGACAGGAATCGACAGTTATAAGCCCCGGAGAGTGTAAAGCAGATGTGTTGAATGACGTTGGACTTGAGCTTGACAGATGGGTACTAGTAGACGAGGGACAGATCACATGATAATTGTCAGTACATCCCCTGAGTAACCAATACAAAGATCTTACAGAATAATGCGCCTCTCTTGCAAACCTCTTTCCTGAAATTGACAACTTATAATGTATACTCGCGGTGTCGCTCCAGGGATGTTTCTCCACAGCAGTCTACATTACATAATAGCTCATTACTCTCAAAAGGGTATTTATTTTGGTCTCGTGATCAGTTAATAAATAGGACGCGTTGTTTATGGCACTTTATCGTCCCATGTACATTACTCTGCACGCTCAGCGACACCATCTAACCTATCATTACCTTTTATCTTTCGTTATATCAACTGGCTACAACATCGCATTTTTACTGATCGCGTCCAGAACAGGACTGGCCAGAGTAATTCGAGGTAAGTATTGTCTTATTTCCCCAGAACCCCAGCGCGCAGTTGGCACCGTCTGTACGCTGCTTCTCATTGTCTTTTGGAATCCGGAAAACATGACAAAACCTGCCAACAAAGTCAAGATGGCTCTACTATATGTGGTTAAATAATATAATCCATCTCATGCGTGCAATTTACCGTGGTTCCGCTAGTTAATCATAGATCTGTCGTCACCTTGACCTCTCTGAAGATCTACGTGGCAAATACCATAGACAATTGGCGTTTATTATATAACCAGACGGTCTTTCGGGGATATAGACTTCGTTCTTTTATATACTTTCCTGCATGGGTTGGGAAATACATCCCAGCGCCGGAAGGCACCGAAGGCTGAGAGGGAATTGTGATGGTCGCATTATATATACTTTTCGACTGGATGGAGAACACTTACACTAGTGCGTTGAACGGCCATCAAGTGATTTGCAGAGGTAGTGATAGCTTCAATATAGCTTTGTACGGTATCTGGGCGCCGATCCAGTGGCGATGAGCCATGCCTTAGTGGGCAAGGAAGGTTAATGGATAACTTATAGATCTCTTACTAGCTCAATGCCACTATAGCCGCATTAGGATTCATAAAGATTGCATTTAAATGGTTCCATTAATGACGCGAACAATGGCAGTGAGAGTGAGTACAGCGACGGTGATGCAGTCGCAATATATACCAAGAGTTCCAATAGCAATGCAAGTCTGATATCAAGACAAGGAAGATTAAGAACGAAAGCAGCAGCAAGGAGGGGAATGGGAGCGAGGAGAGAAAGTAATGCTATAGAAGGGCTTCACTATCCTTACCTGAAGCGACGAGCCCGACCCACTCCTGACGCCACTGCGCCATCTGTGATCGCAGCTTTTTGTTACCGAGCATGCGTTCTATCCAAGATAGAAGCGAGTCGTCGTCTTCGGGTACGAAGAAAGAGGATAGAAGGGATAATATGGTTTCGAAATTGGCGGAACTGGATGTAATGTGATCTATTGATTGGATTAGAATAAGGATCGCTGGATAAGTAGAGAGCGACATGCCTCGATAGACCCATACGATAGAGATGGCTACCGCAACGAAAAGGTCTTCCCCCTCTAAGAGATACGCGTCCCATAACCGGAGCTGTGTCTGAAAAGGAACGGAATTGGCAAAAAGCGTGATGTACCACTTTGTCGCGTATGAAGTCGTAGAAATCATGTGTTTCTTGAACGCAGCGTACACGTCCGGCATCTTCGATTCCATGATTCGTTCCTGCACGTAAATGGCCTGCAACAATCCTGGAAAACCGGGAGCAAATATTGTGTGCATGTTGTAGTTATCATGTAAGCGGGAAAGGGCGGCATAAACTTTTTCAGGTTCGAAGTAGCATAGGAGAGTCGCAGCTATGGGACCCATGCCCTGCACGTAGCCACATTGATGGCATCGTAATGAGAAGGAGTGTAGGACGTGGAACAGGCAACGTTGCCTGAAGTAAGGGGATCAGCCTTGGCAAAATCAAAGTAAGCACTGAAACGTACCCAAGTCCGTACCGCGTGTGAAACATGATATGGCCACTAATAGTTCTTGGTACATCCAAGTCGATCTGAACGTCGTAGCTTGAAGGTTTCTCCAGGTCTTGTAAATAATGGTCTCCAAGTGTCTCAATCGCCTTGCGTCCGGATTTCGAAAACCGACTCATGAGCACTTCCCAAGCTGCCCTTCTCCACCGGTCAGGAATCCCCTTGTATACCCTCTGGCGAAGCTTGTGCGCTTTCGATGCCTTGATACCCCACGACTCTACATTTCCGCCGCCGTCTCGACTAAGAACTTCCAACATCCTGTCCCACTTGGCAACCCGCATCTGTTCCTTGAGCGGAGATGAAGCTGCGGGTAATGAACTGACAGACACAGCATGGCTTGGGGCTGATTTCGAACCGGCCCTGACTGAAGTCAATCGTTTAACCAGAGGACCAGATGGTAGTAGAACCAGTCGGTCGTGAGATGGTACGATGAAGAATCCATAGCTAGTTGCAAAATATGAGATTTGAGAGGATGTACTCCCCTGATCCAATCTCACCGGTCTAAGCTTGACAACACGTTGAGCTCTCGAGCTTCAAGGTCTCGTGATTTCTCTGAGGGACCAGCCAGGGCAGCCTCTGCGCGTAGCTCGCTTCCTTTACTGGCACGAATTCGTGCGCGTGTGCGTTCCACGCCCTCCTCGTAGCCATCGCCTCTGACACCAGTTGCGTCGAGGTGTGCATACGTACTCCGCACGTGGAACGCGTCCAGGTCTTCACCTTCTGAGGGCACCAGCGACGTTTTGCTAGAAGGACTGCTTAATTTCGACTGCTGTTTAGTGGTGGGAGAGGAAGATGGCGTTTGAGAGGATTGTGGGATTAAAAAAGACGTTGGCTGTAGGGGGGTGAGAACCAAAGTAGGTTCAGGAACATGACGTTCTCTACTTCTCAGCAAGGATGGTGGGTGATTATGGGGAGGCGTAAGATGTGATACAGGAGGCGAAACGGCGTCTAGATCACTTGAAGAACTACATGAAGTGAGAGCACTTTGGGAACGAGTTGGGATAGGAGGAACGCGCTTGGAACGTGTAGGAAGTTCCAGGGTGTCTCTTCCATGAGAATTGGCGTGATTCGAAAGTGGGAGTGGGTAGGATGAGTTAGCAGAGCCATTCGAAGTAACTGATAGCGGAGTCCGATCATGAGGGTTTGACAATGTGCTGAAGGGCTTCATGTCTGAGGATAGGTCGATGAAAGTGGTGTCGGTATTGGAAACATAGGAAGTCCTGTGATTAAAAAAGTTACTGTAATTGAAGCTGTCCCCCAAGGACAAGTCAAGTTCTTTGGAAGGATCCTCGAAGGTTGAAGAGGCAGTCCAGCTGGTTTGTTCTTCGTCGTCACCGTACATGGAATATATGGTAAATATGGCAGATTCTGTTGAACTGCGTTCTCTGTCTGTCGATGATGATGAATAAAGCTCTGGAACGGAGGACGCTGTCGACGATGGTGATAACCTCGGATAACGACGACTCAGTGATTGTTTTGGTAGCGCAAGAGTGGTCGACGACGACGGAGTCTCCATAAAATAGAGAAGTCAGGTAAGAAAAAAGAACTTGAAGAAGAAAAGGGAATCGAATTGAAGGAACGTCGGAGGAAGAAGAAGCTTGGGAAAAGTGAATGCGCCCTTTGAGAACTTTGGATGAGAGATTTCAATGAACGCCGATTCAGGCAAGTCACGACGGTCAGTCTGCAACAGCCACACCGCAGCGCTGGCTGCCAGCTGGCATGGCAATTCACTCTTTCTCGTAAGTTGTCTACTATGTTACCTGCTAGGCTGCACATAGCAATAGCAATCTCAGACTATTTTGATGTTAACAGGATCTTGGCAAACAATGGACACGGTTTCATCATAATGTGATCAACGACACACTAACTTTAACTTGAAGATGTACCGCATGATAGACTTGCATTCACAGAGTGAGAAGTACTCTCTAGTGTTCGTGGGCAATGTCATCCTACAACCATTCAGGTGGGACACACTTCCCACTCATAACTTATCCTCAAGCATGTGGCCGATATTGTGCAATCATATGGTACATTCCAATGTCAGTTGATCCTCTCGCCGTTCGGTCCGGTACTGATCTTTCCAAACTCAGATCTCCCAAATTTCAGTTAATTGATCATTCGTATGTTACGCACGATATCGTTACTGAACTGTACACATCCTCTCCTGCCGAAATGACCACTTAGTGCCAGCCGCTATCGACAGCGATGAGAGTCCATCCCGGCATCAATTAACAGCCATATTCTGATATGATATCATCCGTGCTGGCAGTCTATCACATCTTTTCCAAAAACAACCAGGAGCAAGGGTGGAACCTCAGAGGGCCAGTCAGGCAATTACCGAGACCGTCAAAGACGACGTGGAAAGCGGCAATATAGAGGAAAACAGAAGCGACACTGCGGATGATACTGCTGGCGAGACAAGACATTGGACAACGAACTATCAAACTGAATTCCCTATCTCAGTCCCCTAGAGCAACAATCACTCGGCTTGAAAGGAGGCCAGAGTTCTCAATTCGAATTCCAAGGCTCTCCATATACTCCATGGAATAAGTACGATGGGATCAGTCCACAGACCACCCGTCCTTATCTTATGCAGCCTGTGCTGGCATCTTGTATTTTGTCCAGCGATCAGAAGCAAGAGCAAAACATTCGGCGGCGGAATGTTACAAGTTTGTCACGATCTGATATGAGCTCGCGCTTGACGTTTAGAGCAGAGAACATGGTAAGTCTCTCCAGCGTCTCTATACAAAGAAAGACTCTTATTTCCTTCTATTGGTCTACCTAGCGGAGACTAAGCGCCTCGAGATCAGTCATGCACCTGATTACCAAGATTGCCATTGACGCTGTGGAACTGAAGGCAGAATACATGGCAGACTAAAGCTACTTCTGAATCATCACTGTTTCTCAGTTCCCTCAAGCAATAGCTATGTCGCTCGATTTGAGCAGAGATCTGTCCAATTCAAATTTAAAGGCTTCAACCCCATCTACTCCGTGGAATTCGAAATGCCTTGCTCCGTTAGTTGAGTTTTTGATCAGCCTTATCCCAGAATCGGAAAGTCTGATAGTACCTTATCACCTCGGTCGACCTCATGTGATGTTGCCGAGGGAGGATGTTACGAGAATAGGCAACGAACTGGCCGATGCATGCTGTTTCTGACCTGATCACCGTTAGTTTGCGAACAGCCACAACTGCAATACTGCCACCACTGAACAACAGCGAATTTTATTATTCACGCTGGGCATAGATCCAACTGAAGCATTCTTTAGGCTGGTCCATGGCTGTACCTTTATGACGCCGGAGTCAGTGCACCGGTCAGGGTAAGCCGACATTTACCGGAGAGAATTTGTGTTTGATCTAGCGGTGTCTGTCGCAATGCAATATTCGAAACAAAGATAACCTGATCGTTCAGTTCAATGGCATCTGTAGCCCTAACCAACTGCCTTTTCTTGGGCTCCAGCAACATTAAGCGCGCATCGGCGCCCACAACTTTGTCGGATTTGACGGGGACGGCGATTACGGCCCGTAGATCTTCAAACTAAAAGCAGGGCGTCTGTTGGCCGCTGATAGGATGCCCCGAAGATCGTGGGCAGGATTCGCACTGCATGTCATATAGAAGCTACCACTAGAATGCTTCAGGACTCGACAACGCTGATCAATATTAATAGTCGTTCCAGCCTCTGACTCGACGTTTGAGGGCAAGTGGTAAGTGCACTCCTTATTTGTTTCGAACTCTGCATCTATGATTCCGCTAGTGGTTTCCACCGTGGTACGAACCGGAACTCGCGTGCGAAAATTCTAGGATCAGGCGGTGGTCCCATGATGCAACAAGTGTAACAGAAATCACAAGGCTTTTTGCTAGATACAGTGGGACACAATCTGTCGAATCGGAAAATCATAAATAAACGCAACCCAGGTAGTAGGGGCTGCAATAAAATCTTGGTACATGACCAATTTCCACGTTTCGTCATTTTTATGACTTATGTTTTCAGTTTCCCTGACGTTCTGCAGTTTCTGCAGATATTTGTGCTGAGACCACGCATGATTCTTGGCTGTGTATCACGAAAAATGCCCTAGGACACTCGTTGGGTATTCTCCTGAGAGTGGTGCTCGTTCGCGGTGGGACGCCGCGTGGTATGAATATAAATAAATGGTCACGCTCTATGATACCTTGCTTAATCATACAGCACGCTCATTCAACAAAATCACGTGATGTCATGTGACGTGTCGAAGGGGGAGCTTTGAAGTTTTCCTAATCTCACAGTCGGAAGTCAACTAGTCACGGTCTACAATGTATTTGCTCAACCTCAATGATCTGAGAACAGTTGTGCAGACATTTGTGAAATTCAAACATCTGGTACAGCTGCTCTCACCTACAAGTACTGCCACTCCTCAATCAGGGTGTAGTTGTCTTTCCCATTCCCTAATTCCGATTGATCTGGAGAGAATCATTGCAGCTGTTCAGTGTTGTGTAAAGGGAATTTACCTTGACAGTACTGGTGAATGCGGCAATGTCGTTTGACATGCGAGGATGTTGATGCACTGATGTTTGGAAGCACCAAAAGCATGTTCACATAAAGTTCAAAGGCCACAAACACTGGTATAGTGGATAGGGAAATCAGCGCTCAGCACCAGCAATCATGTGGAAGGACTAACCCTTGACCTATCGACATCTTCTGACCACGTTGTCCGGGTACCCGCGGTAGGCAAGTCATCTCGTGCCAGTATAATTCTGACACGCGGCCGACAACCTGCTGCCTGTCTGGGTGCCACCTACATTACACGACATCACAATCACAACAATAATCTGATCCTTCAATCCCCAACATCACTCACACTCACCTTGATCAACTGCGCCCGCTCCCTCAGGCTGGGCACCACGACCCTCCTCGCTCTTCGTATCTTAACCTCGGATTCCGTCCAATCAAGCTGCGCATACAACGCCCGAGACCAATTGTGGGACTCATACATGGATTACGTGCAGGCTCCCTACCGACAAAACACGTTATAGTTGTAGGCGCCGGCATGAAGACCAAAAACACGTTAAAGACACGACGACCGCACGAAAATGCACATGCCGACAGACCTGTTGACTCATGATAACCAAGATTTTTCAATGCTTCCAATGCGTGGCAGTTTTTCCGCTAGGACGACACGTTCCGCTGTGGATCCTCACCAAGTTTCAAACGCCCGGGATTAAAACCTCGGACTTGCAATTATACAAAGCGGGCTATTGCTTAAACGCCAACGCCACCCTGCACGTCTACACCCATACATACGCGCACAGACGGACAAGAAAGGAAATAAAAAGTTTCAGTGGCACAGTCACGATATGTGGCGAACATTTTGCTTCCTTGTCCACAGTTATTTGTGGAGCAGGCGTTTTTGCTTAAATCCTTGGTTCGTGAAGATGAGCGGATCATCGTCCCCTTTCCTCACAGGCATTCTAAAATTTGTTTGATCGCTCCGGAGCCGTTTCACGCCGCATACATACCAAGATGGAAATGGATACCGCACGTTACGACTCCATGGACGCACAACGTTTCCACCCATTACTGCGCACTAGCACAGTAAGTATTTCTTTTCCTTTCATTTCATTTCTTTGCATCTTCTAAACACCACGCTCACCTCCATTTCCATTCTCAGAGGCCTAACTCGCTCTCTAAAACCGGCACTGAAAAATCGACAATGGGGCAGGGCCTTTGCGTCAGAACTCGACCGTGTGCACTGTTCCCTGTACGTGCGAGCGTAGGTGGTGTTTGGCCGGACCATGAGGTTGTAGTTGTCCCTCTTGAGGGGGGAGATGCATATTCGGAGGCATCACGTTCATCCACACCAAGTTCTTCTGCTTCTACTACATACGCCACTGCATCTTCCGTCATGCCTGATGTGCCTCCATCGCATGCTCAACAAGTCGATGTTTACGAGAGAGATGACGTTGTAGTCACACGCACCATCATCCGTCCCAATCCCAATCCCAATCCCACTCCCACTCCCACTCCTTCTCGCAATCCAAGTCGTATGCCATCTAGAGTGCAGATGAGGATTCCACGGATATTCTCACGTTCGCCATCTCCCACCTCCTCTCCATCTTCTTCATTATCCGCATTACCACGGTCCAACCCACCTTCGCGCCCTACGAGCCCGGTGCTCCAAGTGCTCAACTGTTTCAGCACATCCTCGACTTTTGAGAGGGATGAGGATGATGTGCATATTGCTGAAAGTCCTAGGCCTATACTGCAGGTTATTGTTACGCAAACGAGGGAGAGGTACGAGAACGATAGGGCGTTCAAGGAGATTGTGGGGAGTGTTTATCCGAGACCCGCTGCTGTGGGGAGCGGTGCTTGATGCATCGATGCTTAATGCTTTCAAGTGGATTTTGATTCTTGTACCATTGATTTTCCCCTGCATATCTTATTGCATATCTTATTGCGATAATCAATATATATGGCTAACTTATATCGAACTAACGCTATTCTGCAGGCTTTCCTTCATGCCATCATTAATATCTATGTCAATCATATATTAGGGACTATTGGCTTGATTTTATTCAGCAGATGTTCTTTCACGCACTTTTAATATTTATATATATAGTAGCATTATGGTCCTTCATAGCTTCTCTGAGCGGGGTATATAATTCCGTACTGTATGCGAACGATCTGCTGAAGGGAATGCCACTCCAGCTGGAAAAGGACCCTTCCTCTCAAGTGGGTGGTGTAACATAAAGCTTAATGTGTGCTTCCACAAGCATCTCTAGAGCCCGCGCACTAACAGGAGATCTCTTTATCGTGGCTCTCTGAAATAGCAAAAAGTAATTATGTGACCACCAAGAAGAACACATTCACGTACAAGAGCAAAAGCTGTACCACGATACACGAATCCAAAGAGTTCCTTAAATTCTGGATGTGTCTTGGACACGCCGACTGCATCAAGGTGTCTTACGGCAAATTTCTTGATGATCTGTGGCATGTGACGTTTGAGTACAACACAATGATGCCAAGCAGGGTTGGACAGACAGATTTGTTCTCCTGCTCTATATCACAAATTCCTTCGTCCACCGCGCGTGCTTTACCTTTAGCATCGCTGACGGGTCCGAAAACGTCTCCCTCTGGTGCGTGGTTAGCTTTGTTTGCTGGGAGCGTGGGTACTTTAAATCCAGCGGTGCCTCTTTCCTTGTCCTTTCCTCGCCCTCGTGGTTTCGAATTCGGTAAATGCAGCATGACTTCTCTCGCCCGTCTCACTACCTCTGAGTCATCTCCTTTGATTTTGATCCTCGTGTTTGCTGCCAGTTCTCCGATAGATTGTGTGCGCGTGAGAAGATGCTGAGGCGGTTTTCGGGGTGTAGGATCATCTGGGCGGGGAGCACGAGTAGCAGGAATGATTCGTGCAGCGTGGATCGTAAGGGATGGAGTAGTCAGCGATGAATGGGTCTTTCCGAATATCAGTATTTCTGTCGTTGCTGGACCATCTACAAATACATGGCAATCAGTCCAGATCAAATAAAAAAATCAAGAAGTAAATGTACCAGTATCTCCCAAGGCTACACGCACGCCTATTTCTGTCCGCCCATCAGGAGACAGATGCGATAAGCAGAGCATGTTTTCGAAGTAGACGCGAGAGAGGGTGGCGGATGGATGGATGTCCCTGTTGGATGTGAATGGGGTGTTGTGGGTGTTCAATGTATTCACATACATACAGACATCATCTGAAGGGTCTATGCATATATTCTTGAGCAATTCTGTACCTTTTAGTCTGAGAGAGGGACGACCGCGCATGCTCTCGAGTGCTAGTGCGAGTGGGTTGTGGAGGAGGTCTTTGTTAGCCAGAAGGTTTGCCGAGAATGTGAGTCCATCTAAGAGGATATAAGAGTCCGGCAGGGAGAGCGAGCCACGATACAAGAGACGAGAGCTCGATGCTTCTGACATTAATCAAGACAGTCGACCGCGTTGTTGATGTTTGTTTACGCGTTCAAGTCCTTTGTTATGATGACTCATGAACTTGAACTTTGGGTTTGAACTTTGCAGGAACCTTGTCAATATCATGCAGACTAGGCCAGGTATCATGCCCTCTGGTATAGCTTTCCATAATACGAACATAGACCCTTTGTCCCGATCGCCGCCGCAGCGACCTATATTTCTTTCTGACACCGAACAACTGCGGTCATCTGGCAAGACGGCCGCGGCTCCGAATGGTCACCTGGAGTAAGAATGTTTGTCCCAACAGAATGGGTGAGACGTTCGCCCAGAAAACTGTCCTGATGTGTCTCAAAATCACTCATGATTTTAGGTACTTGTCATGTTTGGCAGTCGAGCCTCAGATGCTCATTTCAACAGACTTGTCATGCAGGTTGAAGGCTTTGAACCGTTGCAGCATTAAATCCTCGCTGACTCCAAGCTCAGCGAGTATTGTGGTTCAGTCAATTCCATATCAGTCGTGTGTAGCAAAGCAAAGTTCAAGGATTCTTAAATTCATGGAAATGATAAGCTCCAGCTTCAAGTAGGGGACGTGAGTGAGGCTAATATTGTATGCAGAAGTATCAGCGTGGGGGCTTGAATTGTACCTTTACTTCCGAAGAGTCAATGCCCATTCCATCATGAGCCCCGTGCCCTCGTCATAATACATGACGTCAACCTCATCCACAGTTGGAGTTTACGGGCTTCCACCCCTTCTCGGCTTTCTGGGATATTTGCGAGGTGTAGCATATCTTAAATATCCTCTTATGATATGGAGAGGAGGTACATCGATAGTCGTACATGTACCAGCGGTTCAAACAAGTCTCGACTAAGAATCTACAGCAACTTGCAGGTCGTTGAAAGAAAGAATCAAGATTGTCACGACAAGTATCAGCCCCATCAACTACTTCCAGGGTGTGCTTATATGTTTATGTTTATGTCTACAGGTTACATATGTATATCCGCTGGCCCAGGCACGGGGCTTCTGCTGGATGATGGGTACGTTCTCGTCGCGGAGTTCCGTCACCCAGTTGCTTCATCCAGCTTCATCCTTCAGCACAACTATTTAGCCAAACCAATCACCAGAGCTGCTGATCAGGTGCATCGCTTGGATTGGGTCTAGAAGTTGATGTTGGTGGAGCAGCCTGATTTGCTGTTTTGATCAATCGATGGTGCAGTCAACGTTAATGTGGGACGTTGATAGACGATTACAACGCATTCAGCTGTAATCAGATCGGTACCATTCTTCCTGCGTGGCGATAAGAGATGTAAGCACACATGTTGCGTTATCTCCCCTCCCCTCAAAGATGCCCACTCTCAGCGATCCAAAAACGGTTGACACCGTCGTCATGATCGATGATGTGCCCGCTGGTGTCTACTGTCATGCTCGTGATGACCTCGAGAAAAGATTACTGAGGAAGCTTGATTTGCGTATGTCCATAATACTGATTTTATACACCTTGAACTTCGTGAGTCTGAGGTCTTTGCAAACTATATTTTGATACTCACTGTGCACCCTAGATTGACAGGACCAATATTAGGTGCGTGACATACCGTTGTACTTGCATGAATCTTAAGACATCTACAGCAACGCTCGGTTGCAAGGTTTTGAGAAAGACCTGCACCTCCATGGGGAACAATACGCCACAAGTTTGTCCATCCTATTTGTTGGATACATCACAATGCAAGTGCCAGGGTGAGTTTCGTCCTTCATCCAGAGACAACTGAATGTAATTTTTCTTCAGGAACATGTTCCTACACTGGCTGGAGAAACCTTCTGTCATGCTTCCGTGCTGTATGTTAGTATGGGGTACAATATCAGTATTGTCAGGTTTGTCGACACTGACCGTTCATGAAGATGACTGATTGCTAATCCTACTCAGGGATCACAACGAAGTACACTTCCTTGTTTTCCATCGTTCAGATCCTGTTTCTGATAGTTTGACTCGAGTTATACCGGGATTGTTGTCGCCCGCTTCTTTCTTGGCCTTGCCGAAGCTCCCTTCTTCCCCGGTGTCATATTTCTTGTATCTAAATGGTACAAGCGAGACGAGGTCGCCTTGAGAATAGCTCTAGTCTCTTGTGGAGTTTTTCTCAGCTCTGCATTCGGATCGCTGCTTGCATCTGGTATACTTCACGGCATGCAGGACAAACTTGGTCAAGCTGCATGGAGGCAGGTGGCGATCGTTTCTATCGCTCCTTGGAGCTGAATGATCTGTAGATGGTTATTTTACATTGAAGGTGGCATCACCATCTCGGTCGCGATTTGTGCGATGTTCATACTCCCTGATTTCCCGTACAACACCAGGTGGTTCACCCCGGAGGAAAAAGAACTTGCTATCTCTCGCCTTGCAGAAGATGGCCATGATAATGCTGACGAAGTTGGGAAGCAGACGACCATGCAAGGACTGCGGGATGCCGTGTCTGACTGGAAGGTGTGGTTGTTTTCAGTTGCAGCTATGTTCCAGATAGTGGGGCAGTCTTTCGTCGCTTACTTCCCAACGCTGTGCGCGACACTGGGATATGACACGACTGTAACGCTGTTGCTTTGCGCTCCTCCGTGGGTGTTCGGGGGTATGATCGCATTTCCTCTTGCATGGTTAGTCGATCATTTCTATCAGAAAGTCGCATCTCACGGGGCCCAGGTACTCTGACAAAAACCAGAAGCGTTACAAATGCTTCGTGGTCTCCAATACATTCTGCGTCCTTGCATTCATCATATCGATATTTACGATGGACAAGGCTGCGCGCTATATTTCATTGTAAGTAGTATCGCCATTCGTGGGGCGTCAAGGCTCTTGTACTCAGAAATATACAGGTTCCTGATGACTCCAGTCGTCGGTGGATACTTGGTGCTCATTGGTTGGATCAGCAACACTTTTGCCAGAGAACCTGCGAAACGCGCTGTTGCTATTGCTCTGATGAACACACTGGGGCAGACAGGCAATGTTATTGGATCGTCAGTGACATTGTCATCGATCTCTCACTCTCGCTCTCGCTAATTATTCACGACTGCACTCTCTACATAGGTACGTATGGTCGTCGAACTGGGGCCCGACATATCGTTATTCCTATGCCATCTGCATCGCTGCACTTGGAGTGTCGACAGGCATGTTTGGTGGTATGTATTTGTATTTGAAGCATTTGAATGAGCAGATTGAGAGGAACGAACGGGACGTAAAGGATATCAATGAGCTTCGGCACCCGATCGGTTTTAGATATTTGCTGTAGTTGAAGGTTGAAATATTGATTGCTGAGACTTTGACAGTAACATCGGATGATTGATTACCCGTTCAGAGGAGAGTCAGAGACCTCCGAGTCTTGTTCTTCGCATTAACACTGATAAGACAACATGGTGACAATGGATAGGATGGCAACCCCCTCAAAGGGCGGCAAGGCAAGTGTCTATCTGGTGTCGGACATCATTCGTGCTATCGTAAGTGCCGAGTTTCATAGCCGTTCGCATCTGCAAATAATAATGTTCATTCGCTTCAGCTCGCACGTTCAACTCAAGTCCCCGTATGTTTCTTCCGACATCATTGGGATTGCAAACAGTCATAGATATTACCAACAATCTTCATTAGCAACTTGCTTAAAAGAATAACAAGATTACCCATACCCAGTCCATACATTCATACAAGGGACTCGTATCAGCTCTCTGGCGCGTGCTCGGGGCTGTTAATGCAATAAGATGGCCCCACGAGGAGTTTAAGGCATTTCTGACAGGCTCAAAGTGTCCCCTGGAGACCCTGATTATAATGAGTTATCAATCGCACAGTATAGGCGCTATTTGCAAACAATTTATGATTGAGCCCGTACAGCTTGTACCCCATCAACACTGCAGCATCGACATACGTCCTGGACCGAACAGTGCAGTCACGCTCGAGGGAGACGATGCGCTAGTGGTGTTGGTGAGGACAAATGATGCAAGAATATATTGGTTTGCCCCAGAACCTGTTTCTCTCAAATTCACTTCCATGCGACCAACAAGTTGAATATTTAAGTATCAAAACGACACTCTGAATAAACACAAACGAATTCATATCGAGAATCTTCTTCCGCTTCACATAGTACTGCTAGTCGACACAGACGCGCTCCTGGAAATCGATTGCAGTCATAACGGTTGCTGCATCGGAGTGGGCCACAAGCTCAGCATGATATTCTCGAATGCTTAGGATGAGGCGTGGTCCCAGTATAAACATCTGCGTGAGCATAAATATTTCAGAGAAACCACTATAAGTTTGAGTCTCCGTGGAATATGAGGACTATGAAAATGATAAATCAGGGTTGCATGCAGAGGTCAGAATAGATCGGCGTACCGCCGCCGCTGAGATCTTCGGAGAAAGATAACCGATGGACTCTATGCAAGCAAGAACGACAAAGCTAGCACATGCAGGACTTGAATTAGCACCAAAAGAATATATTCAGATTATGAGCTCACTTCGCAAAGTAAACAACGTGAGTTTTCATTAAAACCGTGAAACAGTCCGTGATGAATCCTCCTGATGATCGTTGTCGCAGTTCACGCAAGTGTTTTACAGCTGCCCAGACTGCGAGAAACAGTGTGAGGACCTCCCATGCCGTGAGGAGCATCCAAGCGGTGTAATCCAGAACTTGTGACTTTTCCTCCCCAAAAGCAACAGCGCACTCATAGTTGCCGTAAAGAACATGTTCCTCTGATATTTGTCAATGAGCCTGAATCTTTTCTCCACAATTCATGCTTACCCACTACAAAATGGCTCACCATCATTGCAATCATTACTCCGATGGCGATTCTGATAGCCAGGAAGACAACGACGAGGAATATCAGCACACGTCTGGATTTCTGATACATGACATATAACCGAACGATCATGATGACTTGGCTAATGTTTTAGTCAAGTCCATATCACGAAAATCCACAGCTCACCACCCAATATTATATTTGCGACACCGTTGATATATTCTATTGCATCGATCAACACACGGCCTGACAAATCAAGCAATATGAATTATTAGTCTCGGATGAGCATACATTTGAAAGAAACTCACAGCTATGGAAGTCATTATCTTGAACCAACGAGTTTTTCGAGAATATCACTCACCCCTGCATGGCAATGTGTTGGTTGAACGGGAATGACAAGGGTTTACGAAGAATACTCACCATATCTGTTACCGAAATCGTTGGAACATAAACTGTATATCCTTGGTCAGAATAGGCACGATAAATGTGAGGAGACACACCTAGAATGCAGATGCTGATTGTAAACAATAGCTAATTAGCGCAACGCCGATTGCATAGCCTCCGAAACGTACACGGCATATATCATTCCGATGTAGCGCACCTAGGGTATTTCGAAGTTAGCACCATGACTTGCCAACCACATTTATGTCACGAGGTACATACACCGAGATACATAACGGTCATCAGGGACCAGTGTTGGTTCTGCCACACAATAGTTGGACTATTACGTCGTTCTTCTGATACAAGAGACTCACCCAGATCAGCTCAACCTGTAAAATCATCATTAGCGGGATGGTTGCTCCAATAATGGCATCAACCCGACCGACCTCTTGTCCGAATTTGAGTGCTTAAAATATCTAGGTATATCAGTGGTTTTTTGATACTCGATCCTGCTCACCCCAGTCGTACATTACACAGACAGAGGAGGCAACTGCGAAACCGTGAGCAAGGTTAGATCGAGGTGTCATTTTCACAATCCGACTAGCTGTCCACGAACCTACAAAATAGCTGCACATGTCATGTGGATCAAGGAGTGGCCCGGACCAACTGGGATCATCTGAGACTAGCGAGGTCATATTAATGGAGGATGGAAGTGAGCGAGCAGGAGAAACTTGGGGAGGACGTATGAGGATGGCCTCTATGTTAGATATACCACCATCAGGTGCTTGGGATGATGCCTCTTCCTGCCTTGGTTGGCATATGAAGTGAAGCAGGCAAGGATTCTATCAATGAAATACTGTAGATCACATGCAGTCCTAACTTGGCGCAATACAATCATCGAAAAAGCTCGAGGCCTCGGATTTCAATGATAACATCGAATCCAGCAATCCCTTCGCCTTACTGGTCCGATTTACGAAGCACGATAAGTCTGTTACCAAACGACTTGGTTACATTCTATTAGCCTGAAGGTCAGAGATAGACAGTGATATCATTAGTAGATGTCACTAACAGACAACTCACCAGTACACCTTTATCATCAGTGCCAGCACACATACCTCAACGCGTAATCCAATAAACCGCGTTCCTCTCCCAAAGTCGATCGGATCCCCGGTCCTGGGATTGATCATCGGTCGCTCCATGCACATTGTAACGCTCATGTTTTCGATGTCTTCATCGGGCTACAATGTCACACAAAGACTCCCATGCGTAGGTAGCTTTGTTGCAGATAAAATTTCAGTGCACAACGTACTAGATAGATGCAATTGCTCCGACAATTCAAATACTGTCCGTATTGGTGTGGGTAGCTTGTATAGTTTGCGGTATGCCACCTCAATGCCTAGTAACTGAGAGTTAGCTTCCCGTACTATATGCCTGCGAACCAAATAGAGGGAGGGACGGTTGTTCCTTGTTGTTACGTCAAATACAAGCGAGTATCCGCACCATTTCCTTTAATTCGTGTACATGCTGATGAGTACAGATGGGACAAGAAGTACCTAGTACATGCGTTGTTCCCGATTCCCAGTCATTGAAACACGGCATGTATAGTGACGAGGGCAGCCGTACAAAGATAGGGAACGGGGGAGATGTATGAAGCCAAGGGATCGGTTGTGCGAAGAAAGAACGATGAAGAAGGAATGGTAGGAACATGGAACGAAAGCGACGATGAAGGTGTGGTGATGATACACGCTTTAATGAATATGGGATGACTCCAGTTTAGTGGTTCACAAGTAATGACGAGATTGAATGTACCAGTGAATAAATGCCTGTAAATGAACTTGGGGGAGTGAGTGCCGGTTGAGTATTCGGGCCCATTTCTTTGAAAGCTGAGAAACTTCGCCCATCTATTGAAAGGACCATCCCAAACTCAAGAGACACAGACCAATATTAATCAGATCAAGGAGCCAAGAAATAGGTATCAGATAGTGCTTGCAATTTGTGTATGTCTAGCATCATATCGAGTCTGCAGTGGAGGAGTCACTGGGGGAACGTTGGTGGCCGCGCAAGCTTTAGGCTGAGTCTGATCAGTCACGTGATTCAAAATATTTTGCGTCCGACTACATCCGTCCTTACTACCACTACTACCAGTACTCCCCTAGTAATCTCCCAAACCCAGACCACATAGAACGAAGACAGTCATTCCTCTTGAGTATACCTGCGATAGTAGTATCATCGCGTCAACAGGCAAAATGCAGGCAACCGAGGGGCTGTCAGCCAACTTGAAGGCAAATTTTTCTGTGTCAGACCTGCAAGACATCGTATCATTATTATATGCAGATGACGAGCGGCTATGTTCATTCGCTTCAGCTCGCGGGTTCAACTTAAGTCACCATATGTTTTTTTCTTCGCAGTCTCAAGCTACTGGAGCTGTGATTCGACATCAGGCAGCTGTCTTCATTAAATACCATATGGTTCCACCCGACAAACGTCCACATCGCAGATGGCAATATCCACTCAGACTCATTTGCTTGCTTGTTCGATGAGCTATCATATATCACTCCCCAATTTGCGCATGCTCAAGGGTAGTGAAATATTTCTGTATGAGGGGTTCAAGAGATTTTTGGCGCGTTCGAATTGTCCCCTGGAGAATCTGATTAGTGTTGGAGTGTGTGGACAACAGACGAGGAGCGAGTAAAATACCATAACTGCGCTCATTCCTTCCATGGAAGTAGTAGTGGATCACAAGCGTCCAACTTACCGTGACTCAATACTCGCAAGCACACCCAATGACGGAGATGACGATGGTGGACTATAGATCTCATCAATAACCTAGTCAGAAGGGTTCTGCCACAGTGCTGAGGATACAATATACTCCAGCTCAATATTCAATATCTAATGCTCGGAGGACCCGCAATTAATTTTATCACAGAGACATGACAGCTCCGATACTTTACAATGTAGTATGTCCAAGCATAAATTTGCGCCAACACAGGCCATCCACCGTGCACGGCTATAAATGGGCAATACACACATTCCTCGGAGGTAGTAGCGGTGGGATGCGCATCAACAGTGACGGCGAGATATGCTAGGGTCGTTGCAGGTGGTATATATAGTATAGTGACAGCGCATCGATATTGCGACGGGGGTGCATCGAACAGTGGCCCTGAGGGTGCGTGCAAGGCAATGATCAACAAGGCTAGGATACATCGTAATAATTAATGGACATCGGGAATACATAATATGATACCTTAATGATGCACTAAAGACGCATTAATTTGAAGGATGCATTGCAGATGGCCCATCACCGTGACCTAAAATCACTGTAATGTTTCATAATGCACCATATATTAGCAGGTATTATGAACATCGTATGACAGTGTCATACCTCCCGGTTCAACCATCTTGAGGCATCGTTCATTAGTTTCTTTGTCGCCGGGCGACGTCTTTTCAGATTGGAATCATGTTCACATAGCTAACACTTACCCTTGCATATTGCCACCCTTTGGTAAAATGTATCGGCATGAGTCCCTTAACATGGTATACGTTCGTAATAGTGTCTGGACGAGCATCGAAGGTTCCGCCCGATTTCTGTCAAACCGTTGCGACTCGGACGATATCACAGGCGAGGACTCGGAGGATATGTCAAACGGCAAATTTATGGTTCGTCCACCAGGCATAATAATTACGGTAACAAGTTGAACTGGATTCATAATCATAACCGATGACATACTCCAAATAAGCCGTATGAGTTCTCCGAGTCGGGGGAACCACGTCGCGTTGAACAAGGAAGCTATGCACGTCACGGTGGAAGCTTGCTAACTGAATGACATGCGCCATAAACTTGCTGTGCGCGACTCGGAGTTCCCGTTGTAGATGCCTAGCATGAAGAATGTTTTTTCTTCTGATCATGCGTGTGATGGGCTAAGGAAAGTCGATCGGTTGGTCGCGGGTAGTGACTAGGCAGTTTACCTCAGTGTGTCACAAGAGACTTTCGTTCTGTCGGTGTGTCTCGTGCCAAGTTACCGCGGAGTTTTAATTTGCAATTTCGCGGGCTTTTGTTATATCGCTGAGCTACCGCCACAAACTAGACACGATATATTGCCACAAAATATGGAGACACAAGAATACTGCATACTACATAGTCATCAAAAATTCAATCCGCGTTGCATCATCTAAGCTCGGCAGTATATACTTATCAACATCTGGCCTCTACAGCGCCGAGTATCAAGAACCGCAGACATTTAGGGCTCAGTCCTCGGCCTGTAACATTTCAATGGTCTTCTGAGCGGCTGCCTCTTTCGCAACCCTCTTGGCTGTCGCCGACGCTTCACCGTATTTCATGTCGTTGACTAGATGAACGCGATAAGCAAAATGTACGTCGGAGCATTTATGAAGAACAAACTACGCACTGAAATAAGTGACAGTCCATACAGTATTATTCTGCGGGCCGCTAGGCGTTTCCTCGTACTTGATGCGAGAAGTGGAGGATATGCCATACTTGGCCTGCATTATGTTGTTGAGATTCATGACAGAATCTGTTCATCATGAATGGTCAGCAAAATTTAGGCAGTAGCATGGCTGCCTCGGACGAGAGTGACGCACGGGAACTCATGATGAATGACTTGAGATCTGGACTTGTAAGAGTCTCTGTTGTTGAAGTGAAACTGGGTTCCGCTGGTCAAAAACATGAGGTAGGATGGCTGGTATAAATCCCCTAATGAGCTTGTAGGCATCAGTTAGCAGTGCCTGCCAGAACAAGAGTTTCTAATCAAAGGGGGATAAGCCACTAGACGCTGCACCAAATTTAACAAGCAACAAATGTACAAAAAAGCTTTAGCGTATCAATCACTCACTGGTTTTTGCTAGCGCAACTTGCAGAAGTTCGATGCACCACGCGCGATGGAACCAAAGTTGATCATCAAGCTTGCTCCATGTGACCCTCATGAGCCACTCCTATTGGACTAGATGACCGGCTGAGATCCTTGAACCATGGCTTCGGAAGGTTTGACTTTGATACTGCGTTCACTCTCGGATGCGTCCACTCCCGGATGTGTCTACTCCCCGAGAGAACATAGAATATTTTGATGAGAGAACGGACACGGTGACACAAAGAAGTTCCGATAACGATGCCAAAGCAGGTTGTGAACTCATGGATGCTATATTATTGCTAGTGGAACAAAGACAAGATTTTTGGTTGCTGTGCAAACGCTCCGTTCTTGACCCCTAGTTCTGACGGATAGTAAGAATACTGGAATGTTCTGTGATCTTAACGCGGGGTTGACAGCGGCGTATGTGAGGAATGGCGGCAGGTAATAGAAAAGGGCAACGTTCAGTGCAAGGATGATTTTTTTTGAGACCGAACCGGCAATGGTTTGGATGAGCGCGCGTTGATCGTTCTGTGTGCACATAGGTAGTAAGCGCGCGTCTATGTGCTGGCTCGTTTTCAGAACAAAGCCTTTGGTCCTCCGGTTTTGCGGGAAGTAAGGTGGGCGTAGAATGCCGTATAGCAGTGGTAGAAGAGTCAGATCCGAGTAACCACACATATGGCACGCGGCGTGAAGACTTGATACTAAAGACGCATTGAAGTTGTATTCTTTGCAGGTGGAAGTTCGAATTACGAACAAACAAGTACATGACCTGGCCACGTGACGAATAGAACGGTAAAAGTTAGGGGGCTGATAGGCGAGGACACGTACGGATGATCCCCTGCATTCGAATTTCTTGTCGAAGATAGAATCCGAACGCGCGCAACGGTCACAGCAAATACTCGTGCGACATCAATATGGTACCAGGGAGCGGAGAACAGATGCTTCCGAGAATTTGCTTTCAATGAAGCTGATCATGAGACGCTCTGCACCGAGAGGAGGCGCTAGAAATATAGAAGATCAATCAAAAGTCAATCCGTTCTACCGGAGTCCGCCGAGCTGACATGGAAAGATTAATGGTCGACACTTTTGAAATTGCGGTGAGTAACTATGATGTAGAAGAATATCATAAACACCATGCTATGCATGAGGAACGACAGGAGTATTCTTACTGGGCCACGGTAATATTGACGTACAGCAACTTGAATAACGCCCGCAGTAGGCCGGGGGACACGTACTATCGTCTATGTAGACGACATACTTCGAGTTGCTACTGCTAGTTTATAAGATGATCGCAGGAATCAAAGAATATGCACACGCACGACATAGAGTAACACCTAGTCAAGTATTAAAGATCCTAACCGTGACTCAGGCCTGCAGGCCTGAAGATTTGCCGGGCCAAGTTAAATTAACGGTTGCTTGCGACTGTTAGGATCCAAACCTTTTGGTAAATAAACGTACACAGGCTCTGGTCATGAAATGGATCACCGGTCACGCGCACGTTCTGTCGTTTACAGGCCTGAACGTGACTGTACACACGAGAATATACATACTAGGCGCCGTCACCGGCGTTAACCTTGCTTGCACCAACACCGACGGCTTCTTCATAGAAAGAACGACTCGGGAATAACAATCTCCTACACAAGTCATCATTAGCACACGGGGAGCATACATGCACCCCATGGTCCGATGGGCTGAGGCGTTGGTCGACCTACTAGATCCTCATCGTGGCGTTGTCAGGCCATCTACCTTGACCTTGCTGAAATGTAATTTTTTTCAAATGGAACCATAATTAGTGAATGAAGCGGTCCTAGGCCTGTACGAACCGAAACTTTAAAAATTAAAACAAAGAGGTGATCTGATTTGTGAGCGACAGGCTACAGCATGGACGATTCATCCGCAGGCAAGATGATCGGTCGAAGGCTATTTCTGCTCTGACTTCTAAGGTTTGCATTAACTAATTGGTCGATGCTTACTGCTGCGTCTGAACTTTGACATTCCAAAAATAACCTCACTGTCCTCGTACTCGGATACCACGTACTATCGTGACATTGGTCTTCATGAATGAAGACGAGCGTCAACTTTACAATAATATGGCAGTCCATACATTTTACTTCCCCGGGCCCGAGCAGGCAAACGATGAACAAAATCAATACTAGTAAATTATAGTGGTAGCCGCTGGGCACGCATATCCTCGCGACCCTTCGTACGCTTACGCGAGAACGATCTCAATGCTTCTACTTGCGTTTCTTGGCAGGGCCTGCGTCCTTCTTCTCGCCTCCTGCAGGCGCAACGGGCGTGCTGTCAGTCTTTTGTTTGTCATCGGGGGTAGAAGTGTCCGTTTTCTTTGCCTGGTGATGATATAGTTCAGTAAGGGAAACCAGGGAAGATGTAGTGCAAACCTTGGCAACAGGTTTTGTTTGCTGCGAGCCAATCACGCCGAATAGAGCAGCAAGCATCCCGAAAAGAGTGAAGACAACACCAGCGAGACCAACACCTGTTTCCGGGTGGGCTTTGATGGCTGATAAGGGGTCCTCCCGAGCAGCGTCAAGGAACTGAGCAATTTTACCACGGATATGGGAGATAGGATCCTCCAAGAAGGGAGGGATGTAGTAGTCGCCTTCATCATCGACGTCCTTCTGAGCAGAGAGAGCTGCCTCAAGGTGCTTCTTGACCTCGTAGGTCTCGGCGGCCAGAGACTTCGCGTCGTCAATGGAGTGACCGACGTAGATGTTGTTGAACAGGATGTCCTCAGTCATGGTCCAAAGTTCGATACCAACACCCCCCTGAGTGCATCAGTCAAGGTTAATACAAAAGTGATGAAGCAGAAACACGAACGATATTGTTTAGGTGCTTGACTGGCTCTAGATCCTCAAAGAAGTCAGGGTTGGGGATCTTGCGCGGGGCCCACTCGCCGATGTAGGCAGGGTTATCGATCATAGGCGCGTACCACTTGCCCTTGTATGCAGGGTTGGCCTTGTAGGGGCGTTTCCATTCACCGCATCCAGGAGCCTCATCACAAGCCGGGTTGGGGACTGTGGGCGCGATCCAGTCACCATCTTCCTCGTCGTCCCACTCTTCAGGCTTGTCGGCATCCGGATCAGGAATGTTCGCGGGTGCGTCGTCCAACCAACCCTCGGGCTTCACAGCATCCTCATCCAAAATCTCGTAAGGCTCAGTCTCATCCCAGTCCGCGGGCTGTGCATTAAAATGAGCGCCTTAGCTCAACCTTGCAAGGGGTAAGCGCACCTTTACAGCGTCGGGGTCACTAATCCTCTTCTCGTTAACCCAGTCTTCAGGCTTCTTATCTTCGGGGTCGTCAATCTCCTTCGCAGGGTTGACAGGGGGAGTGAATTCCTCAAGAAGGCTGCCCGAGCTCTGACTTTCTCCGTTGAAGAGTACGTCATACGTGTTATCAGGGCTAAGTCCGCGTATCAGTTTGGGTCAGATGATGATTGTAAATGAAGCTTACTTGACAATGAGGGTGTAAAGGTTAGTGTTCTTGCCAAAGGTGGGTTTCGGAGGCGAAGAAAGGTGCTTCTCCTCGAATTCACCAGTGACCGGGTTCTGATGGCGGAAGATGAAGTGCAGCTACATCACAGAAAACATTGTCAGAACGAAATGACAAGTGAACAAAGAATGTTTTACCTTGGTGCCAGGGCAAGTGTTGTCAGGTCCGAACATCACAACCCAAGGGGTGGTATCTGAGAATTCCTTCCCGCTGGTCTGGAAGCCATCCTCAAGAAGTTTAATGTAACCACCACCACAGTTCCCGCCCTTCTGGTACTTGACCTCGTACTGAACGACGAGGGGCTTGTCTTTGAAGTCGACAGGGGTGGCAAAAGGTGCAGAGATAGCGTGGTGAGCAGCCTTGGACTTGGCGACGAGGCCCTTCTCGCCCTCAATGAGGGGTGTCTCGGGTTCCTCGACCTCCCATTTACCGACGTAGGAGAATATCTCACCGCCGACTGGTGTCTTCTTGGTTGCCTCCGAAGGTGTCCAGCGTTCAGAATAGTCGTCAGTGAATTGCTCAATGAAAGGAGCTTGAATCTCTGTTGCCTACAAAGAAAGAGTCAGTCGACATAAGTTCAGACTGGCGGGTTACACGTATGGCGTCATAAACACGCGTCCATGAACGAACCTTGAATACAGGTTTGGAGTCCTCTGACGCTGACGCGCTTGCAGCAGCGACAACGAGGATAACGGAAAGCGCTACGCTTCGCATTTTAAGAATACGAAGGACCAGAGACAGTAGAAAATCGAAAACGAGCGATGACGGTATGAAATGTGGCCAACTACAAAACACCAGCACGCTCTTATCCTTCCCGGCTAACTCCTGCCACGTATGCTCTCCCACGCCCGATATTCCTTGACCTTCCAATTACTCGCGCTCAACTCGCGTCAGCTGTAATTCATTTTCACCCGAATGCGCACAACAAGATCGATCATATACTACGTTACATACGCAATACAGGTACACTACCCAAGTAGATCAGCATGCCCAGACGCAGATAGCGCCAACTATTTACATCCATCAGCAAACATAAATTTCGATGTCAAGTCACACTCACCACAAACTCATCATCCAAGTACTTGGACACAGCAATCTGATCACCCAGACCCTTGCGCCGCCGCGTCTTCAATACGAGATCCCGAGCTAATGCTTGTCCTGATGCAGGCTCTAATGGCCGAAGTTTGATGCTCGTGTCAGTAGGATCACCTGCACGCGATTAATATAGCTGTTTTGATAGGGGACTGCATGCATTTACCAGGAACTATCGACCAGTGATCGAACACCTGCAAGCAGAACGCCTGACCTTGCGTGGCAGTTCGAAGGTCGGCCTCGAACCCATTCGCGTCTATCACAGGAATCAAGGCTTTAACCGTATATAACGGCGAGCCGGCCTTGGGGATGTCTTGCGTAACATGCCCCCGGCGTCGGGCTAGAACAGTGTATACAGCTGATATACAGTCAGCTGGTGCCTGCACTTCAACGTAGTAAATCGGCTCCATGAGGCGTGGCGTGGCCTATTAACCCATTAACAACCACAGCGATGCAAATGATAGGAGCCTCACCATCAAAAACGATGAGTAGCACACACGACGCGCAGTAGGGACAATCTGTCCACCACCACGGAAGATTGGCTCTTGAGCTAGGCTTGCATCCAGTATCCGGAACTTCACATTACGCATAGCTGTTACGATGAGTTTTGTGAGAGTATGATAAAGTCATGCCACAACCGATACGTACGTTCATCGCACAAAGGACCCTCGCGAGCTCCCCACTGGAAGCCTTGCTTGATATGTTCCTTCACAGTTCCAAGCAATTTTTTATCAACCTGCATTCCAACAATGAGAAAAATGAAGTAGTGGGAGGCTAGTAGACCTGACCTGAGAGGGTAAGGTATCATCGAGCAAAATGTTCGGCCCGCTATCGTCGGGACCGAACGCCCATATTGACCTTGATGCCAACAAATCCCACTGGTATTTATCCTGAAAGAATGTACCGCGTTCCTTCGGGGTCATCCGCATGGTGACCCTCCCCCGTTCAATATCTTCGGCAATACCTCTTTCCAAAGGCTCCGCGATCATGGTAAGTTTGTTCCTGTAGTCCATCAGAGAGGAAATAAAGTTATCTATACTGATACCTACTTCTTATTTGGCGTGTCCGCATAGCATTTTAGTGCACTCGTCTCCAATACAGTTTCACAGAATTTGGTGACTGGATCCGACACCTTGATCTCGATCTCAGCAAATAGCCTCCGAAGGTCATGCATGACACAGTCCAGATACAATTCGCCTGTACCGATGAGCACATGTTCACCACTTTCCTCAACTTTCGTGGCAGCGAGAGGGTAGCTCTTGTTGATGCTTCGTAGGCCAGACAACATCTTGGGTAGCTCAGACGGCGCTATTGGTTCAATGGCAATTTTAAGCACTGACTCTGTCATGTGCTTAATAGGCCGGAAAATGTAGAGATCGTCGTCGATGGATGGGTCAGCGAGAGTGGCGGTCTTGGAAATGGACGCGTCGACTCCTGCAATAAGGACGAGGTTGCCTGCGGGAACCTCGTCGGCCGGGATGAAGTATCTAGAGGAAAAGGCTTACTCAATTAGAGTGATCAAATGCAAGGAGCTTACCGAGCTTCGCTTATCCATATGTCTTCCACGGTAGCCCTCGCCATGTCTTCCTCGTCTTCTGGTGAGTATCCCTCACCAAGTACTTTGATCGGTGTGCCCTTCCTAAGGGTGCCACTCATGACGCGACCGAAGGCCCTAAATGACTGGGCATCTGTTGTATGATACAACTTCGAGATTTGGACCATTACGGGCGCTTCAGTATCGCAAGCTTTCATTGCCACAGCGATATCAGACATTTGTGAGCCAGTGTATGTCCGCTCGACCTATACCAGACTCAATTCAACTAATCAAAAGTATTGGAAAACCCATACCTTGCTGGCTGCTCCTTGCAAAGGTGACGGAATATGCTCCACAATCATGTCAACTAGTCCAGTGGCAGGTCCAAAGAACTGGTCCAAAATAGCCTTCAGCAGAGGCCTCACATCCATCTTGTACATCACTGGCTTTAGAGATATGTTCAACGATGCAAGGGTACTTTTCAGGTCTTCCGTGTCCTCGCTCAGCACGTGACTGTAGAGCTTATACAGGGGATCAAGGATGAAGTGCACGAATGTGCGGGATTGCTCGGGGTCCGCAGCTTTCCTGGTGAACTTCCGTGTCTCTGCATTAAAGTATATATCGCCCCAAAGGCGGTCGGCGAATGCTGTAACGTCAAGGGAACCAAAAGTGTCCGCATACATTTGGGCGAAGGAACGAAGAGTGAAGCACCAACTCATATCGGTGCTGGCGAACACGACATTTCCATTTTCAGGACTGAGTCGTAGTTCCGGGTCTGGATCAATACCACTGTGAAGACTTCTGAGTCAACGAGAATTAACAAATATATGGTAGGTATAGACCTGATAAAGGTATTGATTTCTTCAATTGTATGCTTGATTTTGTAATAGGCGTCTGCAGGCTTGATACGTAATTCGAGGATAAGCCTGTCGATTTTGTTCACAACAAGGGTGATTTTGATGCCCTCTTGCAGAGCATGTCGAAGGATTGCTTCGGTATTGACCATCATCTGTTTCAACGGTTCAATTTGTTGATGCGTTGTTTTGCATAGCGCGAATAGAGTTACTGACACCTTCAACAACATCTACAACCAGTAGTATTCCATCAACAAGACGCATTGCAGAAGCAACTTCGTCAACAAAATTCACGTGTCCTGGAGTATCAACGAGGTGCACCAGATGTGACTTGCCACTTGTCGTGGATAGGACGAGAGACATCGGCGAAGACTTGATAGAAATTTCTCGTTCTCGCGACAAAACATGAATATCCGTATATCTTGTCTGGGTGAACGAAACATGAGCCGTTGTAGCCCAGAGAACTTAACTCACAAACCGGTTTATCCGCATCCCATGCGAGTTTATGCGTCTCAAAAACCAGCATATCCATGAGCGCGGTCTTTCCGTGATGCAAGTGGCCCACCACAGCGACGTTGCGAATCATCTCCGGGAATGACATCATATTCAGCAAAAAACTACATCTCTGTTGAGTGTAAGCCTGGTAAATCCTCAAGAAGTGCGCACCCCTTGTCAAATCGCGTCTGTGGCATGTCCTTCTCCTCCACCGTCCATTTCCGCACTTTGATAGGAGCAACAATGGGTTCGGAAAGCGGTTGAGCATCTTCTTCCTGGACAAGAGTCTCTACGTCTGGACCGTAAACATCCTCTGCTGATGGATAGTATTGCTTGTCCTCATGCAGAACAACAGCATTATGGACGGGCTCTAGAATGTTCCATGAGATACATACAGAGAATATGCTTCGTCACAGACCATCGATCTCCATCAGTGCACCCTCCGCAGGCGGCATAGGCTCGTCATCGTATCCCTCCAATGTCGCGGACTGCTGTTGGGGTACCTGACGAAAGTCCTGTTGCAGAGCTTCTTCCTCCTCTTCATCCGAGCCCAAGTCCGCGCCAATATAGTTTCCAAACTCATCGTAATCCTCGAAAGAAGCCATGGTAGAGGTGTAATTTTAATGCCTATGACGGGGTCGACGTTCAACGGACGCGTTCAAGTGAGAATAAATTTGGAACTCCGGTCCAGCTCTAAACTTCCTGAATGAGTTGAGGCTCGACTCTGTCATGGAGAGCTGAGCTCGTACTGTCACTACCAAAATGTCTACCCTGCCAGACGATACACTACGAAAGGTGTGTATATAATGAACATTCCGTGTGTACTATCAGATTACTTGACTGGCCATTCGGTAGATCTTGGTCCAGATTCAACAGACCGCCGTTCAGTCACAACGTGCTCTCAATATTTCTCGACAGCAATCTGCCTCGAAAGACCGAGAGCGAAGAATTCTCCAGCTCACCATTGATGAGATCCAAGGCATCGAAGGAGATGTCAACTTGTACAAGGGCGTTGGCAAAATGTGCGTTTAGACGGGTCCTACCTATGGCAAAATCAATGATCAATTCGTTATTAAAGGTTCATGATGGTCCCCCGGAAAACGATGGAGCAGGAATTCAAAAGCCAAGAGAAGGAGCTAACAGATGATATCAATAGTTTGAACAAGAAGGTAAAGTGCTCAGTGATAATGTAAGTGTTTCGTTGACCCTATGATGTATCAGGCAAAATATCTTGAGAAGCAATTTAACGACGCACAATCTCAGCTGCGCGACATTGTACGTCTCATTATTTGCTCAGCAGTCACATTAGGATTTACTTATTAATTTTGTATTCAGTTCCACCATAGCCCCAAGCAATGAGACCTAATGTAACAGTGATCCAGCACCCACTACTGTAATACCAACGGGTCCAACTGTACAACGTAACACATGATATGAGTCCCGCAAGTGGCTGAGCGTTCGATAGTCGCATTTGTGTATCGGCATTACCGGAATTCACCGCCCAAGTTTCTTCCCGCCTTGGTCTCCCCTGGGTGGACCATAGACAAAGGAAGTCATCTCATCTTTCATTATCACTTGCTTCCTGATGATACGAAAACGGGTGGATTGTGATTAGGTAGATCCCTGAGGGCCATGCTATGAACGAACTAGTCGAGAGGACCAAGACAACAAACCAGTTTAACAAAACACGCCATGGATTCTTGTGGAATCACCAATATGACCGCAAGGCCTTGCGATAACATGAAGATTGGTAGGTGATACGTGACACTGAGTTAGGTCGCAGTAATAAGCACTGAGATGCTTTGCGTTCAAGCTTGATGACAGACCGCTCCGGCCTCAGCTGGGTGGGAATGACCAGGGATAATTGAACATCGAAGAAGAATTCAAGTTTCCAAGCATGGTGTCCCTGGTCATCATGCTGGTAATGAGTTTCTTTCCTCAAGTAAGACTCATCTGTGGCATGGTTCGTCACAAAGGAAGGTCGCTACACTAGTACTGTTGCGTTTTGGGCCAACTTCTTATACTTGATTCTGATTGGCCGGTACCTTACCAATGTATCATTTACTATGTCCATATACTAGTACAAGCGGTACTGCAGGCATCAGACGAAAGATGACCCTCGCTGGTAGGTTGTCTGCCAAGGTTTGGGCCCGAGGCCTTCACCCATTGCTTGGTGATTATTGTGCAAGGTTAAGTTCTCGTACAGTTCGAATTACATATTTACGGCAGTGGATCTTACTAAAGTTACGCGATTTTATAAGGTTTCTTTATAATCAGGCCGCCAGTGGCGGCGCCGCGCCGGCAAGTACGCACACAGCTCTTTCCGCCGCTTTGACCACTAGGCTTAATAATTTGTTCTATCAATGCAGATAGAAACATGATCTGATTCTAATTATCCAGCGGGAATCTCTGAAGTTTATCTGTGGGTAACAGGCATCCTCCATGAGGAGGAATAAGTTATTTGTGCCTGGGACTCGGACTGAGTACGTGAGTAGAGCTCTATCCGTCAGGGAATACTATGCGCACGCGTGACCTAATCATCTCAATTGTAATCATGATGACTCCGATCCGCTATCATATTAATATCAGTGATCATGCACATTGCAGGGACGTGGCACAAGGTGTTTTCCTTTCCCTTCAAACCGCTTCATCTCGACTGGCGTTTTCGTGCAGATGACGAACCTCAAACTACTACTGAACCAAATCAACCCGTTCTCGTCTCGCCATGAAACGACCGACCATCATGATGAAGAGGAATTCAAGCTTCCGAACATGACGTCTCTGGTCATCATGATTTCAATGAATCTCCTTCTTCAAGTAAGACGCCGAGTCGACCATTATGCAATTGTCACTCACTGCCTCGGTCTTCATAGGTCTCGTTTTTCATCGTCGTTTCGTCGTCGAATAAATATGGAGAATACTTGGGAGGAAATGCTACTTTCTCTGGAATTATCATCGGGATTCCGACAGCTTTTGCCGGACTTTCTTTGATTCCCTTGACAAAGTACGATAAAGGTATGTTTACATGTCTTCCTCTCTTTGGACGGTATTTTAATCCCTGTTCTTCCATCCTGTTCTAAGGGATGTACAAAATGCCCCTTCATGTCAGTTGCTGCTTCGCCATTCTAGGCCATGTCGCCTACGCTCTGGCCTTCCGGGCCAACTTTCTATATTTGATTTTGATCGGCCGTTGCCTCAATGGGGTTGCATTCTCCATGTTCATGTACTGCAAACGGTACTGCACAGACCCTCGGATTGTTGGCATCAGACGGAGAACTACGCTTGCTAGCTGGTTGGTCATTGGTCAAGGCATGGGCATGAGCTTTGGCCCATTCCTTGGTGGCGTGTTGTACGAAGTCGGGTTCTCAAACTCAATTTTCAACGGTTATACAAGTCCGGGATGGATCATGGCCGTGATTTACGCTGGCTTCTGGGTTTTGGTAACAAAATATTTCGAGGACATCCCTCAACCACCAACCATCATGGAATTGCAGTTAGCAAGAGATTCAAATCCTCCCATCGTTTCTTTAGAAGTGAAAGGTGAAGACACAGAGGCTTCTCCCGATTATCCATCAGCATCTACCACACGTCCTGCCTCACCCATTGACGAATCATTCAGAGCACAACTCTCGCTGATTACACGGTCCCAGTGGGGTGTCATTGCATGCATGTGCTGGTTCGCGATGCTCTGTTTTTTCATCCTAGGCTCTTGGGAAGCCAATCTGCCTGTTTTTGGTGCCGCTGCTGAAAACTTTCACTGGTCACCATTTGCTGCAGGAAATTTCATCGCTCTCGGAGGAATAACATGTTTCCCTTTCCTGCTCTTCAACCTCTTAGCTGCACGTCGCACACAGGATCGCAAAATCCTCGCATTCGGTACGATTATCGGCCTTGCAGGGCTTATTATTTTTCTTTCCATCCTTCGCACCGGAAAAGTCAATTATGGCTCGCTATTTGCATGTTGGTGGACCGTAGCGCTCGGTTTTAACCTTGCGACCACTGTGACCCTTAGTCTACTCAGCAAGCAGCTCCCACCCGAGTGGAACGGGCGCACTTCAATGGCAATTCAATACAGCAATTATACCGGTCGTGTTACCGGCGCAATCTGGGGTGGTTCGGGTGTTTCAGTGGGGATGTTGAACTTTGTGGGATTGGAGATTGCTATGGTCGGTATTGGAGCTATCTTGTTTACCACATTGTGGAGGGATCTAAAGACGAAGACGGGATGACATATCCGGGGGGAGAGCGTTTTATAATACTGAGGCTGGCCATTATGATTTCTGCACAATGTATAATCTTATGATGGCCTTGGGGTGTCGTCCACGGTCACTGCAAGTACGCTGTATATCCAACAGCAACAGTCGAGACTACTAGCTTACTATTCCATACATCAAGCCTTCAAGCTTCAGGTTTCAAGGTCTGCCCTAGTATGACTCTAGGGTAAGCGAGTTAAACTCTTGTCAACTAATATCTGCTTGAATCAGTAAGTTTACAGTCCAAACAGTGCGGGGAGAGCCACACATGTTGATTTGCCGGCACGACCCTCGTTCGTTCATCATTCAAATGGACTCCACTGTCAAACACGATCATGTCTCTGACCATCTGGATCATGATGCCTTTATGCAGATGAAGGTTATCATTGGCCATTCGTCCTCGTCATTGTTGGAATCAACTAATCACGGTATGATCGAGCTTCCTTCGCGTAGATGTGATGAATGGTGGTGTAGTTCTTTTGTCATTCTAAAAATAATGTCTTGATTGCAGAACTCAATTTCCTGATACTTCCTCCCATGGCCGTGATAGAAGGTGGCTCCCCAGAATTTGAACGCAACCTTGAGTCTTTCAGTCTTGTGCTGTTCCGCGTGGCCATGAAATACGATCCAGAATGCCACTGACTCCGACACAAGGATATTGAACCTCCGGCCATTCGATGGTTGAGATCATAACAAGGTATGCCTGGTTTGTGCATCAACAACAATTGGACTGGTCGATCTTTTTTTTTGGCTGTTGGACCCTTTTGAAATTGCAAAGGACTCTAGGGATTGGAAGACGTAGATGCACAATGCATGGTCATAGTTAAGGTCAAGGAATTGCAGTTGCGTTGCACTATACGCGCTTGACTCCAACCGACGTTGATCGCTGACTTTGAACGGTTGTATATTCTGTATCACATTATAGTGATAAGGCTTCTGGAGCTCAATTATGAATGTCACTGGGAACCAGTCAGTTCCTATTGCCCTCACGCGCATGTACTACCTTGCTCACGTGTTATGAGCACCTGTAGTTTTGGCCACTTCCGATTGTACGAAACCGATCGACAATGACGGTTACCCGACACATTGGCCATCATCAATGGCCATGTCGCAGTGTATAAAACGGAGCCTCGCTCGAATTTTGTGGCTGCCACAATAAATCCATCGTAGTTGTCGTCGCATCATTGCTCACCTACATTCTTAACTGCACATTATCATCATTTTTTCCTCTGAAAGTTGCAGGCTAGTAAGGTTCGTGCTGATATCTTCTAAATCTTGCAAATGAATCTCACTTCCGAGTCACTAGCAGTGCCCATCAGCCATGAACCAAGTTCGTCATGCCACCCTAGAACTGTTAGATCTACCCGTCGAAATCCGCATATACATACTCAGCCATCTGGATGGCTACGAGCTAGCGCGAGCACGTCAAGTAAGGACAAAATTTTCTATTTCCGAATTATTAACTCGGTCTCTCTCTCCAGGTATGCCACGATATTCGACACATGGTCGACTCTTCCTCGGAGTTATTATATTTGATTGACCTCAAGTATTTCAACTCGATTTCATTCCCTTCACCTGGCCCAGATCGCACCGTCTCATCGCTTCGCAAATCACTTCGACAAAGCGAATTTGCATGGCAGAAAGCCGAATACTTCAAAAGTAATCCCATCTCTATACCGTATATCCGCCGTGACGCATTCATGTGGTCTTGCGGTATTCTGGCATTCAAAGTGCAGAATGAAAATCGACTAAGGTTTTTCCAGCCGCAAGTGACAGACTCTGATCATTCCAATAGCACGAGCTTGCGTGAATGGGGCTGTCAACTCGATGGCGAATTCCAACTCTGTGGTTTTTCGCCCACACAAAACCTTTTGATTTTCCTTGTCAGAGCATCTCCAGGGTCAGTAGTTCCTTCAAGTTGCATCTTAGTGACTCAGTCAGATTATATTAACGTAAATAAAGGGAAAGTCACGCCTATGATCTTATGTTCAGATCGCTTTCAGAGCCTGATAAAGTCCATCCTGAAGCTGGATCCGCTGTGGTAAAAACCCTCCACAAAGACGACTTCGAATTACTCGACCCACCCGATGTGTCATCCTCCATTTTCGGGCATTATTGTGGTATTTTGTTCAGCGATGTTTTCAAAGAAGACGGAATTTTGCAAATTTGGAACTGGAAGTCACAAGACACTTCTCTGGTCAGTGAATCTCCTGACTCAGTGTTGTGACTCGTGACTTAACCTGGACTTGTAGTGCCTCAAGCCGGCTCATGAAATGATGGATTTCAGTTTCCTAACAAATGAAATAATTCTCGTCGTCAACAGCAAGGAACTACTGTTATATTCCCTCGTTGATTTCCCCGATGCTCTCCATCTTACTGCCAAATTTTCGCTCCCTGCCTTGCGGACACCCTTTGAATATGAAGTAGTCCGTATCAAGGACTCCGTCTCGTCCCATTCCCGCATGCATAATCATATCATCACCATCAACATGAAGATTTTTGGGGAGGACCTCACTAACGAACCATGTGTCACACTATATGTCGAGCGCAACACCCTGTTGAAACTCCAGTCCACCTATACGCGCCAATATGGAGAAGCAAGCGACAGTTCCCCTAGTTTGCCTTGGTCTAAATGGGGGCTAAAATATACTCGATCCTTCAGGGGAGACTCGTACAATTCTTGCAAACATGTCATCTTTGGTTTACGGGCTGTATCTTTGTTCGGCTCCCAGACAAAGCATCCTGTGCCGCGACCACTGTGTATCCGCGATTTCAACCCTCATCGAGTAGCGGAGTTCAAGGCTGGGAATGGCATTAGATGGAATCAACGACTTATCGAGGGCAACTCATTGAGTTCAAGTGCGGATCTGTTCCTCGAGCCACTTGGATATGGTCTTCCGTATATCGAGACCATCACTGAAGAGAAGTTCCTTGGACTCAATTTAATAGTGGAAGGAAACAAGGTGATGTTGCTATCTTTCGATTTCGTGGGCAGACTTAGGAGCCCGGCGCAAGCGGGTAGACAGCATTTTGTCGAGAATGAAGTTGTGGACCAGAACATCCAGATTCTTAATTTCGAGTAGTTATTTATCTCAAGCTTCATGTTATTTGAACCCTCAATTCATTTTGCGTCTTATTTGCGTGTTGCGTACTTGAGTGTTAACGTGCTTTTTATTGCTAGGTCGAGTGCAATTGACTTTCATTTGATTAGTATTCAACGTCTCGACACCTATGCCATGTGTTAGTTGCTATTTTGCCAATATCTATGCTGATAACAACCTTACGGAGATACTATTAAGCACGAGCACAGTGATTACGATCCAACTGCTACCTTAACATTAGATTTAGGCGGCTGATGTGTGCTATTGAGTGTTCGCTGCATTATGCATCAGCCGCCCGCTGATATTATTGCCATTCAAAGAACTAATAGCCCAAAGGCCGTGCTTACCGCCGACCAAACCCAAAAAGAAAATTATTAAAGTCATCTCTCAGGCGACCTTGGTCGTCAATCCAACATTGAGGCTTGAATGCGTCAGGCTCGGGAAAGACTTCTGGATTCCAACAGATGGCCCTAAAGGAGTAACAGTCAGGTCTTCATGCTTGAATTCAGAAGTTCGATGCTTACCAAGTGTTGCCGAATACTGTAGTGCCGGCTGGAATGTAGTAGTTTTCCTGATGCCAGATAATCAGTCGCACAAGTAAGTTGTTCGGTGAGGAAATAGTCGTCGGAAACAGCGGGTATAAGCCACAAAGATGATACCCACCATTGGGGGTAACAGGTCTCCATCTCGAAGCCTAAGAGATGAAGGCACGTCGACGAGTAAGGGATTGTTGGTCGGCCAAAGTCGGCGCTTTAGTGCAAAGATCATTGAATTCTACAGAACTGCAATAGGGAATCAAACTACATTGGTGCCTTCCGATGACCGCATTGAGCTCGGCTTGAACTTTACCTTGCTCCTCGGGGAAACATGCGGCTGCCAGGAGCACATTGCACAAGGCCAAAGTAGTCTGAACCTTGTCAGTCCCTCAACGCCAAGTTGTCATGTTCAAGCTCATTGGATTTATTCTATTGCAGGCCGCCATGGATATCATGGAGAATCAGGGCGCAGCGCTAGCTGACCGTCCTCGCACAGAAGCGTAAGTTCGCAGACTGCAACACTTCTTTTCAACGTGTCGCAGAGCACTTCATCCGCACCTCCAGCCTAAAGCAGCCGAGGCTTATCAGCCCCTGCTGATGTCACACGCGAAGAACCTGGTCCTCGAGATTCTTGATGATCCACACAACTTCCAGAACCACGTGATAACGTATGCGTTTTCTGGCATGACCGCACATTGCTTACAGGTATTATCAAAAGTTTTTCTTCGATGACAATGATGAAAGTCGCATATGGTACTACTACGCCCACTTCTGCGACCGATCCCCTAGTCAAGGAAATGTACCAACTCATGAAGGTGGTCAGTAAACTCCTGCTCCCTGATGCCCACTACCTGGTGGACTCGATCCCATGGCTCAAACACATTCATTGGTATGGCCGAGAATTGAAATGGGGGTTTGAGAGGAGCAAGCGGCTCCACACTGGTCAACTGAATCGAGTAAAAGAGTAAATGGTATGTCCCGCCTCACCAATCTTTGCATAAAGTGTTTAAGCTATTCTCCAGCGAAGCGATGTGGACATTGGTCCTTCGTTTACGAGATTTATGTTAGAGAACAGCGACCACTATGGTTTAATGGAGGTCGAGATAACTTTTCTCAGTGCCGCCTTCTTTGGAGCTGGCTCTGATACGGTGAGGTGTTTTCGTTGTGTCCGAAGATAAGTACGTGGCTGAGTAACGGCCAATAACCACGAATTGTCTGAGTCCCGACCGAAGAGTAATCAGAGGACCTTGCTCGTTAACCCAACCCGCAAATATCGACCTAATCAGCGCCAGACCATGAGCGTTGAAGACTATGTATTGAATGCGAAACTTTACTTGCGATGCGGCAGAAAGTGTCCCCGAAGCCTCCAAGTGGAAGGGGAAGGTGGGAGATGAAGGCCGTTCGTCAATTGAGGAAGGTAAGCCTGAGCAATTACTCTTATCACACCAAGACAAGTCAGACAATTGTAACATGGCTGATGAAAAGGGCGCAAGGAATGGTCAGAGAGAACTCAGCGTAAAGTTATAACTGGTTTTTCAAATCCTCAACGTAACAGTTGGTCAACGTACTTCAAATTCCGAAATCCATGCTATTACTGCCACAATGTTGGTCCGTACGGTAGCGTTGGAGTACTTCAAGATGACTTAAGGAAGGTAAGTCCGAGAAATTACTCAAGACAAACCGCAGCATCGAAAAGCGTGGTGGCACCGAAGTGATTTGACAAGCATAATTCAATTATATCTCGTCTCAAGGATAATTGAACGAAATTCTGCTGGAACCCAGCTGAAACAGCTTGAACATATGCATAGTAAGCGGTGAAATGGTTAACGTTGACCATTGCATGTGACGTGTCACAAATCGACCACCTTCAACTTGAACTTAATCATGTCTATTTCAATGCGTTAGGATTGGCCCGCCTTGGCAAGCCAATAACTACACTCAGCATGCAGACGTAGCATGAAGAGCTGTAAAGAGATGTAATGTGATGCATGATGTCCAATAAGAAGATCCTGACCCGTACGCCATAGATAAGTATGCACTCCCCGAGGGCCAACGTTGCCAACCTTCAGCTGCACACTCTACTCTTCCCTCTCCTTCTGACATGTTATAGTACTTATTGGGCCACCCAGGTGTACTCGGTCCGATGTGACACGTCACGTCTCCCCTCTGCCTCGGATTCCAACATGTCTACTGTATCATGAACACAAAAGCGACCTACTGTGAGCTCCCCTATTTATGCCTGGGATTCGAACCTCCCTCACCTGAGTATGTGAGTGAAGCCTCTGGATCATCTTCTATCGGTCTAGGGAATACTATGTCTCAATTGTAATGATGTCTCCAATTTGCAATCATATTAATATTAAGTGCTGGGACGTGGCACAGGGTGTTTTTCCTTTCCCTCCATCCCGACTGGCGTTTTCGTGCAGATGACGAACCTCAAACTACTACTGAACCAAATCAACCCGTTCTCGTCTCGCCGTGAGACGAGCGACGATTATAATGAAGAGGAATTTAAGCTTCCGAACATGACGTCTCTGGTCATTATGCTTGTAATGAATTTCCTTCTTCAAGTAAGACAGCGATGTCAACCATTACCATTATGCAGCTGTCACTCACTGCTTCGGCCCCCATAGATCTCGTTTTTCATCGTCATTTCATCGTCAAGCAAATATACAGAATACTTGGGAGGAAATGCTACTTTCTCTGGAATTGTCATCGGGATTCCGACAGCTTTTGCCGGACTTTCTTTAATTCCCTTGACAAAGTATGATAAAGGTATGTTTAGGTCATGTCTTCCTGTCTTTGGACGGAATTTCAATATTTGTTCTTTCATCCTCTTCTAAGGGATGTACAAAATGCCCCTTCATGTCAGTTGCTGCTTCTCCATTCTAGGCCACGTCGCCTACGCTCTGGCCTTCCGGGCCAACTTTCTATATTTGATTTTGATCGGCCGTTGCCTTACCGGGGTTGCATTCTCCATGTTCATGTACTGCAAACGGTACTGCACAGACCCTCGAATTGTTGGCATCAGACGGAGAACTACGCTTGCTAGCTGGATGGTCATCTGTCAAGCCATGGGCATGAGCTTCGGTCCATTTCTTGGTGGCGTGCTGTACAAAGTCGGGTTCTCAAACTCAATTTTCAACGGTTATACAAGTCCGGGATGGATCATGACCGGGATCTACGCTGGCTTCTGGGTTTTGATGGCAATATATTTCGAGGACATCCCTCAACCACCAACCATCATGGAATTGCAGTCAGCAAGTCCCATCGTTTCTTTACAAGTGAAAGATGAAGACGCAGAGGCTTCTCCCGATTATCCATCAGCGTCTACCACACATCCTGCCTCACCCATTGCCGAATCATTCAGAGCACAACTCTCGTTGATTACATGGTTCCAGTGGGGTGTCATTGCATGCATGTGCTGGTTCTCGATGCTCTGTTTTTTTATCCTAGGCTCTTGGGAAGCCAACCTGCCTGTGTTTAGTGCCGCTGCCGAAAACTTTCGCTGGTCACCATTTGCTGCAGGAAATTTCATCGCTTTCGGCGCAATAACATGTTTCCCTTTCCTTCTCCTCAATCTCCTAGCTGCACGTCACATACAAGATCGCAAAATCCTCGCATTCGGTACGATTATCGGCCTTGCAGGGCTTATAATTTTTCTTTCCATCCTTCGCACCGGCAAAGTCAATTATGGCTCACTATTTGCATGTTGGTGGACCGTGGCTCTTGGTTTTAACATTGCGACCACTGTGACCCTCAGTCTACTCAGCAAGCAGCTCCCACCCGAGTGGAACGGGCCCACTTCAATAGTAATTCAATGCAGCAATTATACTGGTCGTGTTACCGGCGCAATCTGGGGTGGTTCGGGTGTTTCCGTGGGGATGTCGAACTTTGTGGGATTGGAGATTGCTATGGTCGGTATCGGAGCTGTTTTTCTTACCGCATTGTGGAGGGATCTAAAGACGAAGACGGGATGACATTTTCGGAGAAGAGCATTTTGTAATATTTTGATATCCATCTATAGAGGCTCGACATTGTACAGTGATTACTGCACAACACTGCTGTCGTCGTAACGCGGCAATTATTAAGTAGTAGCCCACTTCGTAGCATAATTTATGGGGTCCAAATGGCATATATGAGGTGTCGGGGGTCCTGCCTGCTACGACATTCAATGAGAGCTTCGACTCGGAGTTGTGTCACTTGTAAGACGAGTTCTGCCCTACCATGAAAGTCTTGATTGCACTCTCCGTTCATATTCTTTCTGTGTTACTCGTATCAGCACACGGCGGCCATGAAGACTCAGAAGAGAGCGCAAAACTTGCTAATGCTGGCTACGCCATTCGACATGTATGAGAGACCCACACATTAATCCTAGCCGGTGCTGATTCTTCATTGTTCGTAGATGGCTACAGAACACCATATGTGCGCAACTGAAATATATTACAACGTTTTGTTCTTATATGCTGATACAGCGACTCCTTCGACATGGAGAGTTTCTTCCAGCTTCATGATTTGAACAGGTAATGAAACACAACCCGGGCAGAGGATTATTGACCCGCACCCTTTGCTTCAGAGATGGTGTATGGGACCGGGAAGAAATTGAGGCTATATACGGCGTTCACCATGTGTACTCACAGAAAAAGTCGAAGGTTTGGTAACTGAACATCTTGCGCTTGTTGTGTGTTAACATCATGATAGGACGAGATTGAACATCAGAAGAAGGCTGATCAGGTCGCAGATACTGTACTCAAGCTCTTGGATAAAGACGGAGACAGCAAGGTCACACCAGAGGAGTTTACCGCTGTTGGGCTGAGTGGCCTGCCGAGTTTTGACGACATAGGCGCAGAGGGACACCATTACGACGTAGAAAGCGGTGAGTTTTAACTAACCACACGTTATGATTATTACTGAGATTTCAATAAGAGTTTTTCTTACATCATGAAGGTTTGTTTGACGTACAACGCATGCTTTCACGATTTGTAGCTCAAAGGATGTTCCAGAACAGTATCACTCGACGCCTGAGACACAAACCGACGCATCATACACTCACCCCGAAGACCTTGAACACTTTTCACAACATGCAGCTATTGAACGTGAAGAAGCAGAGCGAGAGGCAATATTTCAAGGGATCACAGTTGAGGAAGCCATTCGCGCACATGAAGAGCCCCCTGCACGTCCTGCACCTCCCGCTGAAAGCGCGCCAAAGCCCAAAATTACCCGTGGAGTCCCACCAGAGAAACAGGATCCGGTGGTCAAGTACAAAGATATTGGCAAGGAGAGTGACAGCCAGTCAGAATGGGGTACCGGAGAACAAGGCTACAAGCAGCCTAACACACCGGCAGAGAAAACGAGGTTAGTTTCACGTTTATTCCCGTTGCATTTGTTCTAACCAGTTATCTTGTGTTGCAGGAAGAACCTCCCATACAAGGTACGTGCGGTCTGAACCTCCTCGCCAGCTGCATGGAGAGCCGCTAACTCATAGGAACGTATACAGTATAAATTCCGACGGAATTGGGGAGATTTCTGACGAGATATCTGCTGATTACTATCCGCTGCTTTCCCCCTAGGAATTCATTCGCATCTATATACCCATGTGCTTTGCGTATAGAACAGCGAACAGATCCCATGTACATCCTAGAGAGACAGATAAAAAAAGTCCATCCCCTCAACGGCCGTCGAACATATCGTCCAAAACTCCCTGCTCAACCGCCTCCCAATCGATGTTCCCACTACTTGCATACACGCTCTCGTAAGATGAGATGCTCACATGGGAGAAGAATGGAAAAAGGTCCCTAATCGAGTCAATCTGACGGATTGATTTTAGTATGGGCCTCCGTAAAGCACGATCGGAATGGGCAGCAGGGAAAGCAATGGAAGTTGATGTTGGCATTGATAGTCCAATGCCTTGTGGTTCCTAGTGCGATTCAGATGATGAATATTCAGATAGTCAGAAGAAGATAACATACTCGAGGCTCTGGAATAGGTAAACTGCCAACTACTTCAGCGAGCTGGTCAAACATCGATTCTGGGGTCCAATCGTCAGGGCGAAATACGGCATCCACGGTATCGGTGATGAATATCCACTGATGTCTGTAATTCATCAATAGCCATGCTAACACGGAGAACAAGGAGACAGTACATCTGGAACTCTTCTGTCTGAAGGGTAAGCAGCAAATCAAGGCATTTGCTGGCCGAAAGTATGAGTTGTAGATCCTCCGAGCCATCTGAAGGTATCGAATCAATTATTTGCCCAAATATTCGGTACTGGAATTTGTGTTAGGTTTCGAATAAGATATGTAATATGTTCAGCTTACCAGCTCAGTGAGAATCACGGGCCAAAAGCTCGTCATACTATGTGCAGCCAGGCGGCACAACAACACTCGTATGCAAAGGTAGACTTCACATTGAACTACGGGAGATGGAACATTGCGCAGGATATCCACCAATTTCTCCTGTATAGCCGGAAGCTGGGTTAAGAAATGATTTTTCTCTCCTGTGAAGAGGACGAATGCAAGCCGTCTCAAGTTCAACGATCGCAGAAGCATCTCATGCTCTCGGTTCGTGAAGATATTGGCCGAGGGCGACGTAGCAACACGGCCTAAAACGCATAATCAGTAGTGCTAGATGAATTGTATGGTGCGAATTTACCAAGAAGGTCAGGGAAAGAAGTTTTATCACCATCAAATACTGCTTTGATGATGGGTTTCCACTTCATAGCAACGCTGGAATTTGAGCTGAAGATGCGATGATCGTAAAGGACATCGGTTACTGCCACTCGCCAAACCTTCATCGCAGGTGGAATTTTGATCATCTCCCGAAATATATCAACCACAACCACATCAGCGTCCAGAGGCCTGTCATTGGCTTGAGAGGGCTTGAGATCTATCGTCAGGAGTAAAGCTTACCTGGGCTTCGTTTTGATGCCTGGGCTCACTATGTAATACACGATGTTGCTACAAGCACTCGCTACCTTGTCGTTATCCATCAAAAACCGGCGCAGCTCTGGAACAACTGTTGATGCTATAAATGCGGTGATCTGATAGACAGTCTCAACCAACAAGATCTCGCAGTCAACAAGTAATTTACCTGGGAGGGTAACTCCGTTCCCCAAGTCGGCTTGGCATTATCCGAAAGCGTAGGAGTGCTGGGATCTTTCTCGTCCTGCTTCAAATCCGAGACTGACGATTCATCAGATGGCAGAAAAAGTAGTCACAGAATGTATAACTAACCACCACCACGAAGAGCAGGGGAAGATCGACCATTCGTGACCGTCGACTCCCTCGTGGTACGTCTCATCCAATTTGGTTGATCCGTCGATTTACCCACAAAAGTAACGCATGCATCAAGGAGTTTTCCGAATGTTTCCTACGAATGGAAGTGAGCACTTCAATTTGTACAATGGTTTGAAAGTACCGGACCTGGAGATCTTTCCTGATGCGCTTGTCGTCTATGGCAGTGGTCTGAGTAACTTTTTCGCCCAAAACGCATAAGCACCTAATAAATAGTGAGCAGCGAATGATAATTTTGAGAAATACACACTTCAATGCCAAGAAAACCTGGATCTTGAAATCCCGACTTGACGCCAGGTCCTTCGCGAGCTGCATAAATCGACTCCATACTTGAAGAGCCAGAGGCCCTTCAAGCCGTTGGAAATATTGCTCCAGGAAGTTGAATAGGACGATGTCGGATCTGTCAGGTAATACGTTTGGCAATCCACTCATCCACTGATTTGATAGATAACTCACAGATTCGCGTTTGCGGGTTTCCTACTGCGCTCCGAAGTGTTCGAAATACGAACTGATATACTGTCGCAGATCATATGTACCGCGCTTTGCGCACTAGCAATCAAGATATCGACCAAGCCGAAGATACCTGTCGCAGGCTGGTCAGAGCCTTTGGAGCGGAGCGATGCATCATGATCCCAGCATTCAATAACGGACTCTAACACTTCCGTAGGGTAAGCGCGGAATAGGTGCTCCAGAACTCTTCGACAACGAGCATGTGTCCGACTATAAATCATAGACAGAGAATCCACCTCTGGCCGCAGGCCGGTAGTGTCATGCCACACCATGTTGACCCATATTGCGAGTAACACACGGATGCCATCATGGAGAGATTTGTACCCAGGTGAGTGTGACTGTACGACTGTCAGCTGTGATAGACTAGACACGAAATATCAAATTACTTGCCGTTAGCTGATCTTCGACAGCAGCGGATGCATTATCTGTAGTGAAGACATTCGAGACATATCCCAAGATACCTCCCGACTCAGCTCCAGGTTTTTCCTGAACTGGAGCGTCATCCTCTTGTGAACTAGCATCTGATTTTTGAGTCAAGCCAAGCACAAGTAACCGCTCGAGCGTGTTGAGAAGCATGGTGAACTCAGCATCAGTCGCAACCCGAGGATAGCTCCCATTAGTCGTTGGCTGGTTCGCCTTTAGGATATCTGAGAGGAGCAAGCGTAGTTGTCGGCAAAGACAATCAGCGATAGGAGAAATAACGCTCTGAAGGGCAGGTTGGAACTGGGGAACCGCCATCAGCACAAAATCTAACCAGTGCTGCATCACGGGACGATTCCGCGGGATCGCAATACCATCTATGATGGTTTGTGTCAGCAGGGAGTTGACCGTGTAACCCCCTTTCCCGGATTCCTGCGAGCCTTCTGTACTTCGATCCTCGGGAGGCGGGTTCCCGTTGTAGGCGTAAGATGTCGAGGCGGATACAATGGAGTGGAGGAACCGCAGTAACTTGTTTTGCAAGTCCAATCGATGTAAATGGACACAGAGGAAGAGTTTGCCGATGACCATTGGTTCGAGAATTTCAATGGCGAGCATTTCAATCTCTCCGCGAGCGACAATGGTCTGGAGAAGGTCTATGGCGGAGGATTGTATAACCGTGTTCAGTGGCTGCATAACCGAAGCATCTTGATCTTTGGGTTCGGATTGAAGGAACCTGTACGAGAATGAAGCACAATGACGAGTTAGGGGATGTGACTCACCTCGACAACACCTCGATGAGCGCATCTAGATAGCTTGCATTGGCGTCTACCCCGGCTAGTGGCAAATTGTTAAAGCCACAACGGCAAAATGGTGATAGTCATTACCTGAACTAAGCCTCTGGAATAGCACATGGTCATATGAACGCCTAAGGAAGGTGCCGCGCGCAGACTTGGAAAAACCTTGACCACCGAATTGGACGATCGAGAGTAAAATCTCGAGAAGGTGGGCGACATAACGCTGGTCAAATGACTTCTCGTAAACGAAGCCCCTGATTTCTTTGCCGCTCACTCTGCTAACTCTGGATATTCGACGGATAGAAGGGTCCAGAAGATCGCGGAGAACAGGTTCCAAGACCCTTTTGGAATCATATAAGCCTTCCACCAGGCCACTAGATCAGAAAGTAGCGTTACCTGATATATGACCTCAAATTGCATCGCATCCATGTTTCTCCAACGCGTCGCAGGCTTGGATCATCATGCTTCAAGGTCTCCAAAACTATCATCAACGGCACCTTCAGGCGTACTCCAGGAAGCGAGTCATCCTCTGAGAAAGTTCCGTCAGTATGATAATGGGATGACACTCGTTTACCTACCTGACAGTCGCCAAAGTACTCCAAAGGCCTCGTGCGCCTCATAGACGTTTCTTGACTCAGGAGAACACATGCTCTGGGCTATTATCGACTCAACTTCATGGGGCCGTGACATTGATTCTATGGACCATATGAGACTGACAGCTCGCACATGACATGTAGCCAGGTCTGCGTGGAGGTATCTGAAAAGCTACGAATCCAACCTCTATTAGATCAACTTCAAATGTGGTCAGACTTACAAACCTTCTTCACCATACGACTAACCACAGGTCTTTTATCCATCGACAGCTTTGGGCTGAGCTTCTGCGCACCATGCAAAGACAATATCAAAGATACCACTTGGTCCACCAGGGTGAAACTGACGGCCTAGAGACAGCTAAATTTCCTTGCCAACAACCAGAGAGCGTCGCATGACATACCTCGAGGTCAAGACAATCGAGCATAGAGTACAACCATTCTGAAGGTTCCCATGACAGACTGAGTGTCGCATCACAACTTCTGTCCACCGTACGGACAACGCCCGACAAAACTCGCAACACCTGTGACAATGCTGCTCGAAGTTCTATCGAGCCCCCTTGCTGAGCCGAGATTGATCGTGACAGCGCTTCACTTATACAGAACATATGTTCTAAGACAGCCACCAAAGGATTAAGCACTTCACTGCTCGGATTTGATTCGGTGAACTTAAGTCCGTAAAATGCATAGGCAAATGAGAGTGAGCCAAGAGACGAAGCTGATGTCTGAAGTGCTGCATTCAGCCCGGGACGCTGACAGAGAGACTCTAGAGGTATGTGTTGGAAGATTTCCTCTTGCAGAGCCAGACATTCCCGGACAGAAGCTTCGGCAGCCTTGGACGGGTCGTTGGTGATCGCACGCTGTGTCATGGGTCAGCTGCTATGTCATGTCCCAGTGACAATAGTCGCACCTGCAGCTCCTCCGTTATGGCGGCAAAAATAACTGGCAGGTGAATGCTGCGAACTTCATCATCTTGCATAGGGAGTGAACGCAGTAGGAATAAGGTCAAGTCAATTGCCTAAAGAAAGTGTGAGCTTGCGCTACCCGAGGCTGAGTTGCAGCGAAGCTCACCCCAGTTTTGCTGTCTTCGGACAAATCTTTCATTATTGCTGCCAGTAACTGCTTCCAAAGAATACTGGGCTCGACAGCTTCATATAGCGTACTGGCAGTCATAGAAATCTTGGGAAAATACAAATAAGATGCTCGCACCTCAAACACTAAGAAATAGGACGTACATCCTCATTATGCTCCTCCGCATCCCGCTGCATCAGAAATCGGATTGCTTTAAGAGCATCCAATACAAGAACATCGGTTAAGGCCGATCCTATCTCCCACTTGTCCAACAGCGAAATAAAGATCTTGAACGGTCTTGATTCGGAGTATTCCCCCGAAGGCGCAAACATTTCATCCTAATGACAATTGTTAAGGTCTCGTCTCGATACACCCTGAATTATCACTTACCTTGAGCGTGGTATTCAATAACTGAAGTGCATGCTGTCGCAAGAACACGGTCTGGTTCTCGCTCTTCTCATCCGGACCCAGCAACCAGGTATAAAGTCGTCGATTAAGTGACAGATCTCGACGCAGGACTACGCCAGTCGCAGCTCTCATAAGTATGACGGTATCTTCCGAATGCGCTCGTTTGATAGCAGCACTATCGACCCGCATCGACTGCAAGAGAATGTCAAGCGCGCCCCTTCGAACCAACAAATTGTCGTCCTCGAGCGCCGCTGCGAATGCACGGATCATAAGCCCTATATCTCTACCTACTATCTGAGTTATGTCTAGAAAATATTGAGCAGTCGAAGATCATACTTGGAATTAGCCTTACCTTCGTCTGCGTGTAATCGAGGTAGTCTGCGAGAGAGAAAGTTCAGAGCGGTTCCACGTGCAGAGGACATGGTTATCATGATGAGCCATATGTTCTGGACGAAGAAGACGGGGGAGACTGTTGCTGACAGTCGGTCGAGAAGGGTGAGTACCTATACCAGCTGCATCAACCACACTCAAGTTTGTGAAATGTAACGGTAACATACCTTTTCGAAGAATTCGCCGGTCTCCTCTTCAAGACCCGGAAGCAGTGCAAGGATGAACGACTTCATCACAGGTCGCAGACTGGCTTGTAAAGGCAAGTAATGTGTGTCATATATGGTCAGCAGTATTGGCTGTCTCGATCAGTACTAGATGAAGTAGAACACGTATGAAGCCATACCTTGACTGATGTAGCAGCATACTCAAAGAATGGGAATAGGCCAGACGACCATAATGGCAGGTCGCGTTTGAGACCTTCCGTCTAGCATCGCGCACACATTAGAAGCTACCACGCAATGACCCCGTTACACTCACTCCAAGCACAGAAAGTATGTGCGTATAAACATCCAGAGCACGTTGATGCACGCCAGTTGGTAAAGCAGGATTCAAGCACTGTGCCAACCGTTTAGCAACAATGAGCTTGTACGGGATCTCCTTGAATTGCATGTATGATTGAAATGTCTGTGGGTGCGAAATCGCGTTGAATCCACGCTTCCAGCTCAGTGAAGAAGAAAATACCTTCAATAACTGCTTCAAAAACGCGATGCAGTCTGCCCACTCGTGTACATTGTCGAATGCATTGAGACATTTCTCCACTTGTTGCGTGTACTTCTTGTATTTTGGATCAGAAGCGTATGTTTGATGCACTGTAGCAACCCAAGTCAGTGATTCAAAGACAGGCCATCGGAACCTGCATGGATGCGTACATTTCTCCCTGGCACTCGATTTCGTAGGGTCTAACACCGTAGCCGCACTCGTGCCTGGGGTTCCACCAGTGCTAGTCTGCGCGATAGCAGGGCTTTTGTTGGACATGATCGGTTGAGACGCGGCTGGTGTATGGTTTTGTGTTCCGACCGTGCAAATGGCCTAATGCGAAGCACCACAGGCCGCGAACTCGAGTAGAGAGCGCGCTCAGCGAGACTGGACGTTGCAGGCTACGTATTAGCAGTTGTGCCAAATTAAGGTCGACGTCGTGGTCACGGTTCTGTCACACGAAGTAGCCTGTCACATAGCATCGGAGACTGCACAGAACCAATCATATTACTAGAGGGAAAAGCATGGACAACAGTATAGTACGTGTATGACATTAATGCAAAAGGTACGAGACACGATCAAAACATAATCAAAACATAATTACATGAAACAAACCACCTATGATTCCATGTGCTCTGGCGTGTTCTGTACGGGAGCATCATTACCCTCTTCAGACGCCGGCCCAGCAACAATATTACGCATCTTGGAAGGCGCTTTCACAGGGTGGTGGTCGGCAATAATAGACCCTGCTCGTGAAGGCGCAGCCGATATGCCCGACATGGCACGCGCCGCCTTAGATTTGCTAGACCCTTTTCCAAGTAACGGTGCAGATATCGAGCCGCCGCCCTTTGGCGTCGTAATTTTGTCCACATCGCCATTTTTATGCGAAGCTGCGGCTGCAGCTGTTGCATTGGCATATTCAGACTCTTTATCGCCAACCCATGATCTAGCGAACCATCGTCCGCCTGCGATGCCCCGTATTTCGCGGTTTGCTGTTCTCCAACGACGGATTTTGCTTCCGCTTCGGTCAAGGGGTAACATGGGTGCGAAGCCTGCTCCGATCTTTGGGGGCGGCTGCACAGGGAATGGTTTGGATGGTAGAGGGTAGATAGGGAGAGGTGCAACTTCTGTTGTACCCTCGACTGGAGGGGGAGGAGCATTTTCTGCGTCCTCATGTTCCGAGCCCCCCTCACGAGCGAGGGGAAGTGGCGATGAGGGTGCGGTTCCAGCGTATGCTGATGCAGAACAAGTAAATCTGGACTACAGGGGAAGCAAGATAGTACTTACATTCACTCAATGCTCCTTCATCCACCACCAAGGTCTTTGCTGCCCTGAAAAGTATTGGCTTATTGATATATTTTGAATTCTGGTTTACGTACTTGGGCGGAGCCTTGGCTCTGGAGCGTTGAGCAGCAGCAGGCCTACGGGGTGCTGCTCTTTTCTTCGGAGGCGGTTTATCGGCAACTGCGGGTGTACTGACATCCTGAGCATCGGTTTGCTCGCCTGCTCCTGTTAATAGAATTGGGTTGAGTAGGAAGAGGGGCTTACCATGGGGCTTTTTGTCGAGATCCTTGTCCTGCTTTTCACTCTTTCGTGGTTTTGGCTTCCTCGCTGGCGCCTTCCGCTTGGTACCACCAGTTGAGGTAGTGATGGCAGGGGTAGAAGTAGATTGTTGTAATTCATCTTCGTCGTCAATAAGTTGGTCCTCCTCGTCCTCCTCCTCAACGTCATCATCACTATGCGTCCGTGCCTGCGGGGCAGGTAGTGGTGGTGGGGACGGGGGTGGTAGTGGAACAGCCTTCTTGTTGATAGTTGATACACTAGGTGAGGACGACTTGCCCTTGCCCTTCTTCTCGGTTACCAGTAACTTTACTCGGAATTTGGAAGTTCGAGAGGGCGGAGGAGGAGTGGCCTCTTCCCTGAGAGTTGAAATTTGAGGAGCATCCATGTCTACATCTTCATCCATGTTTTATCGAAAAATGTACCAAAAATTGAGTTGGTGATCGTAAGCGCTGGCGTGGTGAGTAACCGATGGTAGAAGAAAGAGTCAAGTAGTGTGCAATATTATGAGACTTTGCTTTGGCCGTGGGTGACGAGACCACTTCCACGAATCCACATCCACATTCACGTTGTGAACAATGAGCTCAATGGTATCTAATCCAGACAATCTGAATTCGATTGATATCCTTGCCATTTAGTCAACTCATCATTAACATCCAGCATCCGTGTTCCATAGAACTGATGAGCAGTGGGCTTAGCAATATCCCAGCCGACTATCTTTCCATCTTCATCCCTATCCAGACTCGCCCCCCATATGCTTACGCGGTTGGTATTATAGTTGTGGGATGCAACCCCGACACCACAGGTCTTGCACCTATACCGTCGCTTGTATGGCTTGAGGATATTGTCATAGAAGTCTAATCGAAATTCGTGGGGTTCTGGATGTGTCCATGTGAATGCAGAAGCATCGAAATGCATGGTATGAACGAATGGACACGCTGTAGTTCGAGAATTATTACTCTTTCATCAAAACCGATGGGGTTCCACTTTACAAGTCAATCTCTGGCAGCTCGTACAGTGACAATACGCGCTCAAAATTGGACGAGCAGAGACAGCATATGATATGGCCTGGCAGAAACAACTGCCTTGCAATAGCGGGACATGATCAATCATAACTGAAGGGTATCGACTCGAAGGCCTGAAGCACGACCGTCAGGCTCTACGGAAAAATTACGTCAGCGGGAAACGCCGACTTGCTCCGCTGAAACTCGCAAAGCAGCTTTTCTATAAGCACTCAAAGCACACTCCAAGTTAGTTCTCCTCGCTTTCAATCTGCTTGGCCTGCTAACATTTGCTTCTTAGCATTAACTTTCATTTTGAAAGTCAAAAAAGGTCGAACGATGTCTGCCACACTTAACGTACGCACGCCGTTCTTCGCGTTTACAGCCTATTAAACTAAAGCGGCTATGAACTAGGTTGCTCGCTACAGTGCTCTCCTTTCAGGTGTCTTCTATGGCATCTACCACCGTCGGTCACTGCAAAAAGCCCACGACCAAGAGAAGGAACACCACGCAATACACCAACGTGAACAGTTGATATCACAGGCAAGGGATGCATGGAGACACAAGCAGGAGAGTCCAAAAGAGTCGGATGGTAGTGAGTTGCGCCCGGAATACTTTCCTTCCATACTCTTTTTTCGCATCTTATGCGCGTTTCCTCTGTGTACTAATTTTGAACTCCAGTCATCACAAACCCAGAAGATCCACGATTCGACCTCGAGAAGCTCGTTGCCAAATGGGAGAAAGGTCTATAATGGTCGTTTAGTCCTGCTTTCCCCCGTCAACTATACCTATAGATCACTGCCATCCTCAATTTCACTCTTGTGGCAGACGTAAATGAGCCATATCATCCGAAGATTCTGAACTGCTCCAATGATTTTGTTCCTGCTGCTTAAAACGCGTTTATATTAGTTTTATGAATGGATTTGAATGTTTGCATGATATGTGAAGGTAGCGCCGGCTAGCGCTCAAAATGAGATACTGTTTGGGAGGTGTATGTACATAATCGGTAGGCGCGGCACGCGACGCGCCTTGTTATCTTCCTTTGTTCTCCGCCGTGTTCTCGAGTGAACCAGACCCGGTACACACCATATCGCTTATCTATCCCATACAACCTATTATCTGAGATGAAACCCACCGTTCAGGACGAGGATATGGAAGATGACCTCGCTGCTGAGGAGGAGAACAAGCTCATAAACGAGGTCAGTCTGCAATCTGCCCCAAATTTTCCTCCAATTTAACAGGACAATCCTTTTTCAGGAGTATAAAACATGGTAGATAATCCCTTCTATCTTGATGTCAAGGTTTCTAAATTATAGCACCTCTACAGGAAAAAGAACGCACCGTATCTGTATGACCTAGTTATCACACACGCACTCGACTGGCCAAGTTTAACATGCCAATGGTTCCCCGACAAAGACACGTAAGCATGGCATCACCCTCCTCCAACCTTCATCTAATCTAGTAAAAAGACCAGCAAACAAGCCCTACACAACCCACCGCCTTCTCCTCGGAACCCACACCTCCGGCCAAGCCCAAGACTACCTCCAAATCGCAGTCGTCCAAATTCCCAAACGGGACGAAAAGCTTGACCGTGATAACTACGACGAACAACGCGGTGAACTCGGCGGACACACCATCCCTCCTCAGCCCCGCATCCACATCACCCAGAAATTCAATCACGATGGCGAGGTTAACCGTGCGCGATATATGCCGCAGAATCCGGATTTGCTCGCGACAAAAGCTATCTCAGGACAGGTGCTCATTTTTGATCGGACAAAACATTCGAGCGAGCCTCCGAGAGGGGGTGTTTGTAAACCTGATATCAGATTGGTCGGGCAGACGAAGGAAGGGTAGGTGGTTTGATTGCTTGAGATGTATCTAAGGCTTATTGCGGGCAGGTTTGGTTTGGCCTGGAACCCGGTGAAGAGTGGACATATTCTTGGCGCTTCAGAGGATATGACAGTGTGCCACTGGTGAGAGGAACGTCTTTGGGCACGGTCTGGCTGCTGATATTTTCCAGGGATATAAACTCTTATACAAAGGGTACTAGCACCATCGAGCCGACAAATGTTTTCAAGGGGCACAACTCTGTTGTCGGGGTTCGTACAATCCTTCATGTTTGCAAGCAAGCTATTAACTAGTTCGTTGAAAAGGACGTAGATTGGCATGCGACCGAAGAAAACGTATTAGCCAGTGTGGGAGATGACAAGATGCTTCTACTGTAAGTGCGATTCTTTTGCATTTCCATCCAACCAATCTCATTGCTTCCTCAGCTGGGACACCCGAGCTGCCACCGAAGCTACGACGAAAATTCAAGCACACGACAGAGAAATCTTATCATGCGCATTCAGCCCGGCATGCCAATATCTCATCATCACCGGCAGTGCAGACAAGGTACGTATACATTCAATCACTCGTATGGGTGGAGTTTATTCTGGTGTCATCTAGACCGTTGTGCTGCACGATATCAGATCGCCTACTAAAAAGTTGCACACTTTCGAGTCACACACAGACGAAGTACTCCATCTCGCATGGTCTCCCCACTCTGCTACAGTATTTGCATCTGCTTCAGGAGATCGACGGGTCAATATCTGGGATCTTTCTCAGATTGGCGTGGAGCAGTCACCAGATGACCAAGAAGATGGACCTCCGGAGCTCATGTTCATTCACGGAGGTATGTCATGATTGCACGTAACCCTGCTCAGATCATGATACTCGGTTGGTCCAGGCCATACCGCACGTCCCACAGACTTTTGCTGGGCACCAGGAAAATCTGAGAACTGGACTGTATCTACCACTTCAGAAGATAACGTGGTAATGGTCTGGCAACCCACCATGCGCATCTGGGCTGGCGACGAAGTCAAGATCGATGAGAAAGAGCTCGAAGGCGACGCTATGGAGGGCGTCGAAATCACTCCTGAAGCTGGTCCTTCCAAAGTGACAGCAGCCAGTGGCGCTAACAGTGCGCGCAGCCAAAGTATGAGCATCAGCGCGAGTGTTAGCAACTCTGGTGTGGATGTGGAAGTAGAGGACAGTTGAGTATTCGGTGTAAATGGAGACGGAGAAATGATGATGGAATCCAAAGCTGATCATGATGAATACAATATTTGTAACGTGTGCCCTTCGAAAAATCCTGGCTGCGGACTGCATGAAGTAGTGTGTTATGTATATATTCCTCGTGAGAGTGTCCGCACATTACAGGAATAGCATTCTGGCGAGCTCAAATAACACTGCAGCATTGTCAGATTCAGAATGAGCACGACGCTGAGACAGGTTGTACTCACCACCGCCTATAACAACAAACAGTATGACGCCCAAAGCCCAGAGGTTGATAGGACTTCTTTTCGCCAACATCTCCTGGTGTGAGGGCTTCACTGCTTTCTTGCCCGACCGAACTGCGTTAGCAAATTGAGCATTCTTCCTTCGCAGGTCAAACTCAGTAGGCTAGATGAGCACGTTGAGTCAGGATCAACATGAGGAAATGGTTTCTGTGCAAGTACCATTGGTTTAAAGTTTAAAAAAGACGAAAGAGTGGTGTGGTGCTCGGAGAGGAGAATAAGTATGAACAGCTGTATGTGTGACGTTGATAAGAACCAATAGAGTCTAAAATACGTGTCAGTCCAAAAATGGAAGTGGTTGTTTGACAAAAGCTTGGGATCCAAACAACCATATCTTCCAAGTTGGCCCGGACCACGTTACATAGCTACCCATTTTCTATATCTTGCAAGTCTTGTAAATCTATTTATCAGATTGCATCAAATTCAATTCTCGAAGGTCCCTATTACGAGATCTGGCCAATGGGGCGCCATCCCTAAGCTTCTTCCCAGTCTACGTCCCCTGTGACTCGTCCGACAATTTTAGTTCCTTGGAATTGCCTCACTTTCAAATTTCAAATCACAATCACCGTTAAACCTGCATGTACATTCAATGACTGACGGGCCCTACGTGACTAGAGTCTCATGGGCAGAATTTAGTAATTTGAGGTCCTAGTAGTACTAGTTCTGCCAGCGTGGCAAAAATGAGGGATTCCTTTTTCCATGGTAGACACTCGAAATATCAACAAGACCACTTGATTGAGAGGTGAGCTCAGCCCACTGCCCTCTTGAATAGGAACTTCGAACTGCGTAGCAACATCATCGGCCAGATGGGAGCCTTGCTAAATTTGACTCATGTGCATGAGGACCTAGTGCCAGCTCTAGTCGTATCCTCGTGTCGGACAAAAGAGATGCACTCGGTACGTGGTGTAACGTGAGACCAGGTACCAACAGCTGCAAGGCGATAAGATTCTGCAAAACTTATAGCGAAAAATTTGTGTTTTCTGTTGTGCTGCAGCGGTCATGATGCAAATGGTGGAAACGAGAATAAAAGATGTTTGCGCAAATAGTTTTTGGGCGGAAGGAAGGGACGGCTCGGCCCGGCGACCCCAACCTTGCGCAAGAGAAGTCTGAGATTCATAGCTGATTCCATTTTCATACTTTGACCAACAGAGTCATGGGGCACAAAAAGAAAACATCCTTAAAAACAACGTTGCAATCCCAGCAGACTCGGCTCAAGAATAAAGAGAAAGCTGCGCATGCCGCTGAAGCTGCAGAACTCAAGACGAAGCATAAAGGCAAGGGGAAAGCGCCAGCTCTCCGACCTACCATCCCGTTCACGCCTACCGATAAAATACTTTTGATCGGCGAGGGCAATTTCTCGTTCGCGCATGCCCTGGTCATCGATCCTCCTTTGTCACTAGAACATCTCCCACCATCGAATATCACGGCGACTTCTTATGATTCCGAGGAGGAATGTTATGATAAATATCCTGATGCGAAAAGTAAGGTGGATGTTCTCCTGGAGCGTGGTGTAGAGGTTCTCTTTGGTGTAGATGGGACCAAACTCGAAAAGTGTAATGCTTTGAAAAAGAGGCTGTTTAATCGTGTCGTGTTCAACTTTCCTCATGCAGGTATGTTTTATTGAGATCGTATAAACGAAATACCGTGACTGAGGAGAAATCGTGAAGGAAAGGGTATAACAGACCAAGACAGAAATATACTATCTAACCAGATGCTTATCCTGGGGTTCCTCCGTTCCGTTGTTAGCTGCCTTGCAGAAGGCACCATTCCAACGCCTAATCTGTCACAAAAACCGAAGAAACCTGCGGATGACGATGACGATGACAACATGGATGATGATGAGGATATAGATGCCCCATCGCCTTCTACAATGCAGGGTGCAAGGGGGACAGTGCTCATCACCCTGCGCAACGTTTCACCATACACCAACTGGCAAGTGCACTTTTCATATCATTAATTGGCTACTGCTTACGTTCACCTGTAGGGACGTGCCAAGATTGGCAAAGACACCCCCGAAACCTGCATCATTAGGAACTCCGCCGAACCCAAATTATAAGCTTCTGCGTTCGTTTGTATTTCACAGGAAGATGTGGAAGGGGTATGAACACCGCATGACAAAAGGCGAAAGAGCTCATGGTCGGGGTACAACAGGCGAGGGAGGAGAGGATCGGACGTGGGAGTTTTGCCTCAAAGACTGATATTAACCTTCTTCTATGAAAGTGCGTGGTGTGCATGTGAACTATGAAGGCCAACCGACAAACGAAGGTGCAGCAATGATTGAGTATATGCTATGATGAAGCTTCCGCACTTTGACTCTCTTCCAGACCCTTCTTCAAGCCTTCCAGTGTTCTCGCAAGTTTCCCTCCGCTTGCCTCACTGAGAATTGCAGCTAACTGTACAGCTGGTGAGCTCAGCAACCCAACTACCTGTGCCCGCAGAGTGTCTAGGGTTGGCAGTTTCGATACATCCCGCACACCATCCATTCCAAATACCCGCCTCTCGATAAGAGCACCCATCACCACCAGTTCCGGGGTCAAGATGGGTTTCACCCGCTGCATCTTTCTGCCAGGAATAAAATTTGGGTCATCTTGAGGTTTTATCGGTTTTGGCTGTGCCACCCCTGGTTTCTTGGAAGGCACTGAGCGATCAAGAGCACGGAGGATGGCGTCAAGTTGGGGAGGGTTAAATGATGGTAGCGTTAGGACAGCAAGACCGCCTTTAAGCAGTCCTGCAATTTGAGCTGCCTGTTCCGTGTCAAAAGGCGCAAAGTCTCGTAATGCAACGCCAAAAAGTGAGGTCCGCATCACGGCTAGCGTAGGAGCACCGATTTCAACTGGAGAAGGTGTCGGAGAGGACAATGAGACCGAAAACTTTGTGTTTGCATCGGCTATATCCCGTCTCAGCTTCTGTAGCCGCTGAGCTGCGAAATTTGTATGTTGGAGGAATATTATGGGGGAATTATCGCTAGCTTCAAGCATGCGGGTGTATTGGTTGTATAAGAATGTTTTCTGTACGCCGTAGCGACGCGGTGTCGGTTTGGCCTCGTAGACGCGAGGAGGCTTTACGGACACGACGTATCCTCGAGCCATCCACGGTATTGATGAAGAAACAATAGGCTTCACGCAAATCATGGCTAACGTCCGTCTGGAGTAGATTCAGTCGAAGCAGACTTGAATATTTTGTAGTTCTTTCATTCACGTGGCTATAAGGCACAGCGCGTGACACATCTTGTCACAAAGTCACGATCTCAACCGGTGTTCTCTTTGACTTCGAGGTCGTTAACTTTTTGGGCCTTTGAGAGGTTGCTAAAATCGTTGTAATGTTAGTTCATCCCATGAGGTTGCAAGCAAATAATTAACATGCACCTCGCTAGGGACGACGACGATGCATTCCTGTATGGCGAGCCCAGCTTTCAAGCAGAGGCGCCAAAGGCAGATTTAGCAACAAATTCTGGTGAGAACTGAGACTCTTCCCAGAGTCTCTACTTTCTGTATTTATCGTGCAACATGAACTTATCCTTTGTTGCCTGATGTACGATTAGTGATACAAGCGTAAGTCATCAATAGTGCGTGAAACTGTCGTTGTTGAATCCTCCTTGTTGCAGAATATCATTTGAAGCTGTGAAGGCAGTTTCAAATGGCGTGGTCAATGACCTCGAAGCCAAGGCCGAAGAAGAAGAAGAAGAACCGCCATTCGGTCTGGGCGCGGACGAGTCTGAAACTGGGGATGATAATGCTGCAGGGGAGGAAGAGTCTAGTGACGAAGATGTACGTGAAGCATGAATCTGCCGGGCTCTAACAACTAACGGCCCTTCAGGACATTGAGATCATCATGGACCAGCCTATACGGTCTATAGACAACCGGTGAGCTCCACGTTGGATTGAGTCGCTTCACCCTCAACTTGTTTCAGGCCAAATGTTCCTCCTCGGGCTCCTGCTTTAAACCGTTCCACAGGTGGTCCGCAGTCCACTCCCAACAGACGTTCGTTTGTTCAATCGTCTCTTCTCTCATGAAAATTGACGTTTCCCAAAGCTCCCCCCACACACTCACAGTTAACCACCGAGTACACACCTCGTGACAGAAATGTACCACCTTCAAAAGCACCTCTTGTTCATTCAGCAGGCACATCTCAAACACCCTCCGTGCCTCGAGAGTCGGTCTCTACTGCACCAGAACAGCTGGTGTTTCACGAAGGTCTGGACCCCTCAACTCTTCCTCCTGCTATCGCACCACCTTCACATCCTTCTATAAATCCGGATATGCCTGGCATCCTTGATGGTCACTCGATACTTGAAGTTGACATCAGCGCAATGGCAGAAAAGCAGTGGCGACTTCCTGGGGCTGATATCAGCGACTGGTTCAACTATGGATTCGATGAAATCTCTTGGGAAGCATACTGCTACAGAAGACGGGACTTGGGCGAACTTGCAAATGTCCTCAAGACTAACGTACTCGTACGCTATGTAGTGATTGGTTCGATCCATAGTCCTTACTTTCCCCCTTAGAATTTCGCAGCTATGCCAGAAGACCAGCTAATAGCCTTACCCCCTGAACTCCGTACGATGGTTATGACGGGCGCCAACGCCATGATGAACACTGCCAGCCAGGGTATGATGGGACCAAGCGTCGGGATGAATCCTATGATGGAGATGCCTGGCATGGGACCTATGAACATGGGACCGATGGGCATGGGCATGAATGGCGATATGGGCATGCAGATGCAGCCGGGGGGTCCGTTGATGCCAGATGGCCCCGTCTCCGGCCAGGGTCCGGTAGGGCAGAACGGCACGCCGGAGCAGGGTGTGCAGATGGGCATGCAGGATGGCTTCGGGCCGGGGATGATGGGCATGGGTGGTGACTTCGGTATGCAGGTATGGGTTAACCCTTCTTACTCTAGATACGTACAGCCAATGATATGAACATCGCATGAATGTGTTTGTTTTTCTAAGCAGGAGCAAGGGCCGATGGGACAGCCTATGTATCCCAACATGGAGAGCAGTGCGACGCCAGCACCAGTCCCTGTGCAGACGCCGGTGCCTACACCAGCTCCTACAGCGCCTGCGCACATGGGCCGTGGGGCACCCCCGGCACAATTCAGAGGTCGTGCAATGGCTCAAGGCCTACGCGGGAGGGGAGGCTTTGCTGGACGGGGACGAGGATATGGCGGAGGTGGGATTGTCTGATACGGTTATTCCCGGTATATTAACTATCATTGTAGCTCCAGTAGGACCTGTCCGCCCAGCCTCGCCGTTACCGCCCGGCGTGCCAACCGGTCCCCGTAACCAGAACAGGTATAAAGACAGAGATAACAATGCACCTGCAGTCGAAGGTCTTGACTATGGAGGCACGATAAAGGACGTCGGAGGAAGGACGCCGTCAGGGGAGCCAGAAGACCGCCTTGGCCGGTGAGTAGACTTGCATTCATTCATGACCTCAAGGCTCATATCTCTTGCAGGAAGCGGCGCCTTTCACCAGGTTTGGATGACACTCGAGGATCTAAAAGGCGCTGAGATGCGCACATATGTATACGCTCTCATTATTGTATCTCACTCTTGACATTGTGCATGCTGTTAATGCTGACGTGGAGTTTGTTGTTAAGATTAGTTGTAAGCCGAAGATGGAATTCGAAGACGAGTGACATAGGGTGACTTCTACATACGGAGCGTTTGATCCCGGAACCAATTCGCGCTGACATTCGATGAAATCGTAGGCAACACGTCCGGCGCACGTCGTTCACTCATCCACGAGGTAACAGATGAGTCAACGATGCAGTAGACTCCTCACGTTCTCGAAGATTCCGATGAGTGTATCCAACGTGCCTTCCTATCATCACGTTACATGTTCGTTGACAAATTCAGCGACGTCATTCTCGAAGCACTACTGCCGGAAGGCTATGGTGAGTGAGTTTGTTATCATCCCCGTTCGCGCACTCTAATTCGAACAAAAACAGAGTCTTACTTATGCTGAGACGTATTAAGCAGATCAAGCGCCCTGGGCTGGTGCACCCCACACATCCGAATACACCTCCGCATCGCCTAGACCTGGAGGACAACGCGATTAGTATGCGCAGGCAACGAAATATGTCATTAGAGAAGGGATTATTACGAAACGCGCGCGTACGCGTACGCGTCACTGCTCTGCCCCAACGGTTTGTCGAAGTGCAGATACCCCAGACACGCGAAGTGCACTGTCTCCCTCGCATCGCTTTCTCCTTTAATCCCGTGGCTCGAGTTGGACTATCGACCGCAAACAATTTCCATTGCGACTTTGCATATGCGATGACGTTTAACAGTTGCCCAAGGACTGACACACCCACGTGCTGTACTCAACAAGCTTCGTACACATGCGCACGGTCAACTCTACACAGCGCTGTCCAGAGTGCGAAATCGGCATGTCATTCGCATGTGGTTTTAGGGACGATTGAGGAAAGAGAACCGGGGAACGTAATTCAAACGTTCACTCTTCATTACTGTTGTAAAGAGGATGACCATATACACGACTGAGCCGTCCGCAGGCGAGCGGATCGTTTGTATAATTTACAGTACAAAGCTGGAGCCTATCAAATTTCCCAAGAAACTTACAACCATTTCTTGTTCCCTTTATGTGAGAGGAATGCGCCCGTGTCATTGACGGTGATCAAATTGATGACCTCGAGCTGCATTCGGACAGATTCTTCTGGCGTAATCGGCCCCGTGAAATCGGGGGAGAGCTTTTTGAATTTCTCAATCATTGCCATAAACTTTTGCAGTTCCTTGTCAGTGGCTAATATTAGCAGTGATCAGCTTCGGGTAACTTAGAGGATTCTGGGAGAACATACGGGCTCTGGTGCTAGTGTCCACAAGTCCTGGGCTAAGCGCCAAGAAGACAAAGCCCTCTGGCTTGTATTGAGCGGCATACTTGGCATTAACCATATTAACCGCGGCTTTCGAGATGGAGTATGGTGCAGAGTTGGAGAATTCAGCGGCCATAGTCACACCAAGATCTCCCAATCCGCTAGTGATAGTGATGACCTTCTTTGCTTTCCCGTTCTTGAGTAGCGGAAGGAATATGTTGATGGTGTGGATGACACCGACGACGTTGACGTTGAACTACAGAACTACATTAGCTTTACTGTCTTCACATGCGGAGAGCTGCATACCGAATCCAGGAGATCCTTGGTAAGCAACTCCTCTGAGGAGCTAAATGGGACTCAGTGCCATTCCAAGAAAACCAAAAAAAAATCATACTAAGAATCGAGAGTCAAACCAGCTCTCTCAGGCTCTACGAAGCCAGCGTTATTAATCAAGTAGTCGAGCGAGTTGCCTGTTGACCGAGAAATCTCTGCAGCAGCATACTAGACAAAGCGTCAATCGAGGCCCTATCCGAGGTATGAGATACCCCACCTTCAGAGCCTTGTTGTCAGTGATATCAGCCTGGATAATATGGATATTATGCCTTCCTAAGTCCGTAAGCTTGTTCGCAGTGGCCTCACTGCGTACAAGGGCGAAAATGGTGTTCCTAGAATCAGCAGAGAGTTGATTGACAAATTCAAACTGGTCAAAATCAGAAATGTAGTATCATGGCCCAATCAAGGCTTCTGCACGTACGCCAATCCCCCGAGCTGCCCCTGTTATGGCGTATGATGGCATCTGTTAGCGACACCCTAAGTTAGACCTGACAGTTTCGACGGAGATCCAGAAGGAGTAAACAAATAGATTTTACTGTGGTGGTAGAACAGATAAGAGGTCCGTAAAAAGGTGGTCCCCTTTGTTGATTTTAAAGAGTTGCGATGTGAGTTGAAGAGATAGAACATTTGTTTGGTGGCGTATTTATATCCTGAAAGTGTCACTGGTGCGCGTGTGCAGTACTCTGTCAACTGAACAGCGAGATCCGGAATGATGAAATCCTTTGTCTTGTTAATGTCAGCAGCTGAGTCAGGGGCCACGCCCTCGGGAGTCGGAAATACCCAATGATTAATAATCGCGACTGCACAACCGTTGACCTAAGTTCATTCAAAAAGGGACGTCCTGACAAAGACATCACCGGCACCTCTAGCCTCGAAGTTTAAGTCCGTGATTTGCGTAAGATGGTGGAGCTAATTATAGACAGCAAACATAAATGACCAAGCCAGAGGTGAAGTGGGCACTGGTGGAAGAACAAACCAAAACTCGCTATCCGTTGTTAGCAGCTTTGCCTGCTGACCGCGTGCCGCCGCCCCCGCCGCCCGAACGCTTCTTGTTTGCCCTCGACCCACGTTTCGCATTTTTCTTCTGCCTGCAAGCTTCGCAGAACCATGTTCCGTCTGGAGGCACCGTGAGGCCAATGCATGCAAGATGAAACTGCAGAGTTGATGAATATACCGTGTCAGACAAAGAGAGATGTGACGCACCCATTCTCTTTCACAATTCACGTCGTCACATGCGATCATTTCTCCGTAGCTTATGCCCTCGCAGAAGCAATAAGTCCTATCATCTCCCTCTCCATCACCCTCGCCAACTTCGGTAGCCGTGTCTGCGGCGTTACCAGCTTGAGTTTCACTGGGAGATACGAGCGGGAGACTATGGGTTAGAACGGTAGCAGAACTGATCGATAGACCGGGGTGTGTGTTCCGTGCTACAGGCATGCCTGGACCTTCAAGTTGCCCAAGAGGAGGGGCTCCCCAGTCATTGGCAAGTGTGTGAGCACCAGGCATGTCATAAGAGTGTAAACCAGTTGATCCGTAAGGTATAGGTAACGAAGGGTGAGAGACTGATGAAGGTGGTGCGGGGCAGATGTCACGTCGGCCATTGACAGATCCATTGACATGCGGCTCGTCATATGTGTTAGGATTTGGCTTGGAACGCCTACCGGAGGGATTGGTAGCGCGACTCGATGAACCACCAGCTCTTGAGTTCCCTGTATAGGTTTGAGATACTGGTGCTACAGTGTGCGAGATGACAGAAAGAACGGATTCTGTGGGAGAGGCAGCACGTTCTTGCCTAAAGCGACATCTAAACACGACGAATTCATATACCGGAAAATGACTTACTTTCGTGAACGAACACCATTTCGAGATCGCTGGACAGTGCCATCCCCAGTCCTCTCCTTGCGCGGCGACTTGCCGCCTCCGACATCTACGTCATCTTCTCTCGTTGCTCGTTTTCGTTTAGAAGGGCTGCCTTCATGATTTGCAGTATTCATGATCGATCCATAATTGCCTCTTCTGCGACGCGAGTTATCGATGGTGGGCATGTATGACCGGACAGCAACATGGGGGTAAGATGTCTTGCGGTTCAATGCGGACACATCGAATGAAGGTAAGAGAGTAAGGAGTGTTCTCATATGTGAAGTGTGGCTTTTGAGATTGTCAGCGGCTTGACAAGCCACACGAATCTTGTCTTCGCCGCCCAGTTTCAAACGGGCAGCTTCCTCTGCTATATCTGAGAGTAGGAAAAGACGGTCCTGCTTTGCCACTGTGCCATCTTCGATCATCTGTGTCAAGTTTTGTATTTTTGCGGTGATAGATGTCATAGAGGACGACAGAACTGCGTCGAGTTCACGGAGGTCTGCAAAGTTACGAGAGAGGTCGAGTGGGAGGGAGTCAAGGGTGTGAGTGTACTCGGAAAGTAATGAGAGCGCGTATACGTTGTTGACATTACTTTCTTGTGATATTGGTGCTCTCGAGGGTGCCATGATGGAGGTCGCTGTTTCCAGAAGTGAAGACTATTTTGAAGTTGGGTGAAATTGTGATCTGCTCTGCGTTGACTAGCGGCGTTTGCCGGTCCGTTGTTCAAAATGCCGCTTTTGAATCTGAATCGCCGGGAGTCCGTCAATCGACGATCGTTGCATTATTGTCTCAACTTTAGAATTTGATGAGGGAGGGATAAATTCATAGCATCCAGAATGAAACAATAGAGATACAATATGTGCGTTCTATGCGTACGTATACAAGGATTTCAAGGAGGAATAAGTGTTATAATTGAACGAAGTGGGTGATCCTGCACTGCAAGTACCTATTTTTGCGCGCTCCGTTCCTCATCTCCTTGGCCATAAAACAATAACCGTCTTGCTCCAATGCTATCGATACAATGGTTTTGGGTACACGTGACCCTTCGTGATGTATACAGTTGACAATCATGACGATGAGAAAGTATCACTTTCTGTAGAACTTCATCAGCGGGTTCGAGCTCCCGCCATTGCTCTGCCTGGGCTGGCTACTTGATTGGAAGCCCATGGATGAGCTCAGGGCCGAGTACATGTTATGTGAGTCACGCGGGTTCCCCTGCATAGCAGAGAATGCGTGTGGGGAAGAGGGTGCAGTGGGGAAGAAGCCGAAGGTTGGTGATCTGGGTGGAGTGGTGTAGTTGTTATAGCGAGACATTATGTGCGTGAATTGGTGATGATGTGATATTATAGCACGTAAAATGATTGGTCTTCCCGTGACGACGCGGATGGTTATGCGAGCTAGATCTGCTTTGCAAATATGTCACAGTGCGCAGATGGTAGACCCTCGATCGATGTCAACGGCGGTTTGTTCAAGAACGTATGCGTTAAACAATCGTTGCTTGGAAGAAGGTCTTCTTGAGGTCGTTATAAGGTTGTCGGACCAAACTGGTCGTGTTGATACAAGTAAGAACTCATGCATAGCTATTATATACCAAAGCAGGGATGTTCAAGGAGAAGGAGACCCATACCTGGACTGCCGCAAAATACAAGGTAGCAACCGAAATAGGCAATGGCATTGTCCCCATTCGGAAGAAACCCGTTGCAGTACGAGAGGGAAATAATTCGGGCAACTGCCTATTGCGGCACAAAGAAATGATTCCATCTATTCATATGACCCGGATAAAGCGATCTATGCCAGACAGCTATAGACCCACGGTGCTCACGCACGGCGACCTGCGGTGACGCACCAACTCCCCCACATGCATGCTCAGGCCTCAGGCTTGATTGGCACGGAGCATCCCAGCTCGGCCTCGCTTCCCGATCTCAAAACGAATAGTTTCATTGTTTGAACCCCATCCGTTGTTTGCCAGATGAATTGTACAGACAGGAGCTTGCAGGTCCATCCTGTCTTCTTCCTCCACCAACGTGGGAGTCGGAGAGCGCTTGACAGAATTTCACATCTTATCGGGGGACATCGAATGCATACGCCGCTTCATAACATGACTTGACGTGTAAGATTTAGTTCATTACTCTGGACTCTGTTGTCGTGCGAGCCTGCGTCCACTTGAGCACAATGGTTTCATATATCATTGATGTACAACGTGTTGATGCTCGAGGGACTTACAGCGATTTTTCCACAGGTTCCTGCCTATCGGCTCTGTGGGTCACTGGTCTTGGTACAGATTCCTCTATGTCAGCTTCTCCGTACATGCTCGATAATCAACTCATCATTTCTGCAGATCTCGACCACGCCATACGAAACTCTAGTGCCCACATTACGTGCTCTACGAGGTAGCCATCATGAGCACCGATCTTACTAGTGAGCTCCTCGGATCCCGCAGCATGTCTCTATCTTCTTTTTCCAGTGCTTCCGCTCTAGGCTTGTGTTCTGATAATTGGAGCTGATGCCTGATTGATACTTGCCCTAGCAACCCTTTTCGCGATAGATCAGTGAAGGCTATCGGAATGGATCATCACTGCATTTGTAAGCTTGGGCACTGCATAGTATTTCAATGGGGCAAATCTAGGTACTTGCTGTGCCCATCTGCATTGCAGTCATTAATCACGAACCTCGATATCGTCTTGGGTGAAGCCTTCGGGGAACTCGTTCTTTGTCAATGTTGCGCTTTGTATAAATGCTGACATGATTTTGACATCGTAGCCGCATTGGAGTCCCCATGAGCGCTCAGCGCTCAGCGGGCGTTACTGTCATGTCTCAGTCTATTCTTGGGTTCATATCTCGCAAGATAGGCTATCCAAAAAAATCATTTACACGGGCCCCTGTCTCTCCGAGGGTCCAGAACAGGGGTCGTTAGCGCCTACGATACTTGGGGGTCGAGTAAGAAGAATTTAATGCCCGTCCGAGGTCTCATGAACATTGGGAAAATAATATCTCAAGATTCGTGCAATTTCATCTGTACCATAGCATGTGGTCTGAAGTCTTCTAGGCTTCACCGTCATAATCAGTGCGCTACCATCGAGGCCAAAACTCTTCTAAAGTATTCTAATCCTAGCCAATGCCGTCATTCACTACGGACCAAGTGGTGATAGTCTCTCGCTTATCACGAGTCAAGTCATCTTATCAATAGTCCTCTCATTCATCACGTTCCGTTGATATACTTCACTTCGTGGTTGCGCATCATGTGAGCGCATAAACCATTCTCAAGCCGCAAGGATGCCAATCCAATCGACGGCTTCCTCTTTCCCTGCGGTCAAATCAGTGCATTCTGACCCGGAGATACTTCAGATATAGGACTGTGTGAATTTCAGCAGTGGCCTGAGTTCATGACGAGTCACCTGGGTGTCTGATACATACAGGTTGTTAATGTGGTAGTTAATGTTGTTTATGTGCTTGCAACTTTAGTTATGGGACAAAGTGTATGAGCTTAGCGTCAACTCAGATAATGGTAGTCCAGGGTGTTGTCGGAATGGCTTGCCGTGTGCTCAGATCTGTAGATCTGTATGTACATGTACACATGATACTCTACGATATTCAGCACAAAAGTTCCTACATATTATCCTGCGGCTTGCGGGTTGGTGTGATTTTTGACACGAATGATTATCGATTATCGTTCATTGGCAATATTCCAACTATTATTATGTTACCTATGAGAAAGCAAGTTGTGTGAAACCCTAACCTTAGTCTAGGTGCAACACCAAAAATGCGCACTGCGGCTTCCTGATCAACGAGTCAACGTCGAATGGTTCAATCTGGGGTTCAATCAATTCACCAATCCTGGCCAAGATCCTTCCATTCAGAGTGTGCGGAGTTGGACCGTCTTCGATAAAAGCCATTCTGCTTACAAAATCGAGACCCTTCAATACTACTGGCTCCCCGGGCCAGTCTTGCAACAGTGCCCCAACCAACAGTATGCCTAAAGCTCAGAAAACAGCATATTATGCCGTGCGCAAAGGACGTACGCCGGGTGTATACCCAACATGGTCAGTAGACTGCACGATATGCTCATCCTGTGCTCAGCTTTCTTCCTAAAGGGAAGAATGCGAGGCCCAAGTGAAAAACTTTCATGGTGCTGTCTACAAGAAGCTCGCCACTGAGACGGAAGCCCTTGCATTTATGACCACAGAGTCGCATCTCAACCCTCCTCCAAGACTGTCCTCGTCTGCGGTATTGCCTCCTGCCATAAGTCCGCCGCGGAGTGTGGCGTCAACATCGTCGAAATTCCACCCTTCTGCTGCTGCTGTTGCGAATGTCAAAGAAGACGAACCTGGCTATGATGTTGCCTATTCTGATGGTGCATGTAAAGGAAACGGACAAGTTGGTTCGGTTGCGGGCGTGGGTGTGTGGTGGGGTTGGAACGATCCTAGGTGAGAAATATCATCTGGGCAATGACACATGTCACTCATCGTTACCTCAGAAATATCGCCGAACGATGTCCTGGAGACCAAACAAATAATAGGGCGGAGCTCATTGCAAGTCATACTCAATATGTTTGACAATATACTTCGCTTACTCTCGCAACGATTTTGCAGGCAATCATTCGGACATTGGAGACCGCGCCATTCTCTCAGCGTCCGCTCATGATAAAAACAGACTCGATGTATTCCATACAATGTATGACATGTTGATCTATGTGTTGTATTCCTCTCATCCTGTTGCAGGCTTTGAATCCTGGCTTCCAAAGTGGAGCGCAAACGGCTTTCGAACGGTCAACGGCCAATCCGTCAAGAACGCCGAACTGATCAGGTACTTGGCGGCATTGCTATATGCCCGGGAAAAGGCAGGACCAAAAGTCGTGTTCAAGCATGTCAGAGGTCACGTTGGAATAGAAGGCAACGAGTGCGCCGACCGATTAGCTAACGATGGTACTCTACAACCAGAGCTGCCAGAACGGGATTGGGAGCAGCTAACCCGTGCCTTGGAAAAGAAGCCAAGAACATCGAGGACGGTACCTGAGCCAGTCAAGGTAACTGGCAAGCTAGTCGCTTAGTATGACGTGGCTAAGCCAATCCCCTTGAAGTCGAACACATCTACATCGCGACAAGCCACTGTCATATCTAGCGGTTCCTCTAGCAGGCTTCCACAGTCATCCATAACAACGCGTGCTGCATTTCCTCCAAGAGAACATACACCCAAACCAGGGTTGCTCAGCCAAGCAGAACTAGAGGTCAGTAATGACAATTTCAGGGCTTTCGATGTGCTAACAAGCAATAACGTGTTCAGGCCTATGCAAGTTGCCTTCTTGAAACGGATGACTTGGAGTCGGATTTAGGCTGACCCTTAGGAGCCTTGGCTACGTCGGAGTTTGTCTTATGACACGGGATTCTATGAACTTCTGTCGGCGCCTAACCATGGTTTATATACATATGGGACACTACACAGCTATGAATAAACCCATCAAGGGCATTGACCGCTACAGTACACGAAACTTCCCAAGCCTTTGAACAGCCAATGACCAACTCTTGAAATCCATTGAACCAAGACTTGAATTTGCCACGCCGTGACCCTATATAATGATATATGATAATATTTAATAAAGTGACTCAAATCTTTCCTATATTCTCATCACTTTCCGTGACTACCGCGGCACGTTCAAGCATCGTGTGCTAAAGGACTCGACTCCGTAGTCTATGCTCCCAGTTGTTTTACCTTCATGACGACTGCTCCGAATCAAACCAACCTCGATCTTCCACCTGTGGACGGGACCACGACTAGCACTAAAAAGCACTGGATAGATCGTTTGCATCATGCAGGATGGACAGTATTTCGTCACGCACAGAAACACACAGGCGTAGGCATCGTGTGCTCCGTCGCATACTTTGACCCGTAAGTCATTCGACTGATCGGGTAACTGGCACGATCTCACTGAAGCTGGATCGAAGTGGCAATTGGGGAGTCGATCTTCAGGCAGGATCTCAATACGGCTATAGCCTTCTCTTCATTGTACTTTTGTCAGGCTTGTTCGCTGCATTTCTTCAAGTGAGTAGGATATTTGACGTAGCGAACGTGCAAGCGACTTACCGCAAATTTCACAGGTTCTTGCCTGTCGGTTGGGGGTGGTCACAGGCCTCGGTAAATACTTCTCCATGTCAGCTTTCCTGGAAGATACACATGTTTATTAACTCGTCATTTTCAGACCTCGCATCCCATTGCCGCATGCTCTTTTACGATCGACCACGTCATAAGAAACTTTGGCGATGGGGAGTCCTTTACCCGCTTTACGTGCTCGCCGAATTAGCCATCGTCAGCACCGATCTTGCTGAGCTCCTTGGCTCCGCAATAGCACTCTCTCTTCTCTTTCCAGCACTTCCACTCTGGGCTGGTGTTCTGATAACAGGCGCTGATGTCTTATTGGTACTTGGCCTTGGAAACCCTCTTCATGCTAGACCAGCGAAAGTATTTGAATGGGTCATCGCTGTGCTTGTAAGCCCTCATACACGTGTATACCATACCTCATTTGATTTAATGAGACGAGTCTAGGTGTTTGCTGTGCTGATATGCATGGCAGTGATTATCGGAAAGATCAATGTCGCCTGGGGTCAAGCCTTCGATGGATTCGTTCCTTCTCAGACAATTTTTGGTAGCGGCGCTCTCTATACATGTACGTTATAAAATGCAAGTGTGCAGACAAGAGTTGACATAGCTTCGTTGTAGCCGTTGGGATCCTGGGTGCTACTGTCATGCCCCATAGTCTATTCTTGGGTTCACATCTGGCAACCCAAGATAGACTATCCAAAAATTCGCCTATCCCGGATTCTCCGCTTTCCGACAAAGTGCGAGAACTAGAGCCAATAGAGGTCGCATCAAGGCGCGAGCGCTCACAACACTTAGGACAAGCAATCTGGCGACAACTCCAGTCGTGGTTTGTAGTATCTCGCGCCGAGTTAGAGGCGTTGAATGCCCGTCCAAAGTCTCATAAACATAGAGAGAATAATCCCTTAGAGTTTATACGTTCCCATCTGTACCACGCCATCGTGGATGTGGTATCCAGTCTGCTAGGCTTCGCCGTCATAATCAATGCCCTGTAAGCTTCTAGCATTGCTTGCTACCATCGAGGCTAACAACTCCTTCAAAGTATACTAATCCTCGCCAGTGCCGTCTTCTATTACGGATCAGGAGCGCGTGGATCTGAATCTCCAGCTAGCTTATTCGATGCCCATACTCTGATAAATAACACGATTGGCCAAGGTATGTCACATCCTTCGGGTTCTGTAAGCTTCACAAATCCTTGGAAATAGCTGCTGCGTTGCTCTTTGCGCTCGCTTTATTTGCATCGGGTCAAAGTGCTTCTCTTGTCGCCACCGTAGCAGGGCAAAGCGTTTCGGAAGGATTCCTGAACTGGAAAGTCTCGGTCAGCTCTATCCTTTGTTGTGACGAGAATCATCACTCACTGATACAACAGCCTGTTGTACGCCGCCTTCTAACGCGTATGATAGGACTGATACCTTCTATGACCGTTGCCATCGTCGTTGGACCAAACGGCGTCAACTTATTGCTTGTTGCAAGTCAAGTCATCTTATCGATAATCCTCCCATTCATCATATTCCCGCTGATATACCTCACCTCATCGTCGCGCATCATGCGAGTACACAAAACGGCTCCAGAACACACGGACATCAGTCCTCCTGCGGAAGCTTCCTTCCTACCTGCTCTCTCATCCTTGGATAGTGACCCGGAGATAATTCAGACTGAGGACTTCGTGGACTTCAGCAGCGGGAAGTTCATGACGTCGCTCGGGTGGTTGATATGGTTAGTGATTGTGGTAGCTAATGTCTACGTGCTTGTAACTCTAGGTATGGGGCAAGATAGCTGAGCTCAGTTACAAACCATGTGCGTGACGAGATATGTGCCTCTGTACCTATCTAGCTGTACACCTCAAAGCTTTCAGCTCCATGTGTGTTCTGCACATTAGCAGTTATGTATACTTCCCTACAAGCTAACAATTAAACATAGGTTCATCCTATGGTTTGTGTATTTTATCCTACTAGCTCCACACCGCCTCAGTTCCTACTTGCATGTTCTTACCTTCCCTGGTTTCGAGTCTCTCCGTTGTCTTTCACCCCTTTTTTTGTTTCACTACCTTCTGTCATCCGTCTTCCAATCTCTCTTATCTCCTGTCTTCCCATATTTAATCATGCTAACGCACCCTCAGCCTCTCACTTGCTTACCCTCCAGCACAGTCCTCTGTGCACCATTCCCGTAGGGATGTTATGAGAATCTTGCAACGACGAACATCGGAATGAGCTCAAGGAGGTCGAGTACTTTGTTGATCTGAGCTAGGTACAATTGAGTAAACACTATCCATCAAATCTGAGGACGACGACAATGGTATATCAAATTATGTAACTTCCAACACCGCAGCAGTGACGCATCGGTGCGGGGATGTTTTTGTCTAGTCAGTCACATCAGGCAAACGTAACTCACTACAGAGTGCTACAGCGCGCTCTGTAGGTTTCTGTAGCACAATCCAACCTGCTGATGTATGTCCCGAGTATTGACTTGGTTGGCTTCATCAGGTTGGCGTCCTCGTGATAGGCAGCCTTAGCTCGCCACGTTTCGGGAGCGCAAGTGAAGGTAACTGCACAGGCAGTAGCTGAAGTAGAGCGTGTCTGAGCACTATCAGGGGGTCATTTAAATTGGCAAGTCTCGGTGTATTCGTAACTACTTTCTACTCACCGGGTTGGCCATCTTGTGGTTGTAACGGAGCTGCTTCATCATTCTCCATTGCAAACGGTAATTAGAATGTTATTGCATGGACGAGGCTCTGAAAACGAGTGGGTTGCGAATAACACTGTGATCCATGGTGGCGTAAAACTGTGAGGCCGTACGCGTAACGGGAAGTCGCAATCCCAGCACAAGTGACAATCGGGGGACCCGGACCTGTATTCAGGACATCAGTATATACCCTTTTGACATACTAATGTCTGAATTTACCCAGCAATTGAGGAGTAACGCTGAGTTTGCACTTGGATGCACTACTTTAGAGTGTCATACCCAGGAACCAGGGACATCATAGATCAAATACGTAGGCATATGCGACGCGTTCGCCGTCGGCATCGCTGAGCACTGAGGAACGATAATCTGCATGTACACAACATAACACGTATCTATACGGCATCTTACGACAAGTGCAACAAGGAAAAATCGACCTGAAAGAAATAAATGACGCAGAAAAACAGTAACATAAGCACAAGAACAGACAAGCAATAGTTCAAGAAGTTGACGTTTTAGGACCTTTTCTGCGAAGCCTTGATCCCAAGTAATCAGTATGAGTACACATTGGGAATCTTACGACTCACAAGTATGGCCATTAGTTGTTGGTAATTTGGAGTTCCTGGCTGGGGGGCACCAGGTGGCATGCTAGACATGGGAGGTGGGGACATCATTGACTGAGGTGGCGGAGGAGGCATTCCATATTGCGATTGCATTTGTTGGGGGGCAGTGCCTTGACCCTGCTGACCCTGCGACTGTTGTAATAATGCAAGGATATTCGGGGGTAAGCTAGGAATTCCAGTGTGCATCTGCCCTGGCTGAGGAGTGGGTGTCTGAGAAGGCATCTGAGCATATGGGTTAGCACTGGGGCCAGGCGGAGGAGGATAAGGCGCTGCGGGTTGCTGAACGGGGGGTGGTGCATAGTATGAGTTTTGGTGTGGGGGTGGAGGGGGCATTCCAAGTGAGCTTGGGGGAGGTGCTGGTGCTGGCGGTCCCTGTTGCATCGTGGGAGATGGCGCCGTGCCATTCTGGGGTTGTTTCAGTGCTGCAAGCAGTTGTTGAACTTTGCGAGCCTGCTCCAATCGATCTCCTGTGCCCTGATGAACTGTCAGCAGTGTGGGGCACTTGTAAGAAACAGATACGTACAGCTTGATTGACTGATGGCGGGGGTTGATGGTACTGAGCGGCCACTGGCGGAGGCTGGTTGTACTGAGGGGCTGCTGGCGGGGTTTGATTATACTGAGTGGTTGCTGGTGGGGGCTGGTTGTACTGAGATATTGCTGGTGGGGGCTGGTTATACGTAGCGACGTTCGCTGGCTCGTTATACGAACCAGAACCCGAGCCAAGCCCACTCGAGAAAGGACCGTGGGAATCAAATCTGTCTCCGTAGCCACCCCGGCCGCCACCGCCACCGCCACCACCACCACGCCCACCACCCCTGTAATCTTCTTCAAAGCGCCCGCGATCACGATCCCTGCCAAAGTCATCACGCCGGTCCCAATCCTCAAATGAGCCACGGCCTCGGCCACCGCCACCGCGACCCCTACCGCGACCCCGACCTCGAAATCCGCGCCCACCATCATCCCAGTCTCGCCCACCGTCAAATTTTTGCTCGCGGCTGGCATAGCATGTAAGCACAAAGATGAATAGCATGCAATATCACATACCGCTGAGTAGGAGGACCAGAAATCTCAGACTCCTCCCATGCATACGTGATGTCCATGGTTCCGTCTTGCAACCCTTGGTGTCGGAGACGATCGAACGCCTCGTCGCAAGCCTAAGGGCGGTGAATATTATTACATAATACCAACATGCATCAAAACTGACCCTGATATCATAGAATTCAACATAACGCTGACTGCATAGGCTGGTCAGTAAACTAGGCGACTGGGGAAAGATCCAACATACTCAGCGCGATCGCCGACAGGCGTGACCGACTTAACGTCTCCGAACTGTTGAAATTTACGTCTGACCTCATTATCGTCGATAGTCTGAACAGACTCCTTGAGTGTGACGATTAGATTACCCTGAAATTGCTAAACGAAATTCAGTTGTCATTTGAGAAATGAGCGAGATTGCTACCAACCTGATTCTTGTCACGATCGCCACCTTGCTTTTGGTCATCGCGTGGAAGAGAATAATGAACATCGATCTGAAAGGACGATAATTCCATTGATGATCATCGCAGTGAGGTGCATGAAAGCTTACGGGTCTTCCACTTATCTCAGAACCCTGCAGACGATCTCTGGCGCGCTCAGCCGCGCGAATATCGTACTGAACCGAAGCCTTAGTGATGGTGGAGGGGGTTCCATTTAAAACTTACGAAAGTCACGAAAACCATTCCCCGCGTTGCGATGAGATCGAAAAAGGTTTTGATATCTCCATGCTCTTCGAATGAACGACGGACGTCCTCACTGTTCGTCTCATACTACAAAAGTAGCTCGATATTAGCAAACCAAATCCGTACCAGAACACGTGGAGCTGCCTCCAACTCATTGACTCGCCTTAATGTTGCGTATAAACAAAGTACGACAGGGACGCTCGCGTTGGATTCGCTCTTCAATTATTGAATCGTGGACTTTGTCATCCCGTTCTCGACGCACAGTTCGCCTCTGAGGTCGCATACCAAATCCACCTTCGTCATAGTTGGCGTCGGATCCGTCTGACAAAGAATCAAATACCAGTGAGATCAAGACCTTGCAACGTGCCAGAAAATCAAGCTGAGGGTAAGGCAGAACAAATAGACGTAGCGCAGCAAATTAGGAGAGGCGGAGATAACTCCAACTCAGCCGAAACATTTGAGCTCCCAATCGTGAAATTCGGACGGCAGGTTCCCTGGGAGATCTCAGATTCCATCATCTGCAGTTTTTCTTCCGACTTCACTGCTCTCGCTAAAAAATAGCTTAAGCTCGCGAGTGCGTCTTAATGTCTGAGATGCCTCCATGAGAGGTTTCGCCGTTGGCAATATAAGCCTGTCAATTTTTTTTGTCGCTATAATTTGCATCCCATGCGAAGCTGCGCCGCCAAAGTTCTGCCTGTATTGGCTCATTTTCAGTCTTAGCTTCAAGCGCACCTTCATAATTACCATAACCCTGGGCGTAACCATCTGACTGGGTTGGGGTATTGAACTGAGCGGAGGGCATTCCACTACCATAATTACCACTGCCGTTCTGGTAGAAGGGGTCTTGCGAGCCAGAGTCGTAATTATTGTAGAGGCCCATATCGCCTTGAGGCGGCCCTTGATCATAAGTGTTGGAGACACCGCCATCGTAATTGCCAAAGTGACCACCTGGTGCACCTTGGCCGCCTCGGCCACGGCCAAATCCTCTTCCACGAGGTGCCCCACCTCTGTGATGGTAAGATCTATCCGGCCCTGGCCCTGGTGGGCCGCCCCTTCTGTTGGCAGGATTTTCGTAAACTCCTCCATAAGGATGATGACGGTTCATTTTTCTTTTACTGAGGGTGGAGGGTAAGGCGAGCTGATATGTGAATGCTTAAAGATCCGGTGGAACACGTGTACGGGAAGATAGAGAAAAAACTGAAGAATAACTCTGAATAAACTTCTGAAAGTATTGTCTCAACTCAAGAGGAATACGCGGAAAGCGAAAACCAACAGAGGAGCTGTCTGATGATGATGATGGTGGTTCGGGTCGAAGCCGTTGTCAACGTCTAACAAAAATTTCCGCTATGGGTGAGAAAATACACGTAATCGTATCTTCCAAATGCGGATCATCGAAGTTGCTCGCAGTCAAAGTCGCTTGTGCTACTTACTCTGTGTTACCCCTCCACGATGTCGAAGCAGTTTCAGTTCAAGCTCGTTCTTCTAGGTAAATAAATGCGGTTTAAAATCTATGAAAACTGAGCTCATAATACTTCTCAAGGCGAGTCGGCCGTCGGGAAATCCAGGTAATGCGGAGCGTCGTTATTATCTCGTGCGCAAGTCTCCAGCTCACTCGCGACAGCTTGGTCCTGAGGTTTGTGAAAGATCAGTTTGACGATTACCGGGAAAGTACGATTGGTGGTACGTATCATTCAAAAACCTATTTTCTTCCACTGAGTTCCTGGCCACACAGCCGCGTTCTTGACACAAACAATTACCTTAGAGGACCAGACAACTGTTAAGTTTGAAATATGGTGAGTCGTGTACATTTCTGGTGTCTGCGCACACTCAAATATAGCTCAGGGATACAGCGGGTCAAGAGCGATACAAAGTAAGTTCCCAAATTTGCATATATCACGTATCACGCGAATTAATGACACGACGTGCCTTCTAGTCTCTTGTATGTTTTATCCTCTTCGTGGAGTTACGTCTGATTTAGAAGATCTTAGGCGCCAATGTACTATCGCAACGCAAATTGTGCAGTTGTCGTGTATGACATCACCCAAGCAGCTTCTTTGGAGAAGGCGAAGACATGGATTCGTGAACTGCAACGCCAAGCGGACCCATCGATAGTAATAGCTCTGTGTGGCAATAAATTGGATCTCTCCGCACGCAGACAAGTTACGGAGGAGGAAGCGAGTAAATATGCCGATGAAGAAGGTCTTCTGTGGAGCGAGACGAGCGCAAAGACAGGAGAGGGTGTAAACGCCATTTTCAATGCAATTGGTGCGTTCGGTCTTTGATTGGACCGTTGCGCTCTAACTTGATTTGACGCACAGCCAAGAAGCTTCCGTTAACTGCACCGCCCTCAGCCCGTGGTGCTCGCGTTGCAGCACCTGGCGCTACGCGGCAGAGTGTGGACCTCAACAGGCAGTCAACAGCTCACGGTAGCGAAGCTTGCAATTGCTAGATTTTATGTACAATGCCACACATGCCGTATGGAACTTCCCTTTATCTGACTTAGTCTGTTCCCGCCCTTACTAGCCGTAATCATAACCTACTTCAATGCTGAACCTCCCAGGATACATATTCATCGCCGCCGATATCAAGCCAGAAGTTGGGGAGATGATCAGCTTGGTATGATGATTCTGTTTTAAGCCAGTTTCAATGAATGCTCTATGCGGAAAATATGATATGCTACACGTATGGTCTAGGCGAAAAATACAAGCAACTCAAGACCTAGCCCTGAATATAACAGTAATAGGGAAGGTACGCATTTGGGTATCATAGATATTCAACTTCCTGTGCACCTCCTGTTGAATACGTCAAACGTCTCTTTCACATGTGGACTGTCAAAAGAATGGAAACCAGGTGAATGTTCTCCGTCGATCATAGCAGAAAGGCACGACAATGATTCGTGATCATTGACGAGCACCGCTAGACGGCGGGGGCGGCGGGGATAAGGCGATAATGGAAGAGAGCGCCCTGAATCAATACTGAAGCATGACAATTGTAGATCGTCGAGTTTTTCGGGTGGTTTAGGAGAAACTTCGAACACTGGACTGGGTGGAGTGACCGAGGGTTGGAGCATGCTGGGCACAGGAGAAGAGGAAGAACGGGTTAAACCGTATGGTGGCGGTTCATAATCGGGCAAGCTGAAGAAAGAGTCATAGATTTGGTTGCCCCTTCCTGAATCCTCATGACGCAACTGGTTACTGGGTAGCAACAAATACTAAATTGAGCATTAGCCATGGCCCATCGTGGATATATCCACCATAGAATGCTCGCCAGCTCACCTTCGTCACATCTGACACAGAACTCAATGTGTCCCCGAGTTGTATGCATTCCGAATCAGAAACTGATTCGGAATTTCTCGCATTGCTTTCTTCAGGGTTATGGATCCAGGGGTGAACGCCTTCCTGATATGGTTCTTCTACGGCTGTTTCTGTGAGACGCTCTACGAAAGAGCTTGGAATCCACCCGAGACGGTCCCCCTCAGGACGCATAGCAGCCCACCATCCTGATTCCTCCATCTTTACAACAGTGAGAATCTCATTGCGGGTGAACGAGAGGTGGTCTGGATCGTCTGACTCGAAGTCAAACAAACATATCACGTTGCAGATGAACCACTCGGGGTCGCCTGTACTGGGCGTCAGACCCGATGTCGTTAAACTGTATTCGGATAAAGGAGAAGGAGAATCAGGGGAGGTCGAACAATGAGCGAGAGGAAGTGAGGAGTCTATCAACACTCGGAGGGGCTGCCGTTGTGGTGGCGAAAACGAGGCCAGCATCGTAGCAGGTGCTGCGGGTTTCGGGAAGAAGAAGACCCTAGATCATGGGGTGTGAGTCTTTCTATGTATGAGTGGCCCAAGTTTGACAATGGGAAGCCACAATTATCATTAAGGAAGGAGGTACCCTGCGCGAATGACGAGATTTTCAGAAGGACAAGGGATACGATCAACTGCAACCATCATGACATGGATTCCCACTACTTACAAGTGACACGGGCGCTGAAACTGTAGCTGTAGTTATTTGAGGATACCAGGTTGCACTTTTGACCCAATGATCGATACCTGCGCATGCGAACCTAGGGTCACATCGCCGAGACAACCGTCAAACCGTCAATAGCCCAACAGTAGTAACTTGGGATATGTATGGAAAGTAACCATGTGGCTGGCTGTTGTCCGTCATGATCGCAATTGGAGTGACCTCGGGATTTCTGAGCCAGTATCAATTAATAATGGCCATTGGATACGCTCCGGGGCACGAGCGCAAATGGGCGTCAGGCTGAGCTAAGAGATAATCGACATCCTCGTTGAGCAGCTACCTGTATCCATCGGGCCTAATGATAGTTCTAGGTCAGTATGTATTTCAGGCAACTACAGCAATCACTTGACCCGTTTCTGTTTGGTCTTGTATCAGGCCTCGTTGCCTAGCCAAATATAGGTTCCCCGTGTAAGGGGAGAAGGATCGTGTGCTGTGTCGTCCTACAATCCACAATGCCTCCGCCAACGTGGAATACGGCTAAGGCGAAGGTGCAGAACTTGTAAATAATCATGACACGTTTTCTGAACTTCGCCTGCACAGGTGCAACTTCGGTACACCGTTATCGCAATGATCTCCCGCTACCGTTGCTTAATAAGTTCTTGCATGCTTTAGACTATCCGTTCAACGGCTTCGCATAGCGCAGCAGAAGAAGGAGGCACACGCTAAAGGCTCTCGCAGGGATATAGCCCTCCTCCTGGAGAAGGGCAAAACGGAGAGCGCACGAGTCAAAGTAGAAGCCGGTAGGTTTCCTCCCCCTAGCTAGGACATCGGTTGTTCAATTATTGGTATGTTCGTGCGTGCGACGTGCGACGCCAGTCATCAACGAAGATGTGAACCTTGAGTTATACGAGCTTCTTGAACTTTACTGCGAGTTGCTCATCGCCCGCTTCGGCCTTCTTGACCAAAAGTATGGAGCTCTATTAATTTGTTTCCGAAATTGATTCATCCACCGGCAGTACTCGAGACCCTGATCCCGGAATCAGCGAAGGTGTATGTAGCATCATACACGCAGCTCCGAGAACGGAAGTGAAAGGTGAATCAACACTGTGACATAAATCATACTGCTCACTGGTGTTCCGCCCCAGAATTACTGATTCTTCGCGACATGCTGATGCACAAGTATGGGCGCGACTTCTCCGTAGCTGCGATGGAAAATCGAAGTGGCTGTGTGAGTGAACGTGTAAGTATGTCGCCCGCGGCTATTTTAAACCAGGTCTTACGATTTCTTCTGCTGTACCAGATAATGAGGAAACTCGTCATAGAAACACCCTCGGAAGAGTTGGTTGATGGGTATCTCGGCGAGATCGCCAAAGCGTACAATGTCAAGTGGGCTTCTGCTTCATCAATCACTGCTGCGGCACAAGGGAGCAATGTGGTTCGTTGATTCGGTTTAAAATTGGGATGTGATCTCATACAGTCCTCTCCAGAAGGATGGCCCAACAGGCAGCGACACACAGGAGTCGCTTCCATTGTACTCCCAGGAAATCTCTGACAAGTTGCCGGATATTCTTCTGACTGAAGACGAAACCGAGAAACCGAAGGTATCAGCCGGAGGAAAATCCAACCAGACGGAGTTCTCGAAAGAGGAAATTGAGGATGAGTTCGCCGTCCTGGCACTACGCTTTGAGGAATTAAAGAAGCGTTGACTAGGTGTAGTGTACACTTGTCTGTGTGATGCGGCTTATCTGCTTTTGTGTATATCCGAACCCTCAGTGATTCTCCGTCTTATGAAGCTATGTGATCACGATTCACGAATCTTAGTGACTTTCGGAGATTTCTATTACCCCCGGGCTGTACGTATCAGCTTAATTATGCCAAGTCAGGTGCGCGAATTGATTGTACTAGAGGCGCCAACCTTGTGTCGTTGTTTATGTCCGCCGGATCCCATGGAAGGGTAGAAAATTTGTAACACCTTATGGATTACAACTTGTCTGATCGGATGCGCCCACTGAGTGACTATTATAAACTTGCAATCAGGTTGAGCCAAGCTTCATGTGTATTGGCGAGTCGTCACGATATCTAGTCATAATGACATCGTACTGATTAAAATTTGAAATACTGATGCAGTCCTGATTGGCAGTGTTAGAAAATTTGATATCAACTGTGAGGCCAGGCTTAATTTATTATATGTACTCACTCGTATTAATATTTGGGGTGGGGGATCTCACGCCAATTTGCAGATTTTGAAGACTACAACACTACATCGAAACTCGAGCTTCAAGGAAAACTGAAACGGACGCACTCGACTTTATCCACTAGTCCGAGTCGGCCGACTTACAATTCAACTGTACGCAAGATTGTGGGGTTCTGGTATTTTGATTTCCCAGTCGAGCATATCCAACTCGCCACGGACGGTATAGACACGAGAATGCATATTTTATTCAAGCGGGCCTTTCGGACCATTGCAATTGCACATTTTTGCCTGATTCTGCAGAAATATGCCCCAACGGTCAGCATTGCAACTCGGCGGCGGAACGTTGAGTCAGAATCATAAACTCTAGAACTACCAGATAAACGGACCGGCGTGGACGCTGAAAAAAAATGAAGGTCCAGCGCAAAACAATATTAATGCGATCGGCCGCACAGTCGTAGTTGCATATGTCAGATTCGGTTTCCAAAAAAATGAGCGACTATAAAATACTTGACTGCGCTAGTGATCCGCCGACCAGCTGAAATTAGTGATTTTCTCCAGAGTCCAGAGTACAGCGTGCTATTAACTCAGTCAAATTAGGGGCCTTCAGACCTTGATTGGTTCACAAACGTTAAACCGTAAAACTTTTCAACTAGTAGTGCTAGAGAAAATGATTTTTTACACATGTGTGTCACCTCGGTTCATGGAAAGCTAGGCTTGAAACGATGTCAAACTGAGAAGCCACTGATGAAAGAGAAGTACTAGTAAAGGTGATTGTTCGGGCTGAGTCGGATAAGACGGGAAAAATGGAAGCCCGGTAGTCGCCGGACAGTCCTCGGGCACGTGGAAGGGTTCAAATCCGTTCACGCGATTGCAGCGGCTGGAGGTTGGATCAGAGTGCGGAGCAATTATCATGTCTCCGCCGGGAAGTTTATGTTTGACTGAATCAAGGCTGAATTTATAATGACATCTTTCCACCATACCTCTTATAAATAATTCCTCATCTGTGACCGTTTCATCCATGTCTATCCTCACTATGTCCCAGTCCTATCACCATTTTCCTCATGCAATGAGTTCTGAGGACGCTGACAGCGACATCGAGTCTGACTCCGAGTCTGACAAATATACAGACATGTCTCTTGACGCGTTTAGCGTCGCAAGCTCAAAAACATCCATAGATGTCTCCATGCGTTCTCAATCCCCAGCTCCATCAGTATTCTCCGCAACAAGCTCTTTGCGAGCTCAAGCGTACAGACAAGAATACGGACGAGGCCTGAACAATTATTCAGAAGTCTACCGCTTACCAGCCGACGATGAAGAACTTGACCGTTTGGGTGCGGTTAAACTGACCCCTTTTCATCCCCCTGTGGTCTAACACTCAGCACAGACAGACAGCATGACATTTTTTGCAAAGCTATTGGCAAATTTCCACCACCCATGCCCGAAATCATGGCAGAGGATGGGTTTGAGGTTAAAGCTGTTCTTGACCTAGGTTGTGGCAGTGGCAGCTGGTGAGATTCTTTTTCGAAATTTTTAACTATGCTCACATGTGCAGGATAATGGACATTGCGAGAGAATTCCCAAACGCAAGTGCGGTAGCTGTGGATCTCGTTCCCATGCAGTCAACGTATGTGCTTGTGTTAACCCCTGTTCATTTAACCTTTCCTGAGCAAGCTACTCCTTGGCAGATCCATGCCCCCAAATTGCAGGTGAGAAAGATAGCTGCGATTATTCGGCGCTACCTTTCTTAGCTAGACCCTTTGCTTGATTTAGAAGTGAAGTTGACGACATTAATCTCGGCCTGGAGCACTTTTATGGTGATTTCAACGTCGTCCATACTCAATTAATTTCTTCCGGTGTCAGTATATTCAATCCGGGTATTTTTTTTTTAAAGTACTGACGTTACCTCCCTGTGCCAGATTCGGGATTACCAGGGGCTCATTAACCATATCGCTCACGTCCTCCGACCGGGCGGTCTAATAGACATCACTGAATTTCCATTCCACTTTACTGGCATTGAGAAAACATCTATTTGTCCCCCAGCGGGCACCTTTGAACCGCCGTGGACACCTCTATGGATGTCTTATGCGAACAGAGCCGTTCGTCAACGGGGCGGTGATGCAGACGCTTCCTTGCACATGCACCGATGGGTATGCGAGCACCCAGCATTCGAGGATGTCGTGTACCGCGAATTCTGGATACCATTGTCCCCGTGGCTGAAGGGCAATGACCCTAATAGTGTCTGGTGGAATGGTATTGGGACGACTATGCGAGATGACGTCAAAGTAAGCCAACCGAATATGACGTAAAGCCCTTTATTAATTGCGCTTGCAGGCATTCATGAGATCCGGTCGCCCTTTGCTCCTCGGCAATGGGTTATCAGAAGAATTTGTGGATCAACTAGAAAATAATGCAGTGGCGGAATTGGACGAAGCAATCACTCCTGTTTACGTGTGTATACAAAACGTTTATGCCCGTAAGAAACCTTGATTCTGGTGCATCTTGGTCCTATTTATTCATCTGTTCTACTTACCACTTTGGCATATCTGGACTTGCGTGGGCATCACACTAGAATACTGTATCATGGGATATTTCTCTCTTTTTTCGTTCTCA